TGCAGGCAAAAGTAGCCTGATAAAGACCTGAGCCTCCCTTCTTACGTGTGATCCAACTTGAACCCTCTCTCGTTTTGTTTAAGATAAATGTCTTCTTAACGGGAGAGAAGTTCAACGTTAATAACCAGAAAAAGATAAATATGTTCATAATATGGGCCAGGGCCCAAAAAAATGGGCGGCCTGGTTCTGTGATCATGGCCCAAAACAAGAGAATGCTGGATGCTACCTTCTGTTTGGTGATGGAGTGGACATCAGTTGTACATGCCATAATTGGGCCCTGCTTGTTTTCGTCGCTGGAATCTGGCCTGTTGGGTCTTGCAATTGCGGAGCGTTCTTTCAATTCCTTTTTGCTTTCTCCCCTCATCGGGGGAAGAAGAAGCGGAGAAGAGCGAGGCGTCGGTTGTGATTTGAGGAAGGAGGGGAATGCTGACATAGCGAGTGGTGATTGGACTATGTGAAACTCGCGGCAAGTGGCTGGGGCGCGTGGTTTTGTCTTGGAGCGAAAACCGCGTCTTCTGAGGGTAGAGGGTGGGCCGCGGAGAGAGAGAATAGAGGGGAGAGGCCGGACGCCGCATGTCAATCTTCACCAGTATGAACACAGGTGGTTTACTTAGACTTTGTTTGGTTCAATAAAAAGCAGGGGCCGGTATGAGTCTTGTTTGGTTGGAGAAAAAGAGAAGAGAGGGAGATTTCTGGTTTGGTTTGAAAGGGAAGGGAAGAAAGCTAATTATAAGTTGACAAATATCTCATCACCTATTTATTTAGATTTTTTTATTGTTTTATTAAGACATCTATATCATAATTATTGTTTTCTAATTTGTGAATATAAAAAAAACCAAATACCTTGAGACATAACAAACAGATTATAAATAATCATATATCAAAATAAATGTCAATAAAAAAAATTATAATCTTTAGCGTATTATATAAATTATAAATAAATTTATGCTACAAGTTTTGAACTATTCTATCCTTAATTACATAACGTGCGTAACCTCACATACTCAATTAGATAATACACTGAGTTTTGTGTAAATATGTCCTATCGAGAAAGATCACAGCCACCAAACATTAAACATCATCTAGTATGTCAATAAGGAAGGATAATGGAATATGGCATGAAAATAAGAGTAAGGTGTTTAAATATTTTGAAAGTATTTATGACCGAGCGCCAAGCATTTGAAAGTTTTTGTTGGTCTTGTATACTTTGAAGGTTTTATTTCATAACATTTTTGTCCTGAACTATTATCTATCGTTAATTGATATTTAAAAACACCCGTCAAATTGCGTAATTGAACAGTCAAATTTTAATGGCAAATAACAATGAGGGTATTTTTGTTACGAAAAATAAACTTTTAGAGTATATAAGAGCAAAAAAAAAACTTTTAAGTGCTGGGTACTTATTTGTAAATGCTTTTGAGATACTACCTACCTCCGGTCCTAATTATAAGAGCTAGTTAACTAAATTGAGAAGATTAAAAAAAGAAGTTAAGTTAGTTATTTGTAATAAATATGTGTTGTCTTTTCTAAAATATCCTTGCTAATCAAGTGTATTGGCTAGAATTATTATTATTAGAAGGACTATCTTGAAAAAATGCATAAATATAGAGACAAAATGGATTGGGGTCTTATATTTAGGACCAAAATAAAAGTCAAATAAGGTCTTATATTAAAGACCAGAGGTAGTATTTAAGTATCTTGTTCTCATGAAAATATTTCTATATAATATTTTCCTCCTCGTCTTCTTCTTCTTCTTTTTTTTGGGGGGTGGTTTTCAAATTTTCACTGTCCAAGCCTAAAGGATTTTTTTGTTTTGGCCGAAAGCCTAAAGGATTAGAAGACGGGATCAGAATGAGGTATTAATATGGTGACCTGGGCTGGTAAAAAAACAAAAGGTATGGTGACCTGGACAATAATTGTAAATGTTGTCGGGTTGGCCCAAAATAGGAAGAAAAGAATGTTGGCGGATGAAGGAGGTGGCTGCGGGACGCAGGGGACGGTGCAGTATTTTCTGCAAATTTTGACATAGGCCTTTATACCTGTAATCCAGTATCTGAATATATACAAGACCTGTTCGGTCACAAAGAAAAAAAAGAGAACAAATTTCGTTTTTGGTTACAAGAGAGGGCTAAGCCCAAACACGAAGAAATTAAAACCCCAGGGAATCAATTCCCATACACTCTTTGTTAACCAACGACCTTAACTTCAGAGGGCAAGAGTCCAAAGTTCTGATCACGAGATATATGCTGTATCGTCAGTTCCCAAGTGTATTTCATCATCTCTCTGAATCTGAACGAACACTAGACTTGCTCCCTTGTTAGAAGATTCATTAGACAATAAGTCGACCAGGAACTTTGAGTCAGTTTCACGCATGATCCTCCTAAAGCCATATGCCAAGCCAGCAGCCCAGCACAAGTCCCTTTAAAGTTACCCACTCCTCAGTCTCACAGGCAACAATATCCAAGAAAATGAGTAAATCCAGGAACCCAATTTCTAGAATGGTCCCGAATAAAGAAACAAATGCCTAAGTATTGAGTCCAAAAAAAAAAAAAAAGCCTAAGTAAGTATGGTCAATCCACATTTCCGTTCTCCTCTTATAAAGCCCATCTAGAAATTCAGATTCAAGTCGGGGCTTTGAAATCCTTATGCGACCCCAACTGTTATCGGGCTTCTCTAGTAAACGCAATACCCCCTTGAATCGGGTCCATTCCTGCTCGGTTGAGAAAGTCTCAATATCCATGGTTAGATTTAAGGGAAATTTGGTTTTAAAAAAAATCCTATTTAAAAATTTAATTAGCTAAACTAAAATGACCTAAATTTGAGCGTGTCCAGTTATAATCCATAAGTGCAGTTTTTTTTTTCCTTGTTTTGTGCAAATGACTTTTGTATTGATAATTGTTGTACATAATTGAAGATATGTTGCATGTGATATAAAAAAATTACACTTACTAATCATTATTACATGCGATTAAATTTAGATTATTTTAGCTAATTAAGTTTTTAAATAGGGATTTTTTTACCAAAGGTTCCTAGATTAATATCCAAGGCAAATCTTTGCCATTAAAGACGCATGAATGAACCAGCACGCATTCAAGTCTACTGGTTAAGATTCAATTCATATTTCACAACACCATAAATTCAGATCTTTCTGCCAACGTACCATAAATAGTGTATAAAAATGCTAACGTGTAAGAGCCATATACTCAGCGTGTTACCATTAGTACTCATCAATAACTAATCTTATCCGTAGAAGTGTGATGACTATATCTTATCACAATGTTAATTCCCTTTCCTTTATGATTTTCAAAGTTCTGCACTTCAACTGCCACGTAGTTGTACAGAGAATTTAGAGGGACGTGGACGTGATTTGGTTCCCATTAAGTTTTTAGTTATTTGGGGATGAATGCAGGCTGGGATGAGACAGACGAAGGAAAGTCATAAAGTGGGGGCAGAATCAATCCAATTAGGCGCCCACACAAGAATATCACAAAACCGTGTTTGCATTCTAAACAAAAGACCCAGCCTCAGAGACTTTTCAGACGGTTGTTGCGTTGCCTCTCTTTTAAGGAAAACAAACAGGGCCAACAAACTCCTCCCTCCGGGAAAAAAAAAAAAAAAAAGGAGAGGAAGAACGTGGCAGGCAAAACCATCACAGGCCATGTCACAAAAAAAAAAAAAAAACCATCACAGGCCAGCCAAAGTTCCAAATTAAAACCCCTACTTTCATTAGCGTTAATTCCTCCACTGATCACTCGCCTCTTAAAAGTAAGATTTAAACTCATCATCGCGCATATTTATGGTCCAGCACCGTGGTGGTCCAACATAGGATCACAATATTGACTTTGTCCTTCTTTATTTATTTTTAATGTATTTAACTATTTATCATCAGTTTTAAAAATTAAAGAGTTGTACCCAAAAAAAGGGTAAAGAGACACGGCTCCTTCGGAGGAAAAAAAACCAGAGAGAGAAACGACTCCTTCAACACGCAAGCCAGTCGACGTGCCGCTTCTTCACGGACCGCTTCCACTCTCTCAGTCCCTAGCCCTCCCTCCTACTTTTATTTTAGAAAATATTGCTCATAAATACCCATTTGAAGAATTAATTATTCAGTAGTCCCTAAATTTTGAAAAATGACAACATGTACTATCTCTGTTCCTTAATATAAAAACTAGTTTAGCTTTTAATTTGATTATAAATATAAAACCTCAATCCATTTTGTTTATGATATTTATTCATTTTTTAAAGGTAGTCCTTATAGTAATTATACACAAATGACACTTGATTAGTAAGGATATTTTTAAAAAAACAAATACATATTTATTATAAATAACTGATTTAACTAATTTTTTAAATCTACTCAAATTAGTTAACTAACTTTCATAAAAAACCGGAGGTGGTATAAGATTTTAGATTTTTAAAGACTGGCCCATATTTTTTCTGCATATAATGTTGGAATTCAAGGACTATTTGATGCCATTCTCCAAAGAGGCCTTTATAGGCAATTTTCTCTTTGTTGTTATTATTATTATTTTGTTTCGTTGGGCTTTAAATGCAAATCTTAGCCACGAAGTAAAATTGCGCCCCAAAACAGATGAGACGAGACGAGTGTGAATGTGAAGTGTGAACTCAAAATCACGAACCCACCATCTAGCAAGGTCAAAAAAAAAATCCCCACCTTCTAGAAAAACCCAACTGCCCCTGTCTCTCTCTCATCCACGTCACCATATACGCGTTTTACCCTCACCCTCTCTCCCCTCCCCTCCCAATCAAACCCCTCTACTTTCAACTTTGACAAATTAACACGCAACCCATAATCCCCTCCGTAACTTTCCTCGAAGCTTCATTTTTCATTTTTTAGTTTTATTAATTATTAATTATTAATGTTATCTGATATATTATCGCCATTATTTTGTTTGCAAATTTAATTTGCCTCCCCCCACCACTCCCAACTCCCAAGCCCCACCTTTTTATTTAATAATCTCTTCCTCTTCCTTCATTCCATTCCTCCGATTCCCTTTCTCTCTCACTCTTGAATCTTCATTTCTCTCTCTACGGCTCTCTGATCTTCTTCGTTTGTTGACTGAGTTGTGTAGCTGAAGGCCGGCCATGGAGAACAATCAGCAATCCTTCTGGCAATTCAGCGATCAGCTTCGTCTTCAGTCTTCTAATCTGGCGAATCTGTCGCTCAACGATTCCATATGGAGCAGCAATTACGCCACCAAGAGAACTGATCAGAGGATGAATTTCGATATCAAGGTTGGTGGTGAGATCAACAGCAACCCACCGCCACCACCAATTTCAACCCCAAGCCTTCTGCTGATTATAATCTCTTCAACGATAGCTGGAAGATGCCCGATTCTTCCATTTCCAATGGATCGCTTTTCTCTGTGCCTCATAACACTGTTCCCCTCAATGGAGCTTTCAACAAAGGTATTTATTCCAAGCCTTCTTATCTTGATCTTAACATGAACATCAACTCCATCAACTCCAAGGCCAACAGACTCGGTGGTAAGAGTGAAGATCCCAAAGCTGCCAAGAGGAACAACACGAGTGGCAACAAGAAGAACACCGACAATAACGAGAACAAGGATACTAAAGCTGCCGTCGACAAGAGATTCAAAACCCTGCCTCCTTCTGAGTCTCTTCCCAGAAATGAAACTATTGGGGGATACATCTTTGTCTGCAACAACGACACCATGGCTGAAAATCTCAAAAGGCAGCTCTTTGGTATGTCTTCTTTCTTTATTTTTTCCCACCTTATGATCTTGATTGTAGTTTGCAATTATGTCTTTGAACTAGACTCCTCTTCAATTTCCTGTTATCTTTGGCTTGTAAGTATGCTAATAGTTAGATCGCCTGAGGTTTCTCTGATTTATAAAAAAGAAAAGAGAAGAAAAGATTACCTGAGATTTTATAAATCATACTTACGGTACTAGCTAACCTATCAACCACCTCTTTTTCCCTTGTCTTCTTGGGCTATAATCGTTGTCATAACGGATGCTTACTGTAAATCGAATTATCCATAGTCTGATACATTCCACTGTTTTTCCCAGTCACTGTTTTGTCAGAGATTTAGGAATATCAATCAAATTAGATACTGAAAGCATAACAATTTTGACCATTTCGCCGTTTCCTTAGGTAGATCTTCGTTCAATTTGTGTTCTTATTTTTTTTAATTATTATTATTATTATTAATCGCAGGTCTGCCCCCACGATATCGGGATTCAGTTCGCGCAATAACTCCGGGACTGCCCCTTTTCCTTTACAATTATTCCACCCACCAACTCCATGGCATCTTTGAGGTATTCCTTCGCTTCGTCGCTATTTATTAATTTTATTTTACGGATCTGCTTATATCTATGTTGGAATAAGAATATGGATAAGGCAATAATCTCTGCATTTAGGTGCTCCTTTTTTGGATTGGAATACGGTTATTTCCAGCACTAATAGTCGGTGGGGTTTGTTTGTTCAGGCTGCAAGCTTTGGAGGAACAAATATTGATCCAACGGCTTGGGAGGACAAGAAGTGCCCTGGTGAATCTCGCTTTCCTGCTCAGGTGTCACCCTCAATCCATCTTTATCTCCATTATTATGTTACCTTGTTTGAGAAAGCTTCTGACGCTGAACATGTTAATTATGATGTTTGCAGGTACGAGTAATTACCAGGAAAATCTGTGAACCATTGGAAGAGGACTCCTTCAGGCCAATTCTTCACCACTATGACGGCCCTAAGTTCCGTCTTGAACTGAACGTGCCCGAGGTAACTTGGTCTTTTAACATGTCGAATATTAACCTCCAAAATCAACATGATTCAACTATATATTCTCAAACTAAACCTTGGCATTTTCTGGTTATAGGCACTGTCTCTCCTGGATATCTTCGCTGATCAAAACACTTTCAAGGAAGTTTTCAACGCGATACCAGCTTGAAGGTAGAGCAGAAAGACAATACAAGAACAGAAGTTACGAAGAGAAAGGATAATTATTATAGAGCGGTTGGTTTAAATCTTATACATGGACTACAATTAAAGAGTGTCCGAAGCATTTATAGTGGAGGACGCATGAAATACGCAACCTGAATATGTTGTTAAGCAGTGATTGCTGTATAGAGGCTGTTGTGTAAGGTTGAAGCCCGATTTTCTCTTTGGTATATACCCATATATATCATGATGACATAAGAAAATACAATAACACCGAACTATTTTGCTCGAGTTCTTGTACAAACTGATAACGTGTGGAAGTTTGCTTGTTGAAGTCAATATTTGTGTGTTGGAAAGGACTTATCGTGTGAGCAAAATATGTGCGTTACAACTTCTCCTTCCAAAGGGGAGTCGCTTTCTTGCTATCCATATACATCTCTACGACGATATAATAGTTTCAAGCTTTCGTTATTCTCTTCAGATTCCTCGAGCACAAAGCATAGCCATTGTCATGGGTTTAGCATTATGGAAGCATTTTGTTTTCAGGAAGGTTTCTCTGCTCCTTGTCCGGTGAAGAAGAGGAACCTATTGAGAACTGATGAAACTGCTCATGCTGGTTTGAGTGGTTGGTTTAAATTCTGTCGCGGTGATTGATATGTTATGTTAGAAGTTCGGCTCTTGTGCAGGATTCCTAAGATCTCCTCTTGTTCATCATCTGGGATGTTAGAAATGAAGTGGTTCATGGTGAGAACGTATTGGATCATCTGAGAGCTCCTAGTAAGCTAGAGTACTACAAATTTTGGAGCCCTTTTGGCAACAATCAGACGCAACGGAGTCAGATTATTCTTTCACAACGAAGTACTGTTAGATGAGATGATAGTTGGCAGGGCAAAATTTTAGTGGGGTCTATTCACTTCACTTTCTGCGATGTGTGACAAAGAAGGAATGTGTGAATTTCTATGTTCCGCACCCAGAAAGCGTCTTCTTCTGCAAAATGAAAATTTTTTTCAAGGGAATTAGGTGATGATTAGCTGGGGGCGAGAAGAAGATATACTTTTTAACACTCGCTGATGCGCAGTTGGTAAGCGAATCCCCCCAAATCCAGGACTAACACACAAGCAAGCACATGTGTTTTAATGGGGTTTTTAGTGGTTTGGTAATCGATTATTACATCAACTTAGAAAGCAATTCATCCATAAATAAATACGTCATGATAATACTTCTAAAAGGCATAGCTGACCGTTTCAACGAATTGAATTCATCAATCAAGTATTTAAATAGAGATAACGTGCCGGGTTATATTGGGCGGCAGGTTGCTTGACTAATCATATTTTTAAATTATGGGCCACTCAAACTTCAGTTCTAGAGGTGTTGGCTGGAATTTTTCTAATAATTATGATTCATTATGCTGCTGCCCGTTTAGTCATTATATTAGTCAAAACTATGCAAGCAACACGTTTGGACTTTTCAATTTTAATTTAATTTTAAATTTTTGTAGTTGGCATGTCAGGACACAGCCCCACAAGGCCACAGCTGGATCTGCAACTTTTGTAAGAATTGTATCACTTCACGCATTTTTTTTAAACGCATTATTCGTCTTCTGTGGGTGAAAATTGCATGCAACCAAGAAAATTGTATACCAAAAGATCATTTTCTCCCCCTCTCCAAAAAGAAAATTCTTTTTTATTTGATGCGGGGCTTGATAAATGATGGTAATTACTATCTTTAGTTCTAATTATAAGAGCTAGTTGACTAACTTGAAGAAATTAAGAAAATAAGTTAAATTAGTTATTTGTAATAAATTAAGTGTATTGGCTACAACAACCATTATAAAAAGGACTATATTGGAAAAAAATGTATAAATATAAGAGACAAAGTGAATTGAGGTCTTATATTTAGGATCAAAATAAAAATTAAACGAGGTTTTATATTAAGGACAGGAGGTGGTATATTAAGAACTTGATTAAAAATACATGCGTGAGTTTTGATTTAATAGTTAAATATTATATTATATTAAATGTTATTAATGCGGTTCTTTTTGCGCAACAAGTATTTATGCAGTTGGATGCACGGACGAACCTTTTGGTTACAAAAACTTGTTCATGTCATTGTTTGATTTTATTTATTTTTTAATTAATTCACTTAAATTGTTGTATATATGATTTTATTCATTGATTGACGATTGATTAAAAGTAATTACGTAAATTAGAAGAAAAATGGTGATGGAGTAAATCTTCTATCAAGTAGAAAAAAAAGATTAATTAACTAAGCAAATGCTTGAATAATTATCCGAACAACCCTCTAATAGGGAAGTGGGGGAAGAATGAGTCGCATGCCACTACTGGCACGTGTCTGACGTCCTCATCTAGCTGGGCCACGTGTGAAGGCAGGAAACACCAACGATTTTCGAATTTTGTATGGAATAAAATAAGTAAAAAAGAATAGTTTGGTTTATATATGTTTTGCGGAATTCACCCCCACCCCCGGGTCCATAGCTCAGTGGTAGAGCAATTGACTGCAGATCAATAGGTCACCGGTTCGAACCCGGTTGGGCCCTAATACTTTCATGACTCTTTTTAATTTTGCCCAGTTTTGAAGCCCAACATGTAATCCTTATATACAAAGACAGATATGGACAGTGACAAGGTAAAATGTGAGCACCAAATTAACTAATTATCGCACAGAGGATAACGCTTGCTAGATGAGGCTCCCATGAGAACAAAACAACACTTGCAATTTCTGGTCTGCCAATTTAGCCATTTATTGGCTTGCACGCAAAAGCCAGCACTATGGATAATTTATTAGTGCATGCCATATGCATATACCAGAGAAATAATAGCAATACAATGGAACATGAAGTTAAAGTTAAAGACAAGCTCAGTGCATGCCATATGTATATACCAGGGAAATAATAGTAATACAATCGAACATGAAATTAAAATTAAAGTTAAAGACAAGCAGGACAGTGAACCAAGCCATTTTCATTACAGTGTGGGCACCTTCGTTTCACTTCTCCCCCAGACGCCGCCGTCTCTATCACCTTGCAGCTCCCGCCACATTCCAAACATGGCACGAACCTGGCCCCACCACAACCCTCGCACGCTTGTCTCCCTATCCCTCTCTCCACACGGGTCGCGTTTAGGATCCGTCCCAGTCGACCCGACTCGTTCAGCTCCACCACCTCCTCCGCCCCGCCGATGTACCTCCCTTTCACGAACACTCTCGGCACTGTAACTCCCTCCCCCACCATCTCCTTCATCTCCTTCAGGAACTCTCCGTGCAACGACACGTCCCTCTCGTCGTACACCACCCTGTGTGACTCCAACACTTCTCTCACTCTGTTACAGTCTTCGAACGTCTTCCTCACCCCTCCTAACGACGTCGTGTATATCACCACCCCTTCCATCCCTCCCGGCGGGCACTTCTCCGGGAAGTCACTCAGTGGGTCCCTCCTCAGCTTCGCTATCCTGTCGTAATTCGCTTGCTTCCCTTCTTTCTCTCTCTCCATTCTGTCCCTCACTACGAATATGTTGTCCTTCACGGATTTGAATCCTTCTCCGACTTCCTGTTTCGTACCCTCCTCTTTCTTTTCCTCTGGTTCCTTGGGTTTGTCCCGCATGGACTCCGTCTTTCGCAGGCCTTTATTCGGCTTAGGGTTTAGTTTTGCGTCCAACTCTTCCAAAGTGCGGAACGACGTGCTTTTCTGTGGGGCCTGCTTCGTCGTCGAAGTAGACGGAGGTTTAACGACGGGTTTGGCAGCGTCGGCGAGGTTGGGCTTGAGGTCGTCGAGTGCTTTGCTGAGCTCGGCCCATGACTGAGGAGCCTCGGTGGTCTCGAGCTTGTTGAGCTTCTGCAGGAGAGGAGGAGGCAAGTTGCGGTTGGAGGCTTTGTCCTGTTGCTCCTGCGCAATCTGAGCGCTGTTCAACTTCAGCCATGGTTCTTCGATGGCGTTGATGTCAAACACCGCGAAGCTCGCCGGAGCTGGGCGGTAAACATCGACTTTAGATTCGATACGCTTTGAGGAAGCGCACCCCATTATTCCTTGTACAAAGTTTTACAGAATTCAAGTATTAAATAAAGGATTTTTCAGTTATTGAAGATGGAAATGTAGAGGTTTGTTACTTAGAGCCATTGTGAGAGTGGTGGTGAGGGATATGTGGTGTGGCGTTCGTTTGGCTGTGAGGCGATTATCCATCTGATGTTGATTTTTCATAATTTGGGTTTCTATTATTGGCCTCACGATGATATCTGGCATCTGTGTATTTTCGTGGACCTGCAAGATTTCGCCACGTGAGTATGATATCTGATTTTGGTCCCCATTCATTGTCTACTTTGGAATTGTCACTGTGCCACACTTGCGGCTGAAGATTAAGCATACTGTTGCTAATAACTATACAGGGCTATGGTATTTTGGATTTCTATTTTCTACCCTTCCTCCATCTTTTTCCTCTGTCTGTGTACCTTTTTCTCGGATTCGGTAAAATTATGCTCTACAAGTCGGCTTCTTGTCACGAAAACACATGGACAAGGGTTGAGGTAGGGCAAAGGCAATATAGAAAAGAACCGGGGCAACATCTGATTGCGGGATTTAAGTATTAAAGTAAGAGAAAGAGACAAAGGTTGTCTAGATGAATGCAATATACTAAATTTTAAGGTATCAATCAATCAAGAAGGGTGAATGCATGCTGCCTCCTTCGGATAACGATCCCAATAATCTCGAAAATGCCTCGTGAGTCTCACTTAGTTATCACGGGCCAAATCAACACAAAATGATTTGAGGAAAGAAAAGAAAGCAACTTTTTTTTTTTTGGGGTGCAAAAAGAAAGCAACTTCTATTACTTCCAAGTATAGTGAGTCCAATCCATGAGGCTTTTTGCAAACAGGATATAGAAATTCAAAAAGGGATATCTGAGAAATGTGGTCATAGGGGGCTAGGGACGAACACAGGCTAGGCGAAACGGAATCATATAGCGCGGACATTTGAATGCCGTATCTGTCTGCATTATCCGGAATTTGTGCAGCATTATTAAATTTGGGAATCTAACCTCACGCTCTGTTCTGTTCTTTTCCCTTTGGTTCAATCAATACTCCACTAACTGTCAAAAACAATTCCCCAACCCAACGGTCAAATTTCACATGCGCACCGCTAAATATACAAGCTAACAATATTATAATGTGGTTTCTGCTCAGATATTTCAAATATTATATATAGCTATAAGAGGTCGAAGTGGAGGTGGTGAGGATCAGGGGAATCTGGTAGTAATGGGAAATTGCACTCTTAAAGGGGTCACTGGGGAGTGTCACTACTCCATCCGGGTTCTGAGTGACTGGGGATCTCTTTTACAGTTCAAAGGTCCCATAACAGTTGGCGAGGTGCTCCGGCGGCACCAGCCTGGTTATGGTATTTTCCGGCAAGGCCATACATCCTCGCCGTTGCCGGAGCATGAGAGCTTAAGTTACGGCCTTCTCTATTACCTTCTTCCTTTGAAGCCGGAGGAGGTGGTTGAAAACACTTCAACTGATCATCATGGAGATCCAAATCAGGAAGTGGAAGGCAAGGGTTGTGAGCATAGAGCAGAGGAAGGGGGGACGAATGAGAACAAAGAGAAACAAGGCAGGTCGCCGGACACAGCAGAATCAGAATACGTGAAGAATTTGTCGAATGGGTCTGCGCTTGAAGTCCTTCCATCGGCCGGAAATGGCGTTTGGAAGGTGAAGTTGGTGATTGACACGAAACAACTGGAGGAGATTTTGTCAGAGCAGGTGAATACTGAAGCGTTAATTGAGAAGATGAGGATGGCTGCTTCTGCAACTTCGTCCAGTCCCACAAGAAGCAGACGAACCATGAGCCCTTGGAAATTGGGATGGAAGCCACCAACTCTCTTCAACAACACACCCATTATCAAGGAAAGGCTCTCTACACCAAGTTGCCTCAATAAAAGCACTTTGTAACAAGTTAGAATTTCAGTGTTAACATTAGAGTTGTGGATTTAATTGGATGTCCTGTCCAAATATGACTGAAATATCGAGGTGTTTGATTGTTTAGTAGTTCCAAGGCGACCCGTTCTGTAAATTTCTTATCCATCCTCCCGAATTGGCCGCTTAAGGTTAATTCCTAATGAATGCTGGCGGATTGAAGTTCTGTGGATTCTGAATCCATAAATAGTAAATAAAAGTAAGTTTAACCTTTTTCGACCGCTATGGTTTCCAGCTTTACAAAAATAGAGAAATCCAAACAAACTTTTCAAGCTCTAAAGCTCACAGTAGCATGAGAAGTAGGTTCAGCAACGGTATCCTGTAAATAGCATGGTCTCGAACAAGTTGTATCTTTCTTTTTTGGCCCAGGAAGAGGCTTTTTTTGGGCATAAACAATCGCATTTACTAGTACACAAGTCTGACTGCGTGACGTCAGGGCTGGCTTCACACAGAAGGCACGCTGTTACCATATGCGGCACAATGCCGGTTGGAAGGGCCCCACATAATACCAAAAAGAACCAACCGGCAAATAGCCTTTTTTCGAGATTTTTTTTTTGGCCAGATAAGGGGGAAAAAAAATTGCGAATGTGAGGGATTTGGAAGAGAAGTTCAGACTGTCGTTCATCGTTAAGTGACTAATTCTATATCAGCCTTACTCCATGCTCTTCCAAAATATCCATTACCACTCAAGTGGCTATTTGCAGTACACATTACAAACACTACATAGGATTCATCATAAAGTCTTTGGGGGGGGGGGAGAAAAGAAGTCCAGCATCAAAAGAAAACCCGATAAACATTATATCCCCCAAATAAGCAAATCCAGTGCTAAGTGAGGATCAAATGAACATATCAGTACGATAAAACGCTGAAGGGACTTATGAGAGGTTTCCTTGATACCACATTTTGGATAACCCTGCATAAATGACCATTTCCGAATCTAAAACATCATCTAAATGATCGATAGTTCTGCCAACTGAGTAGAGGTACTTGTAAAACAGGGTACGGAGATTGCTTCATCTCATATGCTTGACTCCAGTTTCTGAATGGCTTTCTCTACGGCAGGTATATTCTTCTTCAAGGCTGACCACTGCTCCTCCGTCAAACTTATTCCTGAGACACAAAAAAGTAGAAGCTAAGTTGCAATTTGCAAGCAACCTTTGATTATCAAGCAGCACCATGTTTTATACAGAAGTGTTGTGTTTTTTTGTTCACCATATTTCATACAGAAGCATACAAATCAAAAGACTATTTGAGCAGCACATGATACTAAATTGGTTATCCATTGATTTGGACGTGAGTATGACAATATATAGGAATAAAATTTACAGAATTCAATAAAGAAAAGTATAAATTATATATTGGATGTATAGCATGGAAAGCCTCTACTCCAGTGCAACTTGATTCAGGTAAATCTCAATTCTAAGTAGCTTCAGTTTCAAATCCAAATAATCATTGCATCGATGCATTGACATGATGACAGGTGATAGATAGCTGGGAAAAATGCAACCTATATATCATTGTAATTGGTTTCAACAGCAAATTGAGCATGGCAGAATAGCTACAATATATTCCATATATAGTCCATAATGCTAAACTCAATCCATCACTTTAATGAGCAAGTCTATTCTCCAAAACTTCCAAATTTTGATGTCCAACGGGACTTCAACGAACTTCAGCATATCTGATTTCACAGACATGGTTGATTCCATTGGACGTGGAAGGTGAGCATAATTCATCATCATACAAGCCAATCATTATGACAGGCGAAACAAGCACGAATAGATATAGTAAGAGAAACACGTCACTCTAGAATACTGCAGACAATCAGTATCAGAAAGTAATGATTCCTTTGTGCCCCTTTATGCTAATTAGCTTGAGTTCATTATGGAGATCAGCAGACGGTTGAGGTATAAAGCCTAGTAGCCTGTCTTTCGCAACAGTTGAGAGATGCGGATCTTTGATTAAAAACTCACTTCTCTACCATAAGCATTTTAAAGCATTTCAATATTTCAGATCTGTGGGATAAGATGAACAATGCTTAAAACCGGGTACCATACGAGCAAAATTGGCAGCACATGCCATGAATTTATCGTCTCACTAAATAGATTTTTATGAACCACTGAAAAGCTTACGGAAAACTAATTTCGCTGGGAAGAGATAGAAATACCTTTCGAAGAAGGTAATTCTTTACCGTCCTTTCTATAGTACTCTCGGATAGAGACCAATGTTTTCCCTCTGAATTCTTGAATCGTCACCCTTCTCTGGGCTGAAAGCTGCAAAAAAGAAAAGAATTAGTAGAATCGTTCGGGGAGTTTTGGTTTGTCAGAAAACAAAGGGAAAAGTCAGGCAAGAGGAAGAGGAAAGGGACCTTGCAGATGATGAGATTGCCCTCATCATCGTACTCCTGGCCCTGAGAAGTATCCTCTTGTGAATTTTCTTCCTCCTCCGGCTCCTCTTGCTTTTCCTGAATGAAAGCCTCCACAACCTGCTTCACTAAGGCTTTGTAGTGCGGCCGCGACAGGTCGAGGTCGAGTTCTTTGGCGGCTTGCTTCCTGACTTTGGACTCGGTGACGTCGTCCATGTCTGATTCCTCCAGAATCCTCCGAACAGTGGTCTCAATTCGTCCTTGGATTTCAGCGTCCATTTCCAGCAGAACACTCAGCGAACGGCAGTAGCACTGATGTTGGGAATTTGGCCAGGAAAGAGGAAATTGGAGCTGAGTGAGGGGTTTACATTTGGGAGAATTTAAGGAGATGTTAGAAGCAACTTTATTTAAAATTAGGAGAAAAATAAATTAAAAATTAGAAATTGCGTTTTAATGTTGATTAATTAAAATGCCCTTCTCTTATGCCAGTGCTTAATATAAGGAGTTAAACTCAATTATCAATATAAAGCCTCACTTTATTTTGTCTTTCAGTTTTATAATTTTTTAAAAAAATATATTTATTAATTGTGTAACTCTAAATGCATAGAACTATTAAAATATTTTAAAAAGTATAACACTTATTTATTATGAATAATTAATTTTTTAATATGTATAAATTAATTTAAAAAATTCATTATCATCAAGAGTTGGAGCTCCATCCTTGGTGGTCGCCACTGCCATTGAAGTCCAATTGTCGGTTGCTGACGATCTAATGACCGGTGATAATGGTTAGTGTGTGTATATAAATGAAGGGATATTGAAATATAATTTCAGTTTAGTCTCATAATCTAGCAGGGTAATTTTGATTCTTTTATGCTAATTTTAAAATGAAGCAGCTTTTGAGGTCTTATAACGAAATTCTCCTACTTCGTGTGCATAGATCCACGCAGCTACACATGACAATTATTATTGTTATTCTTTTTGGGATCAATGCTTTTAGTTTTCTCAAAAAAAAAAAAATTTTCCCAAAATTTTAAACTATTTACATAAAATAACATTTCTTGTTACGAATTTTGTAAACTTATGTTCTTTTAATTTTAATTTTCTCCACTTCTCACTCAAAGTACTCCTATAAACTATGGCTAACATCTTTTCGTTGTGAATTTTGTGAACTCGTGTTCTTTTGATCTTGATCTTCCCCACTTTTCACTTAAAGTACTCTCCTAACATTTTTTTTTTTTGATTCTTCTTCTTCTTTAAATAATATGGTCACTTAAGAATCGTAGTAAATATTATTTTGAAAGAATTTTTCGTCCCCTGAGAATTGAGATCTTTAAGAACTGAGCTCAGCTGTCAAGTTAGTATTGTTGCAACTTTACGTTTCTTTTTATATATGAAGTTTCATGCATGTTGTTTATAATGTATTTTTCATTGAATTTTTTTTGCCTGAATTTTTTATTGAAAAAGTTCAATAGCATTAATAAATTTTTGGTGTTTAATAAATAATTGTTTTCATTATTCATAATTTATATTTTAAATTATTTTTCTTTGTAACAAATATGAAGTAAATGCTACAAATTTTTCAAATCTTATTTACATGGGTATCATATGTCGACTTTATCTCCAATAGGGACAACTTTATTTTTGGTATTTATTTGTAGCAAGTCATTATTCTCATTATTCTTTAACAAGCAAAATTATACTTTTGCCCAGTATCTTCACCTAGTCCAAGCATTTTCATGTTAAAATTTTGAGCAAAAAAAACCAAAAAAAAAAAGAAAATTGTAACATATTTCTAGCATCCTGGGAGAATATTGTATTAAAATTTTGAGCAGACCACATCTTAAATCCAAGACCCGTCTGCATATCAAACGAAAATATGGTAAGGATGGTCATTTCCTCAAGCCCCATTGTCTCCTGGTCATGAGCGTTGGTTTAAGCTTTTCTCTGTAGGCCGTCTCAACAAGGGAATGAGCATGTGGACACCCCCACCAAACAAGTTTACCTCTTCAATTTCCTCGTTCCCTCCTTTTTCTCACTGCAATAGTTGGAATCATGCGTTATTATTAGAAGCTCACATGAAGCATCAGGATATAACAGGGCAATTTGAACTGTGAGCTATAACGTTCTCATTCAGATTCATGAACTATAACTTCCGGTGTTCAAAACAACGGGCAAAGAGCAAGGACAGTTACCTCACTGACAGCAAGAATATGATCCCAAACAAGTCAAAAGCTACTTTTTTTTTTTTTTCAATCTCTAAATAACAGTTAAACACAAACTTTTAGGACTTGATCCTCGGCTGTGCCTGTTATCGTGTAACAATAATTACACTTGTAAAATTAACGTGTTTATGTTATTTGCATATTTTTAGTTGATTTATAATAGATAGATTCATTTTCATCCCAATACATTGCAGTTGAGCACTTCATAAGGATAGTCACAGCAGGGTATCTAAGTCCAGACTTTTGAATTGTCTGCTTATGAACGAACAGACGACCGGAACTCTTCTTTCCTTTTAGCTGGGAAGCCAGAGGGGCGTATAGGTGCAGTAAGACATCCAAATTTACCAAAAATTTGCATAAAAATAAAATGGAAGCAGTCATAACCAGATATTGCTTCCACTCAATTTCACGGATGCACTTGTTAAAAGCTGACTGATTTAACAAGATTAAAAAAAATGACATCTAAATCAGCACAGAGCCATATTTGAATCCCTACAGGTAGGTGTACAAAGAGGAACACTAGGGGACGCAGCTAATGTCAACTTTAGCTTGCTGATGAATGCAGAGACAAATTTAAGCATCACAAATTCTCTATTGCGAAGTTATATTGCAGGTACCATCAGCATTCAGCAGGACGATATAGAGAAGAACAAATACAGGGAATAAGGAATTGATCAGGTAATAAAAAAGAAAGAAAGAAAATTACCTCGATTTCTTGTCACCGCTAGATCTTAATGAAGCTTTTTCACCACGTCCAAAGGCAACTTCATCCATACTCTGTCCTTGACGCCGATACCTCCCACCAGAAGCCACGAATCCAGGACAAGGTCTGTAAGCCTTAATAGGCCACCATCCAAATCCTGGTACTGTTGCAATCCCACCTTGGATCCTCCCTTCACCATTACACCCCTTCTCGATTTCTTCCCTTCCGCATGCCCTACAACCGCTGTAGAAATGCATTAAAGAAGCAAATATATCAGTTTATTTTTATCATCAATCCAAACATGGGAAGGTCGGTACGCGGAAAATTTCATTCCCTTTACGTATCAAAGTTAAATGAACATCATAAACAGGTCAATACACTCTTATCCTTAAGGCGCCAAAATAGGCGCCCCAAAATGCTGCTTTAAGCCTCGGCGAGTGACTGGGTATGCTTTCATCAGTCAAACTTTAGTATCATGAATAATTAAAGCCTGATACAAGAACAGGACTAGCTGACGATAACTTATCAGGCACCACAGGAAAGAGGGAGTAATAGCGAACGAAATAGAAATTAATTTTCGGTGCTCTACAGTGGATAATGGCTTAATAACTGAAATTGATCTCTCAGGGCAATATTAAATTACAGAGCTGGTACCTCTGAGGAATCTCTACAGCGTCATCAGCGGCAGAATCAGATTGGACGGGAAGTGCATCTGACGAAGAAGGGCCATCTTCCACAACAGTGGTTGAAGAGGGAGAGCACAAAGGAGCATTAAACTTAAGGAGCGGGTAGGAGACAATTTCCCGCGAGTTTCTGGATATGCAGTTACGCTTATACAGATGAGGCTCGTGAGAACTCGGAACGGAGAAAAGAGCAAACGCCCTTGCCATTTCCTCCCTTTCCGACAATAGATAACGAGCCCCACGCTTTTTAGTCACATCCACTAATCTTCCGCTTATATCAAATGTGAGGCTGCGATTGAGGCAGCTTGATTCATTACATAACTCGCTACATGAATCATGATATTTTTCTCTACATTGCGTCTCGGTTTTGATGATTATCATCTTGCCACTTCCGAGTACCATCCCATTCGATCTGCAGTTATTTCTGTTGCATATTGTTTCCACTTTTCTCTTGGGTGTAATGTTACATATTCTTTTTTAAGTCGAAAGATTCCGCCATTAATACCGATTTTCGCGTTTTTCATCCTCGAGGGATTTAAGGTAACAAGCAACAATTATTCTTGGACCACCAGTTTTGGTAACCGTAATTTACAATTAAATCATTTGGTTATAATAAAATATAAGAGGGAGTCAAAAATGCAGTGCGGAGGCACAGCAACAATGGAATGCTTATGCTTTGACCAAGGCTCGCGCTATACACATCAACAATCCTCGCTTCAGATGCCAACACATCCTCATTCGCCGCATCATTCAAAGACATCCCTCTTCTGTCCAAGTCTTGTCTCACACTTCATGTGCTCACCGTAATTATAACAATTTTTTTTTTAATGGCTTGAGCCATTGCAATTGGGACTTCTTGTCTTATATACAGTATGCAAGCGAAATAGAGACGGGGGTAACTTAACTAAAAGGGATCTTCACCAAAGAAATCATGAAAATTTCAATCATCTTTGCTTCTGCGAATTAAAACCACCTTTTGTAACTAGTATCAGACTAAATAACGGCATCATCTCTTCTCTCACTTGTTTAGCCATGTACAATCTGTTGTTCCATTTCGCCGTCCATCACAGAGCTGTGATGATGAACCATATACCAGCGGCCGTTATGAAACTCAAAGACGTTAGTCACATTGAATGGACCTGTATCCACATCGACATATGTTTTCATGGTAACCCAAGCCATATCTGTCAAGACCCGAGCACGTACATCCCGCACCTGAAAGTTCAATCCTTGCTCCCAATTGAACGCAAGCTGCCAACTCTGCATTACTGCATTGTATCTGCAACAAGGATGATCAATTGATTATATTACTGAGCTTTCTAGAATCATATCTCAGCAACCTAATTTTGGAGAAAGGATGAAAATGAAGAACTACAAGTTCACAGCCCTAACTGCAATAGCACATCATAAACTTAAAAGAACGGTTGTATGACTATCTCTTCACACGTGATTGAAATATATATGATATCTCTTACACCATACATGTAAAATTATATCTTCGGAGGACTAAGCTCAAAGTTGCGGGTTCCTAAACATATTCCAATCTTACAGTAAAACTAAAAGAAACTTTAAACCACCACATAGCTAGCATGTTACAATTCGTTCAATTCATTCCCCGGGGCTGCGTTTTGAAGGATCCCTAAAGAGTTCACAAACATCCACTCATCTGGTTAACTTGTATGAGACATACCCATCAATAAATCACAGCAATGCCTCCACACAACCAAAGCCAAGGCCAACAAGCCCAATGGTATCTTTGATTAAAGATCAAAATATCCACATCTAGAATGCATCACCAATAAAAATAGAGGACTAAGAGTTCAAAAAATGGATTTGACCACACAATAAGGCCCTGTAAAATGAGCCAAAAAAACCTGCAAATCCAATAGGGGAAAAGAGCAACTTCACTCAGAAAATACAAATGCTGCAGAAGCATGGGAAACATGAAACTTCATGCACTATAAATGACCGAGATACTTCCTAAATTAAACCCTCACTCGCTCTTTTTTAAGACACCAAGTCCAATTCACTTTTCAATTATAAAAATACACCTTGGCAACTTTAAGCACCAATAAAATTCAATGAATATTGGTGCAAATAGTCCAATGCATGGCCATCCATCTCGGGCCTCACAAATTTTGGTGAATCGAACAGTACCTTTGAATAGTACGGATATTATGATCTATGAAGGCCATAATCAAAATTCAACGGATACCACTAAAATGGCAAAAAAATAAAAAAAAGACATCGATGCAAGAGGATGAATTTAGAATTGAATGTCAGGCTAAACATATAAGATTACAGAGATAAAGTCATACCCTGAAAAAAGTTCTCCTGAAGCATGAATACACTTCACATAATCTGCATTCAGCCAAAAATCACTCATGGCTGAAAGAGACTTCACTCTGACAATGTTGTAGAATTGTGCATTAATATTCACAATTGCTCTTGTGGCAGCATAGTAAGATTTCCACCCATTAACTGGTGTAACACTATCTTGTTCCAATGTAAAGTCCTAAAAATAGAATTTCAAAAGAAAAAAGCTGATAACATATCAGGTAAATGAGAATAAGAAATTCAGAGAAATTTATCAAACTGTACAATAATTCGGTAATTCAGAGTTTAGCTGGATTCCACAGAAAAAATAAAAGAAGACTGAGAGGGAATTCATCGTTTATAGGCACTAGCTTTATCCTCCTAGTAATGTCTTCCTCTCCTTCCCTCCTTTCTTATCCTATAATCCTCATGGTCATAGTAGTATCAAGGAAACGGCTTTATGCAAAATCTTCACTTGTATTTTTGAAAAATGTCATTCAGATAATGTTCAATAAGCACAACCACTTAAGAAACTTAATTGTCCCCTAAAGTTCTTGCAAGAAACCAAATCAAAGCTCATGTGTTTAACCAAGTGGCCAAACCAAACAAACAGACGGACGTTATACTTCCAGAAAAACAGTGCAACAACCTAATTACGCATGACGTATTACCTAATAATTGCAAACGAGCCCACCGAGAGTAGCTGAAATGCGCGCAGGCCCATAACAACAACAAGCGGTCATGAGTTTTAATTTTACGATATCACCATCTAAAGTCGATAGCCAACCAAACATGACAGCAATCACCTTAAGCTAGGAAATAGATTAGCATTTGTACCTTAGAGTTTGTTAATTTACCTTGTGATACAGGGCCTTCCATGCATTATCATCATTTGCAGCCTTCCGCATCAAAGAATTAGTCATTGAGAGGCGACACAAACTCGGATAATCCAAGTAACTCAAAGCATGGGTTGTAATCTCCGGAACCAGATTCTCCATCATTGACGCACCGGTTCGCCGGTCGGTTAACAGGGCCGGGGTCGGAAGCGGGGTCAGGTTCGGGGATGGGGAGGGCGTGGCCTCCAACATTTCCGCCCCACCACCGTTCAAATAGGGCAGAGCACTCGTGGACGGAGAATCTGAATTTTCAACGATTCCGTTGCAAGAACAAGCGCAATCGCAAGACTTCCTCACGGAAAAGCCGTCCGAGTGAATAGATGATCTGAGAGCCTTGAGGGAATAGGGGAGTGAAAATGATCTGACAACGGAGAAGAACGCAAGCAAAAAACAGAGCGCAGTAACCGTTGCGGCTAGAACAAAAGGCTGCGATAAGACACCGATGCCGAAGACAGAGAGAACCTCCATTCATAAGACATGAAATCTCCGCCAAACATGAACCCTAGGAATTCGCAGCCACTCGCTCCAAGGGTTTTTCTTGCAGTGGTCTTTCCCGCTTCTTCCACTCGTTCCCGCGAGTGAACATTACTCCTCGCACCAAACCCTAATTTTATTTTTCAGGCCGGAGGGAATTTGAAGAAAAGAGGGGGAATTGAAACCCACAAATCCGTGAACTCAGTGCTGCTAGTAACTGACTCAAACATATCTCAATGACGTGTACAGTAAGTCAACAAAATAAAATCAAACCAACTATTTAAATTAAATACTTGCTTCTTTTCTCAGAGCAAAAACACAATTCGTTTTTCAAGTGCTTTATATAAGGTAAAAATAAAAATAAAATTCGACTTCCTAAAAACTCATCAAAAGATATTAATAATTAAACACATTGTTATCTCAGTTTAGTTTGTTTTAATATTACAAAAAAATAAATAAAACTTATGCCACAAAATGTTTTTTGAGAGAAAAAAGGTGATTACGACACTAATTTGGTGATTTATAATTTATACGAGGTAGCACAAAATTCATAAATATGTCCAAAATCTCTAACAGCAGAGTGTTAAGAGTTGAGAGAGAATAGGAGTGAGAATGAAAATTGGGAGGAGGGATTATCGTATAGTGTTGGTGGATAAGATGAAAGATGTGACGGTTAAGATGAAAGGAGGTATATGGACGCGTCCTAATTGGGCGGCTCTGAAGACGCGCGAAGCAAAGCAGTTTGGGCAATGATGCCAGGGAAAACGGAAAGGATGAATGGTTGTTAAGTTGAGTTGAGGTGTTGTTTTGTGAATTTGCCATCTCCATCTCTTCCTGAGGATCCAAGCTTGCAACATCATCATCTAGGTGCGTCTGAAACCCTAACACTGCCTTTAAGCATGATGCCTCTTCTCCTCCTTCTCCTCCTCCTTCTTCACCCGGATGATCTCTAGAATGAATCAAGCATGAAGAGTCAACCTCCTCCTCCTCAAACACACAGCTTCTTAAGATTCAAATGTCCCCATCACAAGGACGGCAATATGAGGAGCTTCTATGAGCTCTCCTTGTCCTTGCTCTTATCCCTTTGGTGTTTCCTTTTTCTCTTCTACTCTAAGCCTGGCCTTGGTCATGCAAATGGAGGTATGCCCCTTCCCCTTTTCACTTTTTTCTCCAGTGCTCCATCATTGCCCTCATTTTGTTTCTATTCTTACTTCTCTGTGGTGATAACCAAAGAGAAACAAAACCTACCTTGAATGGAGAAGAGAAACGCTAATTAGCTCTCAGGATGATGAAATATCTTGATTTTCATCACTGACGCAGTAATTGTCAAACATAGGCGTCCATCAAAGATTTACAGTATTCTTGAGGGGACTTTGGAGTAACTTTTGCGAGAGGAGGAAAAAATATAGCAGACTCGAAACCAAAAACTATTATTCGCGGGACTTGCTTAGGCTAGAAAAACTGATGTTAAAAAAAGATGATCTTTACCGGGTTTTCAAACCATCGAAATCTCTGATCTCGTAGTTATGGAAATTTGGCTTTCGAACTGTTTGGGATTTTGGGTGCTTAATGGTCTTTACTGTCTTTTATCGGGTGCAGAATTAATGTCGGGCGTGTCCTTATCTGCTTAACTATTGTACTGAGGAATTTCATATTTAAGATTGATACAGATTGTCAACTATCAAGCACAAATATTGATGTAATGATAAATTAATAATGGTGATATTTATATTAGGTGACTCGTATTTTTCCTCGTGTCATGTTTTGTATTAAATTTTTATTTGGAATTGTTTAGGGAAGTTGCCTCCTGACAACAGAAGCCGACCTTGGCCAATTTTTTCCCTCATCAGTGATCAGATAAGCAACCTTGCATATTCCTATGTTACTAATCGAAGCTATGTTTACGAAAATGCAGCTCTATTTGAGTTTAATGGGCCATCTAGCTCCAACAAACCCAGAAGTGCAAATCAGAAACCTGCAAAACCCATGTATTCACTTCCTGAAAAAACTACGTTAGAGCAAGTGTTTCGGAAAGTTTTAGGTAATTCTGCTTTGGTTTGTAATCTACGGCCCCTGGAAGACATAAAACTGAGACCAGAACAAGCTTCTGATGTGCAAGATCATCCATCATATCTGGATTATGATGAATTTCGAAACGCAACAGGACAGGGAGAAGGTAATACCATGCAACCAAAGCTTCTTAACAACACCCGACGACTTGAACCTGATGGATCAGAGTTCAACTTTGCCTCGGAATCCAAAGGTGCAAAGGTGGTGGCTCATAATAAGGAGGCAAAAGGTGCAAGTAATATACTAGGGAAGGATCATGACAAGTACCTGAGAAATCCTTGTTCTGTGGCAGCAAAGTTTGTTGTGATTGAGCTTGCAGAAGAGACTCTGGTTGACTCCGTGAAAATTGCAAACTTTGAGCATTATTCTTCCAATTTCAAGGAATTTGAATTGTCTGGATGTTTGAGTTATCCAAGTGAATCATGGGACCTGCTGGGAAACTTCGTTGCAACTAATGTGAAGCAGGCGCAGATATTTACGCTGCCTGAACCCAAATGGGTGAGGTATTTAAACTTGAGTTTGTTTAGTCATTATGGCTCAGAGTTTTACTGTACACTGAGTGTGGTGGAAGTTTATGGGATTAATGCGATGGAGAGGATGCTTGAGGATCTAATTGTAGCCACGGGGGTGTCTGTTCCTAACAAGTTGCCAGAGCACAATTCCAGTGATATCCTTTCATTAAAGCCAGAAGGTGGTCAAATTGATGGAAAAGGGAAAGAAATTGAAAGTGAGAAAGATGGTATGGCCGCTGAGACCTTAAGCAACGACACTCAGAAGCTTGAGGAAGGAGTGATAAAAAATCCAGTCGTTGTGAATAAGATACCTCATCTTCCTGATCCTGTAAAAGAATTCAAGCAACTAAATGGTAGGGTAGCTAGTGACGTTGTTCTCAAGATTTTGATGCAAAAGGTGAAGTCAATGGAGCTCAACTTATCAGGGTTGGAGGAGTTCATCAAAGAATTGAACAGAAGTCAAAGCGAGGCAATACCAAATCTTGAGAAAGAGCTGTCCAGATTATCAGAGTCCATAGAGCAAAGCAAATTAGAGATCAAAGATCTCTGGCAGCGAAACACAATCGTGGTACCTTCTCATTACTTTACCCTTTGCCTGTTCCCCTTTCAATTTCACGCACACGTTCACATGATTTCATAATCTCACTCTCCTCTTTCCCAGGAAAAAGAAGTAACTGAAGTTGAGTCATGGAAATATGCTATCTTATCTCAGGTCAATGCACTGGTCAGAGAAAATAGCATGCTAAGGTTTGGATGCTGCTTTCCGCCATCTCCATTTGATAGAAGAATCTCAGTGTCCTTTGCCTTTGTGGAATTCGTTTTTATCTGTTTTCTTGTGGGGCTTAACACGTCTTTCATATGCTTCCACTTTCAGATTAGATGTTCAAAAAATTGCAAGTGATCAAGCAAATCTGGAAACTAAAGAGCTTGCTGTACTAGCGGTGAGCCTCCTATTTGTGTGCCTTGCAATTTTCAGGATAGTTTTGGTAGGAGCATACAATAATGGTAAGGAACGCCAGACAAGTAGAGGTTGGGTTACGTTACTTGTTTGTTGCAGTGTAACCCTATTCATTATCTTGTTTTAAAGCTAGTCTTTCGTTGTAGGAATAGCTTCTATAATCACACATCCTACTTCAGAACAAATTATTTATTGGTCGCAAAATACGTCAAAAGGATAGGACAGCACACGAAAATTGACCCTGCTGAACATTTTGGTCACTGTTTCTCGCTACAACGAAATGTGTTGTATGAAAATCGAATTCAATTTAGCTAAGATAAAACATTGCTTTTCCATTCCCTCGTGGTATCCATTTAATCTTAACTTGAAGTCTTCGATGCTCGGAATTTTGGTATTTAAAAGAGGGTGAAACATGCATATGAATCAAGTTCCAATAAAGCACGGTGTTTCAAACTCATGGCACGAACAAAATTTTAGGCAACACTTCACACATATCCATGGAAGACTCATGCCCAAGATGCTAAAGCAGCGAAAGCTCAACTTCTGAACGACTAGAGCGTAAAACCTAAATTTCCCGAGGGGTTTTCAAAAGTCACGTGGCTTCTTCCTTTGATTGACTTTGTAATGCATACTCCAAATCACGCGTTGGTTCTTCGAAGAAAGGGAGGCTCCCAGGATTTTCCTCTTCCAAAAGAAGATTTAAAGGCGTTTCTGGGGGGTATTTGCTCAAAATGAAGTCTATTTCTTCACCACTGATCTCCTTCTGATTGAGCAGAACCTGCAGCGCCAGCTCACAACCAGTTTAAGTCATCCATAACGGTTTATCAAACAAGCAGTTACAATAGTAATCTCACTTTCAAAGCTTTCGCTTATTTTATGAAAGATCTTAGTTACCTTTATAGCTTTGAATAAAGCAGCGTGATGCCTCCTAAGAAGGGATACTGTCCTTCCATACATGTCATGTATCAACTCTTCTGTCCTCCTTGCAACTTCATCATCCAACTTGAAATTCAGTGGGCGTTCGATCAAGTCATAGTCATCATAAAGCGAACCTTCAAAATCCAGCCTTGGCCCAATAAATTTAACTTTCTTCCTCCAAGGCGGGGGTTCTCCATGTATAACCATTGGGTTCTCCAAATTCCATCTATGAGTATAAGCAACAAGCAAGCAGATAAAGGAATCAATATTAGAAAGAAAGAAAGTAGAAAAAGGAAATTTATAATACAAGCAAATAGGATGAGGCCAACATGGTTAATATTTTACGAGCAAGCCAGGATGCATCTGAAAGGTAGTCAACTGAGGCAGTAGATGTGTCACGTCCATAAATGACCTCCTCGGCAGCTCTCCCTCCAAGCAAAACCTACATGCCAAAGCCAGACTCAAACTCAGAAATATATAATATTATTGGAAAAATATAAAATCACAAGCGCAACTACTCTAGAGTGTGTACCTGAAGACGATGCAATAATTGAGGTTTGCGCTCAAATGTGTATGATTCATCATCAAGTCGATGAAATACCAATTGAGATAGTGTCTGTCAGTCCATTAAGCACAAATTCATTATAAGCTCTTTTCCCTCCTTTAAAACATAACAATGACAAACATTTTCTGTCCAATCAATCTGATGGAAGGCCAAAACAATATCCAAGTGAAAATACAACAACCATGCACTTAATTGTAAAGCATGTATAACAGCTGGAAGCCCCATTAGTTTTCATCAAGTAGCCTTGACTAGCGTAAACATAAGGTGCATTAACCCAGAATTGATTGAAATTAATCCTCCACATGGAATTTCCTAACCCTTCAGACGTCTCTAGTGCCTCGTTCTGTACTGGCACTGGGATTATAATTGCTTTCCATGTCACTTATATTTCTCAACATCATTTCAGATTTTCCTCTCATCTCTAATCTCACTAAATAACTTGTCATACTCCTCCGCACCAACCTCCCATGTTACAGTTACATCAACACAGCATTACATGTCTATTCTCAGTCATAATACTTTGTCGTATCCATTTTCCATAGCATCTATTAGCAGTAAGTCCCACATAAAGAACAACAATCAAAAAAGTATTTCCAGAATATAGAAGTGGATAATAATGGTAAGAGAAACTGAACATGGACCTGACCACGAGGTACTATGGAAATGCGATCACAGCATTCAACTTTTGCATTCTCATAGTGCCTTAGCAGATGAGAAGTTAATGCAACTCCCACTTCAGTTGTAGCTCTACGACACTGCCCTTGGTGACCTAACTCTATTCCTACCCGTTTGGGCCCTACTGTAAGCCTGTCAACAGCATCATCCATGTCTGACTGAAGAATTGAATCATGCCCTTTCCTGACAGCCACAAGAGCAGCCTCTTGGACCAATTGAGCCAATCTTGCTCCAGTCCATCCTAAGAATTAAAATGCAATGGGTTCAGTTAATTGAAAAATACAAACTCAATGAAGAAATTAAATTAGTGCATACCAGGAAGATTCTGTGCACAGCTGGATAAATCTACAGAATCTGACATTTTTACTTTGCTAGAATGAATTTTCAAAATCTCTAGTCTCCCTTTTGCATTTGGAGGACGTATCCTGATCTACAGAAGAAAATTTTAACTACAATTGAAAGCATATTATAGTTGGGGAGAACTGCATAAAACGTCAAACATAACCAAGCAAACAGATCACAGTGGTGCAGAGATAAGTTAGCGCTTGCACCAACATATAAAGAGAACAGTTTAGATAAGTTAATGATTGTGCCAGAGTACAAAGAAAGAAATTTAATAAGAAAATCAAATGAGATTTTAGTCCATTCTCTCTCCGTTCTCCATTATCTTTAACAGCATCATGCAATAGACCTATTCCAATAAAAAAGAAGAAATAAACACCTTGCGATCAAAGCGACCTGGTCGAAGAAGTGCAGGATCCAGCAAATCCCTACGATTTGTAGCGGCTAGAAATATGACACCTTTTCCCGTATCAAAACCATCAAGTTCTATCAACAGTTGGTTCAGGGTAGTTTCTCTCTCCTGAGTTGCTGCATTATATAAGTGATCTGTGGTATCCTTGAAGATTCCTTGACGCCTGATAATGCACAGTTAAAAATCAGGTAAGACAGTTAAACCAAGCTATATCAGTAGTGCGCCAGCCATTTTAATATTCTTGGTTTTTCAAATCCCATAATGCAAGAGTTGGAAGAAAAACTTAATCTTTTATGCTCAGACAATATAAACTTAGTAAACTTGAACAAACCTAACATGGGATTATCCATCCTCTCATTTTTCAAAGAACTGAGTGATCAAGTGATAAAGACAGTATAGCAACAGGTAGATTGCCTCAACCAATTCACTTACAGTGCAAGCAATACAGTGGCCTGTAGAATGACTTGATATACAAGCCAATAAGAATATGACATTCAGTTTTAACTATTACTTGCAGTGACAACTGGGTTGATAAAAAAAGTAGTTGCTCCTCTAAAACTTAGGTTTGCCAAATTTCTAATTCTTTAGGATTTCAAGGTTAAATAATGTGGGCAAGTTGTGCAGAAAAATTTTTCTGAGCAAGCATGTGAATGCACACGGATAAAATTCATAACTTTCAGAAATATGTGACCAAAGTAAGCCCATACCTAGTAGCCAATGCATCAATTTCATCTATAAATATAACCGACGGTTTGTTTACCTGCAGAGAGAAACAAGCCCATCTGAGTTCTAGCTGATCAATGGTTCACTGAATTATGCAAAATGAAACTCTACAGTCTACACCATTTGCAAAATGTTAGATGGAAAAAGAAGCCTGAGACGCAATCATATCTAACAAAAAACAGCATGACACATTTATGTAGACTTAATAAATATCTATCTTTGACATTTTTTCTGCTTGAAGGGAGTGACCAAAAGAAAGTTGCATTGATGGAAACCAATCTCTAATTGATACTAAAACCAGCAACAATCTGACAGAGTGCGAGTACAACTAGAAAATTACAAAGTAAATAAGAGAAAATGATAGAAAACACTCAAACACACTCACTAGTTCCCCAGCAGTCAAGAGGCTAAAGTTTCTACCTCTCAATACTCACTTTCTGCCTAAAACACTCTCCAACCCCTATTTACAATATATACAACCCACCATCACCCCTTTTCTCTCTATCCTACACCCCAGAGTTTAAACATTTAATGAAGGAACAAGTAAGCAAAGATTCAAATCACATGATCGTATTAGCAGTAATGCATCTTATTAAAAATATGCCAAGAAAATCAGAAGCAAAACCACCTTGGCTCTTTTAAATAAATCCCTAATACGTGCAGAACCAACACCGACTAAAACTTCCACAAATTCAGAGCCAGCCATTTGGTAAAATGGAACACCAGCTTCACCAGCTATGGCCTTGGCAACCAAAGTCTGCAAAAACACGAAGAAGCTGACAAATATTACAGATAGTACACATATTATATTTGGAATAATGGAACACTTAACTGACCTTGCCACATCCAGGAGGGCCTTCCAGAAGAACGCCATGGGGAGGTTTGATTCCCATTTTATCAAATAACTCTGGATTCTTCAAGTATCTCACCAACTTAAAAAACAAAAAAAAACACTGTAACCTTCAGCGGTTTGCTTAATAGTAATCACCCATATTTGGTAAGGGTATCCTCTAAATTGAAACATAAAAACAGGCTGCAGATATAAAAACTCAAATTCATTAAAAAAATTCAGGTGATAACTACATATGACCATCATTGCAACATATGCAGAAGAGAACATCATGTTGCATTCACAAGACGACATGCTTGAAACTTCACCCTTCTCCAAAAGAAAAGGAACATGATATTATCAACAAAAGAATTCAAAAGTGTATACTTCTTTAACTGAAATACTTCCCAATATGTTTGACAAAATAATTATCTTTCAAAATACGTGAAAAAATAATTAGAGATGTCTATCAACTAAGATATTAAGGACAAAGACTCTGCCAATTGGCACAATATTTGCCCTTATTTTGTTGTGAAGTCGAGATGCACAACCACAGCCTTTTGCACCTATGGTAACACCTTCTGTCCCAGTTAGTCAGGGGGATCTATGCCAGAAGAATTGAAAAATGTTTGTTTATTCATAGTAAGATTCAGAAATCTATAAAATAGTTACCTCTTGAAGTTCCTCTACGGCTTCATCTATTCCTGCTACATCAGCAAACTTAACTCCCGTTGAACCCTGAAAGCAAGTGATACCAAAGCAAGAAAACCAAGAATTACGTTAAAGGATTCTAATATGTCAAGCAAATTCTTCAAAATAGGCATCAGTGCACACACATCAACTCGAGCTTCAGCTTTTGATCGTGAGAAATCAATTCCCTGCCAAAGATCCTGTACATTAAGTAAACAACACTTTATCAGGCAACTCCAAGGAATAAAATTGCTGAATCGATTAATGGGAGATAGTAAAGATGAATTAAATAAGTAAATCAACTTACTCACTTACCCATTTCCTGAAGTTCTTAGGTCTTCTTGAAAGTGTGAATCGAACAAGAAGTACCATAGTCAAAAGTACAAGCATAATTGGTTTCAGCACATCAAGTGTTGATGATATACCGCCAAAAGTGTAAAGTTCATAGAACTTAGAGTAAATGCCACCGTCACTGAAGAAATCAACGATGTTATCCCAAATCCTCTCCGAGATAGCAAAAACTACTCCAAGAAAAAGCTTGAGAAATGGCTTGACTATAGGCCACACAACATAGACGGATGTCACGAATACAAAGCTTGTAACGGCAAATACTGCTGATGCAAGAAAACCACCAACTAGGAGTGCTGCAGTACCCACCGCTACTGTGACCACTGCAAGCTCAGCCACCATTCGGCTAGATATGGAAGATGCAACTGGATGAGGGTACTCGGGCATTTTTCCCACCCAAGACTGCAACAACACAACCTCAGAATCAGAAGAATATCAATATGATCATTTCCACTGAGAGGTCCTTATAACCCCGTAATAGTACTTTAGCATGTCTATTCCACTAACTACCCATGCAGCATGCTGCATGACTCGAACACTCTTGATCAGAGTATGACAGAACACAACAGCGAGAATGGCCCAGCTAAAAGAGTATATAAAACAGCTTATGCAACACACGTGAGACCACGAAGTTCCCCTCCCACCGTCTCCCCTCAAATAACAGAAAGAGAAAAGTAAAATGTGCAACGTAAATTGTTTTTTTCTCTTGACGCGAACTATGACTCTATTTGTAACTAATCGAGTTCGACGGAGAAAATGATTTATAACCGTTGTACGCTTCTCTATCTCATATCGTGGTCCAGTGTACTCCTCCAAAATTGCTTGCGCTTCATCGCTATCCAGCCTGAGAGCCCTACACCATTGAATAAACTATCAATATACTGCAGAATGCCAGCAGCAGATATGTGCATTTAATCAAAAATCCAAATATTAGTCTAGAATTTTTACCATTTGGTTCTATGCAAGCTCTTGTCACCGGGAATTTCTTTCAAATCTACAATAAAATCCCGACAGCCATTGCCGTAAAACAAACTCGCATCTTCCTTCGAAGACAGCAACTTGATTTTATCGCTATCCATATACTTCCGAAACTCCTCAATGCTCATTCTCGGTGATGACTGTAAATTCTGGTCGAACTCTTCCTCTTCTGATAACTTCTTTCCAAAAACTTGCTCGGGCACATAGAGTTTTCCTTTATACTCCCTAAGTAAGTCTTTCAAGTAAACAGAATCCGTCCCCGACATAGCCTGATTTTGGACCTCACTGGCTTCTTCCTCTTTCTGGGTCTTCAAGTTCAGCCTCTTTGCCAAATTTTCTAAAAAGCCCGTATTCAATTTTTTACTCAGTATCTCTTTTTCTTTCGAAGTATAAAATTTGTCACCGATGAGATACTTGGGTTCCACTTGGCTTGGGTTCTCCTTCAAAACCCTGCTTACAAAATCTTCCCCGGTGGTGTCGCTGTCCTTACCGGATGGTAAGGAGGATATCGAATGCGATTTGCACAATACTCTGAACGACCGGCGGAGGAAGAGAACTTGAGCTCGAGCATTTCGATTGAAATTCAATACTTTGGATGTTCCAAGACGGTGTTGGGAGTAGGACTTAGATATGTGAAGCTGAGGCGGCGAGAGAATGTCGATAGCCGTCATTATTTCTGAAGATTCATTCACTGCAAAGCACGGCTTATCACATTATGGATGATGCTTTCATTCTTTTTCTTCTGAACTTCGAATTTTATCTGACGAGGTGAGCGCTAATGGAAGAGATGAGGTGAACAGCTACAGGCAATTTTTACCCAACAGGTTTCGGTTCCCGTTCCATAAACTTAGCTCCAAAATAATAATGAATCCAAAAGTGTGTAATATAAATTATTATATTTCCCCATAAAATAATAAATTAAATAAATAAAACTATAAAAATAAATAAAGATTATACGAGATGAAAAAATTTAGATGGGTTGAGTCATGCATCTTGCATTCATACTTCATTCACTTCATTGCTTAAAAACAATATTTATAAAAATACTTACAAATTATTTAGCATCATCTTTAGATTAGTTATCCATGTACTCTTGAGTATCCTTGTCAATTAAACCAACTCTTATTAGCAAAAATTAAATATAAAGATTGCCAATATTATTGATACAAATTCCATAACAAGACATATTCACAAATTAGAACTACAAATATTTTTCATATTTTGTAAGATTTTACATAAAATAAAGGAAAAAAGATTTTTTACCAGAAATGAAAAAAGTATGTTTCCTAATGCATATCATATTACTACTTTTTAATAATACTAAAACCTTTTTTTGCCAGCTTAACAATATTAAAACTTATTTTTTAAACAATGTTATTGTATCAAAAAAAATCTATTTTCAAATTTAAAAAATATGTCCATCCAAGTATTTTTAAAGATAATTAAATACTAAATAAAAATTAATTATTGTCACAATTGTATAAAAGATAACAAGATTAAGGGTGTGTTTAGATTAGCAGTAGCAAAATTTTTATTTTATCTGCTTTTTGTAAATATGAGTTAGAGCAAAGTGTAATATGATTTATGCTTAGATTAACTTTTATAAACGTTAGTTTGATAAATTAAAATTTGTTTGGATAGGTAATGAAAAAGTAAATTTAAATGTAAAATGACTGAAAAATGTACATTTTCTTCCAAACTAATTTGTCTCACTTATAAATTGATTTGTAATCTAGTGATATACATAAATATTTTAAAGAAATCATGTATTATGTTATAACTAAGTAATTTATTTAGCTCCTTTAATTTTTTTAAATTAGTCCACTGGATATTATATTAAGGACCCGAGACAATATAACATATATGTAATTTGATAAATTTAAGTAAACAATAAATAAAAAATAATTAAATTATTATTGAAAAAAATCAAATTATTAGATCAAGATGAGATCTGCTTAAATACTCTTATTTTTCTTTTCATACTTATTTACTTTCTACTGCAACCAACTTTTAGAGCAAAAGTTGGTTGGACATGAAGCCAAACCAAACAACTAATTAGCTCCAACTAGGATCTAAAAGTCAGTTTTACAAATTTTTAAGTATTTTTTGGAGCCATCAACGCTGATATAAACATACTAACTCAAGTCAAAAGGCAGGAAGTTCTTACACTCCAAAAAGATTTAATAAAAAATTCTAATATCCCAACTATCATAACTTGTTTGATGGGCAAGCCGGTATGTATATTTATTGGCTTCTCTGAAAAATGTGATTATGAAAGACAGTCCAATCTTGTGTGACAAAATTTCTTACCTTTATGATAGAACTGATAAGAAGACAACTCTAATTTTTCGTTTTAAATGAGATTGATAACTTCAATTGAAGCGTAGTAAACACATTAATTTTATTTTTATGTCGTGCTAGGAGCTTGTTAATAGCATGGCGAGGACCTTCCCAAATTATAGGGAGTGGAATTACTTCAACGAGGCAAGGTTTGTCTAGAAACATAATTGAATTTGAAAGGATGTTTGGGTTGTATAAAAAAAAGAAGAAAGGATGTTTGGGTTAACGTTTTTTGAAAGTAATTTTTTGATGTCAAGTATATGAGGTAAGTATGAGAGAGAGAAACAATTCCTAACGGTTCATGCGTTTCAATGCAGCTCCCGTAATTCATTTGACCAGACGCAGTTATCAACATAATGGGAATCGCATGAGACATTTGGCAGTTGACATTTTACCTCGAAACTTGGGTTTCTATCACTTGTTAAGCTATTCTTAATCAAAACCTATAAATGTCACTAACTTTTGTTCAATATCTTAAGCAACGCTGAGCTGGGGTTAGATCGAAAATATAAGAACAGCTGTACAACTAGAGCAAGATTCTGAAGGGTTTCAGTAACAGAGAGAATGATTTTACAAGGAATCAATTTTTCCTATTGTGTTGGGCTGCTTCAACATACTGCTCTGCGAGTTTCTTCACTTTCTCGCCTTCCTTTATGAGGAAGTTGGCGTTCTTGGCTTTACAATGGTACTTCACAACCTTTTCCGTTGTTTTTGCGACGGCCCACCTGTACTGTTCAGCTGTGATCACACCACTCTTGCACAATGGTCTGATATGCTCCTTGACATAAGCTTCAACCTGAGCAAAGTCCATGAATAATACGTAAATACATGAATTTTGCAGGAAAATGAAAACTAATGCTTAAGCAGATGCCATGCTCCGTAGTTCAGGTAAACCCTACAATAACTTGATAGCATCATCGTTTACATACTCTATATAAGATCAAGTAAAATAACGAGACCAGGGGAAATCAACTTTCGAATACCTTTCTGACTACATTATTTGCAGGGTCAGACTGCTCAGGGGCGGTGTCAGATTTCTCTCCCTCCCTCTGTAAATTTTCACTAATATCAGATGCATTAGATGAATTGTTAGCAATAGCAGTGACCGGCGTGTTCTTTGCAAGTTCGTCATTCCCAGATTCAGACGCATTTACTGCTTGGTCTGACGCTTGTTCTTTATTATGACAGTCATTGCCTTCAGTTGAAGTTCCTGATTTGCCCTCTCCATGTAATGTTATAAATTCCTCATTCGGAAATTTTTTTGTAAGTGGTTCTTTCTCTGGACCATATAATTCTTCGCATTCTGCATCACATGGCTCACTGAGAAGGGCCTCAGAAGGAGCAGGAGGATGATTGTCAGTCTCTGCATCAATTGCGGGGTCCGCGTTAGCCGCATCATCATGATTTGATGAGCAAGAGGGGTCTCGTGGAACGTCATTGTTTTCCAAGCTCTCAGAATCCGTACAATCCAAAACAGTATCTGAACTCCTCAAGTTCGTGGTAGAGAAAATGAGTTTCATTTTTGACTCGCTTTCTTCTTCTTGTGAATTTAAGCCTCTAGCAACACCTGCACCAATGTAATCTTCATCTTCCAAATCATAATCAAAGTCCCCATAAATATCCATCTCTGGTTGAAAATCCAGTTCGAGAATATTATCAGGCCCTGAAACATCAACTTGTTTATTGGATATTTCTCTTTTCTCACTCGGACTACAGGGAGGAGAATCGGACGAAAGACCAGCATTTTTAAGGGCTATTTGGACTGCAGAGTCAGTTGAAGGATCATCATCAGTATGTTGTTCTGCTCCATCAGCAGGGACTGATGATGAGACCTGTGGAATTATATCTGTTGCTCCATTGGATTTTCTATTACTTGAGCGGTGCAAGAGTTCCTGTGAACAGAGATTCAGATACACTAGCTTGCTGTTTGATCTGTCAGCCACCTCTTTTTCAATATTAATTGCATCTGCAACGGCCAATTCTGTATCTGCAGTTCTGCGAATGACTGACAGATTTGCATTCCTCAAGAAGTGTTCAGTCAGGCGGTAAAGTTGTGTCTGTACAATGCATTAAAAATACACGTCTTAATCAGTCAATGAAATTTACACATAATACAACTCCACATGCATCCCGTACTAACCATACATTATACCTAATAATGATAAAAACTTGTTATAATTTTCACACTGAAATTTATTCCAATCTCAGATTTCTATCGGTACATTTGAACTCTTCTTTAGAAGATCCCCCCACCCCCCCAACCAAAAAGGAAAAAACTCCACCAAGGTCCTCTAGAATTTTAGGAGTTATCCTCATTCCTTCTGATCAAGTGATAGGGGTACTGACCATGAAATTGAGAATGAGATGGGAATGGGAAATCCTGTGGCACTAGGGATATGTGATATACAATTGAATACATCAGAGTTACCCATGTCCTCAGTTTCCAAGTCAGCAGAAAGAAATATCTATAATGCCGAATCCATTGCATTTCCATTTGTCATCTCACAACATATTTAAAGGAAAAAACAGAGAGAGAGAGAGAGAGAGAGAGAGAGAGAGAGAGAGAGTCCAGGTAACAATAGCATATCCAGCATATTGACTACAACAGATATTCCTCCCAAAGGTGGAGAGAAAAGCTGCAGCATACCTGCCTTACTGATATAGGAATTTTATTGTGGCGACTGGGCGCCAATGCTGGTCTCATATCAGCTGGCAATTGGGCCTACACTCAATAACAGAAAGAAGTAATAATGAACCATGATAAACAATGTCCAAAACCAACCCCAAAGTATCAAAAAACATAATATCATAAAATAACCAGATTTTAACATACCAGTAAAGGATATTTTCCTTCAAGAAGTGCATTATCTTCCTGATTGTCATTTGTCATTTTCTTGCCAGCAGCAGCACTTTTTCTTGCAAGAACCTCCAAGGCCCATTTTCTTTTGTCACTCTTTATACAATCCGATTTAACGCATGACTCCTTTGACTCAACTCTGGAGTCACCAGGGCAAGAACCTGCTGCCCCTTCTGAATGTCTGCTTGAAGGTACTTTACCAGAAGCTGAATTACCACGAACTGAGCTATGTACAATCTTGTTATTTACTTTGTTTTCAGATAAGCAATCTCTGGCTTTTGGTAAGACATTATTTATCTCTTTTGCTTTAATAGGACTATTACCAAGAGACTGATTTGATGCTTTTCCTGAAAGGTTATGTTTTTCATTCTGCTCAGAGTTAGCAGCAGTTTCAAGGACAGAAAGTGGCTTGACATCATCTTTTCGTGGGAAAACAGATGTATCTGCTAAATACAACCTGGAAAGAATAGAATTCTTGGCCTGACCTTCAGGACCCTCCTTCGCTTCTGCACTCTCTGGACTCGTTCTTAGAAGATCCAGAACTGACTTCAAAGTTTCAATCTTTTCAGGCTTCGCTGCTCGAGAGCAACGATATTTCCAAAACTCAATTTCACAGTCCCTGTCCCATGCACGCTTTCTTCTTCCATTTGAATTCCCAAAAATTTTCCTAGTTAGATGTTCACGGACTTTTCCTTTCTGCAACATTGACTTCTTTGCCTTCAAAGCCATAGGGGGCAGCTTATTTAGAGGTTCAGTTTTAGGCCCTGCTACAGCAGCCCTGAATGCTGCAAGAAGCTTTGTATCAAAAAGATTTTCTTCAAAACTTTTAGAGGATTTGTTACGGACAGCTTCTCTAATTTCTGCCCTTAGGTTTTGAACTAAGGATAACTCCCCATGATCTGAAGCTCTCTTCATGATCTTTTTTACCCTCAAACCTGCCATATTTTCGTTGTTCTTGGATAACTTATCACAGGATTTGGATCCAGAAATTTCCTTTGAAGGCTTCCACTTCGTGCCTTTAACTATACTCATTATATCTGATGCAGCATTCTCCTTTGTTGAATGATGCTTTACATCATCGTGACTGGAAATGGGTGTAGTAGAAGGGTTTGTTTTAGTATCATCTGAAAGATGAGCACCTGCTCCGTTCTCATGATTAGTCAGTACACTGCCATCAGTTTTGAGTTTCTTTTGTGACACTTCAACTTCAGGTTTGAGTTCGGCATCTCTATCAACTTCTATGCGAACCTCATCATTACTGAATATCAAGAGAAATTGAATTTAAAAAAAATAATGAAAAGAAAGTAAGCATATTAAGTCCTTATGCAATGGGCCAAAAAAATTTTTTTTGGGGGGGGGGGGGGGAGGAGCAAGGTACAATGCAGTATGCACATAAAGACATTAAACAGACAACCAAGTTTTTTATGGGTGACAAAAGAACTTCACTTGTAACCACACATAGAAGTAAGAAGAGCATCAATTCACTGGGCCCATATTTTTCCGAGTCTTCTCATGTGTCTTTATTTGAAGAAAAAAAGAAAGAAAGAAGACAAAATTCAAAGTTCTCTAGTTCATTTATTTGTCTTCACACCCAGCAACAAACAATATTTAAACTAAGATCTCTTACTAAGGAGGGCGAATAAATCATATGAAAAAGAGAAGTTACCTGTAATCAGCATGCTTTCTCTTTTCCCCATTTACTCTGGCATTGTCATTAAGAGCATTTGGTTCCATTTCATCTCCTGAAAGCATTCAGTTAATAAGGTCATAAAATGAAAAGGTTGCCCAAATTCTTAGCCACCAATTTCACCCATCATTGCTTTTCCATAGTCTCAAGAGTGACGCAAAATTAAAATAAGCGGGAAAAAAATTCCCATTCCTAGACTTTTTTGTACCTTTCAAAATAAAATCTTCTAAACTTGACTGCTGGAGATCAGTTTCTTGATCTCTTGTTGCATTCATGTCTGCGTCATCAACTAGAAGCACATTAAAATCTGATAGTTAGCAAGATAGCAGTTGACAAATACTCTGTGTGTATGTATTCATCTATGCTTATTCTGACTTACGAAGCTTCAGAGAATCCAGAGAGAGAGAGAGAGAGAGAGAGAGAGAGATAATAAGATGCATAGATTACCACATAAAAAGGAGCCAACTGACAAACCGAGATGAAGACCCATATCAGATCCATTTCTAGATGTACTAGCTCTGTCATGGGATTCATTAAATATTTTGGTTCCACTTAAGCTACTTGGATCACTCCTTTCTCCAGAAGTGCCCTTCTTCAAATCATCAGGCCCTAAGGTGTTAGAGGACAAGCTACAGCCCACGTTGTGTGATAAGGACAGCTCCAGCTCCTGTTGCACCCCTGGTGAATTAACAGTCTTCTCTGTATTACTTTGGTGATTATTGACGTCAGATATGGAAGAACATGATTCAGTCATTGGATTCTGGCAAGCTTCAAGGGGTGATAAACCCTCCTCTCTTGATACAGGACTCCATTGGGTTCCTTCAACCAAAGAGACAACAACAGCTGTCTCTCCAGCATCAGCAACAGATACAGAAACTTTTCCTGAAAATGATTCCTCAGCCTGACATTCCTTGTCACCATTTTCTGGGTTGATTTCCATGGTTGTCTTCTCTAATGAACTTGCATCCATGTTTTCAGTAACTTTATCTGGCACACATCTAAAATAAAACCTAAATTAGAATGTTAGAGAATGGTACTGTCAGCACGCAACAGATTACTTTTAAAACAACATCAATGATTCAAGCAGATGGTCAGATACACGCTAAGCACTATTTTCGAAAGAAACAAATCAGATAACATTATTTTTGAAACTCTTGAAGACGTAGACAATTGTTTTTCTAGTAAACTATATGCTGATATTATATGGTTAAGACTTCAGATTATCATCTGCTTAATTGTGAGGAGTTCTAGACATAAAAGACCAATTTTGCTTTTCAAAAAAAAAAAAAAAAATCTTAACTAGAACTTTTCAAATTCTATGCTGTCTCATTTCAACTTATAAGCTTGTAGCCAATATGTTCTATGAATGCTAAAAAAATATATAAAAAAACATAAGTCTCCAGGCTACAAACTTCAGTAATAATTAGCAGCAAATTATTTATTTAAAAAAAAAAAAAAACCCAACATATAATAAACAGAAAAACCAGTTTACCTTGGGCATAACCATGTAACGTCAGATGTACCTTCAGGATCAAATCCCACACAAAAAGCATGATACCTGTCAATTTAATTCAAGCAATAATCAGAGGTCATTCTCAATGTATCATAACAAGAAAATATTCATGGATGCACACTAATTTCCCCTGCTCCTTGGCAAACATCCCCCCAGGGTGGAGGAAACAAAAAGGAAGAAGAAAGGGACAATCAAAACATCTTCCATTGATTTTATACAACCATACTACATTACCACAAGGTCTGCGACTTGCAATCATAAACTGCCTAATTAAATGAGCGGGTCATAAAAGGCAGCACCTTAGTAGCATCACCCTCCATAGAAAATAAAACAAGCAATCCGTGTATTTCTGAGCGCACGTGTGATCCTTAACTCACACCAATCTTCTAATAACCAAATTTAAATTTGCATTACCTATTGACACTGTTGTCCTATGTATCTAGTCATTCTCCTCTCCAACAACTTTTAGATTTAAATTCCCTAGATCACTCTTAATTAGAGTGTTTCCTTTTCATATAAGTCAACCCTCCCACACACCGTTAACGAATACAAGACACCCATAATTACTAAAATACTCTACCTTTCATCTTCCACTTTTTTGTTTACACGAAGTTATAGCCTTTTCATGGTGATTCTAACTTTGACATGATCAAACAACAATGAAGCAGCATCAAACTGAAGATTAAGATTAGAAATTTTGAAAAAAACAATGCAAATAGCCTGGAGACCCATATTCTTACCCAGACAATTTCTTTTTGTATACCTTCTACAGTATGTCTTCAAAGCTTCTTTATCACAATCACTTTATGATTTCATATACAATATCTTCTGATAAGCTCTCAGTCGTCATAATGCATTTAAGTAAACAAATGCTAATTTTTCCACGCAAGCACAACTATGCGACTTCTCCAATTCTTCATGAAAGAAAGACTTGCCCACCGTTGTACAGCAGTGTGATAGTCAAACTTTAGTGCATCATGATAATGCGTTATCAACAAATTGGGTAGACATTACCAATAGCCAGTTAATTATGCTTTATGCCAGTAGGATATTAAAAGCTGATAGAAGAGACAAAGATGTAAAGAAATTATAGTCCAAGCTTACCACATATCACATGAATCACAAGCAATTGATGTATCAAGGCTCAAATCACCTTCAATGGTTGCTGATCCACTTCGAATTTTGCAGCCATCACCATCCAAGCAAACAACTGCCTACACAATGTGAAGCTCAAAAGGATTAGTGCTACAAATTGATTGTTAAGAAGACAATTAATGATGCAAAAATAGCATAAAAATCATAATTTTGAGTATGACACAAATTAACTTGGGATATGAACCCCATATACGAGAACCTTGAAAGGATCTAACTGCCAAATTTTATAACACAACAAAAGTCCGTAAAACTTTGGCATACAGAAAACATCATAATTTAACTCAGGATATAAACCAAAAGGTTTTGCATCAGATATAAGGTCGTCCTCCAACACAAGAAATGCTAGAACAGAAGCTGCAATCAGTTTCAACTAACCAGAGGACATTCTTTGCCAAAAATTCTACAGGACACAATAGATGGAGGACAATTACATTTTCATCAATATAGTATGAAGGGAATGACAGAGTGTTATTCCTCCCTTCAATGGACCAGTCATCATCTCTGCATTCATGAAGGATAACAGATGATTTAGAATTTACAACTTCATAAGCATAAAAATAAAATATGTGAAGTTATTTACTCAAGGTGAAGTGAAAGATAGAGATGCATGGCTAGATGCTTCAAGAACAAGAAGAAACGTGACTTTAACCTTAATCATCAAACGCCAATCTTATTGCATCTCGTCATATACCAAATGGTGAAAAAATAACCCTGTCCATCATGCAAGACTGAAAAAGAGAGAGGAACTTGCCTGGATAACACGTCATCTTCGATTTTATTGCTTCCAATGGTATCATATACCTTCACAATCATGAAATCATATGTTTTAGAGATGACCAAACATCAAATTCTAATTATTATTTCAACATAATAAAGGCTTAAATAAAATAAAATTTTCATTATGTAGTGTTCTCAAAACATTACACAGTGGATGATGAAAAGCAGCACTCCAAATTTATATACTCACTGGAACACATGTGATTAGCTGAAACTCATTCTGGCAAAGTGGGCAGAGATTTGTGATGGAAGCCCAATTGTCAATGCATACAAAACAGAACCTATAAAATAAGGAAACTAGGTCAATATATAAGTTTCATACTTGAACCCAAAGACTGCCAGGTGAAAGAAATCAGCAATTTCTTAAATCAGAGCGAGTTAAAATAAAAAGTATACCATATCCAATAGTGGAGTCTGACAAAAACCCTATGTATTGGCGTAGAAAGGTTCATTATGAACACACCGTCAACTAGAGGATTCTCCTTTAAAGGTCATGAAATGCAACCCAAAATAGGGAGACCTATTACTAACTCAGTAAATATTTATGAATCAAAATACCAATAAACAATACAGTCGAGAGCTGTCCTCAAATTATGCTCATGTTCAACTGTTATAGAGATATTAAAATGAGTAACTAGAAGGGGCCAATAAGCACTAATAGCCATAATGCTATTAACTGAGAGGAGTAACGGAACATGTTAAAATCAGAGGCTGAAATTCACACATAATTGGCTTTCGAGGAAATCCTGAAACCTCTATTAAAGAAACTTGTATGCTTCACTGAGCATTATCTCAGTCTTATACATCTAGATTGTGCCGCCAAATTTTACAAATATTGGCACTTTCCAATGCATTTCATGATCTCTTCCCCCCCCCCCCCCAAAAAAAAAAATTGACGAATGAGGAAATTTTCCATCTATTATTATTTCAGAGATAGAAGTTACTAAACATAAAGCAAACTGACACCTCCTAATCCACAAAGTGACAACATGAAAAACCAAATGTGTCTCAAAGAAGATAATTAAACATTTCCCTCACAAAACCTATGCTTATACTTTCTCCCACCAAGCTTCACTAACCTTTGCACCATTCAAGGGGGATGGGGTGGAAAGGTGACTATCTAAATACATATAAATTGCTGTCTTTTCTAAAGAAAAACCACTCAGTCTGTTTAGTTCACCAAAGAATTAATAGAAGAACATCACAAACAATGCAGTTCATACTCCAAGAAGAAAGGAAGAAAAAATATACCAGTGTTGACAGCAATCCAGAACCCCCCTGTCAATGACAATATCCATGCAAATTCCACATTTTTCCCCTTCAATAAATAAATTATCCTGAAAATTAACAATATCAAGTATTCAGATGAAAATGTAAACACAAGTGACTGAAAATTTTAAATTGACGACCCCTTTGTTTGTGTATCACTCAGACACTACGGACAATGACAAGATGCTGAATGTTTGAAATCTTTCATTCGTTAGTACTACATTAGAAATAAAATTCAAATTAGAATAGGATTTAAATCACAACAAGGTGGACCTCTAGTGAATTGCATAGAGTATCAGGAATAACTGACATTATTTAGAGCTTTTGAGCAATGCAACTTGTGATAGATTTGATATTTTATATTAACGTTGATTTTGAAAAACTTATCACTAATTCAAAGTTTTTGGCATAAACTGCAAGCAAAGGAGACCTTCAAAGAGATGCCATAGATGCTGATATTAACAGGAATAAGCCTCTAAGTAAAGTGAGGTGCGAAAGTTCAATATTGTCGATCTTTTACCTATCACTTGCTGTACTTTACAATGCCATTATGAAAATTTACATGCTCTCATGCATGTGTAAAATTCCGTTTTTATGTTATTATTTGCATTAGCCATGGCGTCCAGAATATATTAAAAGAAATATAGAAGCTGAAGAGAAATCATCTCATCTATACAAGTCATAAGAGTTATCAGTTTCATTAGTTTAAGAAAGCCTAGGTCAAGTTAATAGAACTTAATTTTAGTTTAGCTTCAAGGTTGGAATGGAGATGTGTTTCATCGGCTGAACTTAACACCAGCAAATACAAACACGATCTCATTATTGAGTCATAAAATAAGCAACAACGATGGTTGAAGAAGCATCTGAACAAATTAAGGAACGTATATTCTTCAGATTGTTTAAGTCGCAACTTGCCACTGACTCATGTTTCAAAACGCCAGTCTATTACTCTCACCTAATTGAGAAGGGATTAGCTTTTGCCGGTGATGAAGAAGAAGAAGAGACAGTTACCGACGTTTGTGCCAGACATACTGACACCAATCTATATTCAAAATTGCATATTTCATACCCAAAATTAGCACAAACTGCTAACTGAGGAGCTCAAAAGCATGGACACTCATACTGGGGACTTCTAGACAACATAATCTGAAGTATCCAACATCATTTAAATCCTGTTTTAAGTGCCAATGCTTCGTAACTTAAGAATAAACAAATAACGAAATCCGAAAGGGCAGTGGAGTTTACATTGTGCGCATTCTCCTCAGCTTCAGAGGGTTCTTCTATGAACATGCCATTGGTGACGAAATCCGCTTCCATTGAAGAAGTTCACTAAGACTAGAATTTAATCTACACGATAGTGTAAGTAAGTTATAAATCATCAGTTTTAAAAGTGATGATCAGGATACATGATCAGAAGTAAGGCTTGATTTTTTGTGAAAATGGTTGATGACTAAATAATGAAGAAAGAGCAAAGAAGCCGAAGATTTCAAATAGAAGAAATGGAAATCGATTACGAAAAAAATCCAATTAATACATAACCTGTTTTATCACGGGAAACGGTAATTTCAGGGCCCTAACCCAATCCAAATTCCAACGATATTTCGGCAAAGCCCCGTTTCGACGAATCTGGGTGGGCGTTCCGCGGCGGTTTGTTTTCCCACGCAAGGGCGCTCAGATAAACTCAAATTTTACTCTGGGAACATCCCATAATATTGAAAACTACGACGCGAATTGCGCAATAAATGAAGTTTTTTGGGGCCGTTTGGAAATACAAGCTCCTGAGAGCCTAGTTTTCAAAACAAAAACAAAAATAAGAAAAAGTGCCTGGTGATGAAACAACGTTTTTATTTTCTGGTTTTAGCGTTTGGTTCAAGACTTCTGCAAGGGATTGTTTATTTATGTTTAGTTATAAATATTTTCTTTAGGCACCTGTTTTATTTTTTATATGATTATTTAATATTTATTAGTATTATATCATATTTGAATAGTATTAAATTTAATTACGTGGCTATTTTATTCTTGACCGTGGTAAACATGCTACTAGTCGCTGAGAGTTTTTTATTTAAGTAGCACCCACACCCCTTAAATCTAAATCGAAGTGGGTGAGTGTGGGTGTTTTGGTTAGGAGAAAATTTCTTCAGGGAAAAAAAACATATTATGAGCTATTAGTGGAGAATTTATGTTTTTATAATTTTACGTTATAAAATATAATATTTGTTGTCAACTTCCAACTCTCTAAAAGCTTTTAAAGTCTTTTTTTCTTTTGAAGAAAAGGCAAAATGATTAACACTATAATAAATTATCAGTCTACATCACAAGGTTAGTTACTTGTAAAAAAGTCCAAGAAAAACGGTAAAAAAACCTATAGTTATTATATTTAGAAACAGTTACTCTAGAAAACAAAAGCAGGAATTGTTTAAGTTCACTATCCAATTTCCCTTCTGAGGCTTTGCGAACATGAGTGAGATCTACAAGTTGCTTCTTGAAGGTAAGTTCAGATCCTTCCTTAAACACGTCTTTTCCCATGTGTACTACCCATAGCAAGATTTGCCTCAAACAAGAGTTGTTGAAAACATCTGGAGTTATAAAGATTCGATGGAGCTTGAAACCTTGGACATGAATGCTTTCGAATAGAATTATAGCATGCATTGAAATTTGTTTTTTAATTTTCCTCTTGAAAAGTAATATTGTCCATTCCTTACCCACAGATGGTGTATCTAAAGAAGTTGGTAAGGAGACTGGTGATCTTTTATCTTCAAAGATCTGAAGAGAAGAAAAAACCATACTGAAGTAGGAAACTCTACTTCGAATTTCATTTATCACCTTCATAGGATGATCAACTTTGCCTTCACGTAGTGTCTGATTTCACTTCCTCCGTATAACTTTTAAAAGGATTATCAATATTTTAGTTGAAAGTCAAGCTCATCCTCTGAAAGTTGCAACATTACTGATTTCAACCACAACAACAACAAAAATCATAGCTTTTAAAGTCTTTATGGGCCTGTAGTCATCAGTTCCGTTCTTAGAATGTGGGTGATAAATATTTAAGATTTTAATAATTTATAAAGTTAAGGAGAGTCTGGCAAGCCATATAAATAATTTTAAAAAGTATTTTTATGTAATTTGAGATAAAATTTCTTTCACTCAGAGTCTGTAAAATCACTGTCAAAAAGTTAATCCAAATACCCTTTAACAGTGTTAGTAGAAGGATTTTGCATTATTAGTATATAGGGATAATAAATTAAATATCCAAATAAAAAATTAAAAATAATGATATCCCAAAAAATTATATTTACAAGTCAGACTTGTAAGTTTGTAAATCAAATTTAACAATTTGTGTTTAGAAATTAAACATTCATATTTAGTAGTGGGGGTTGCCATTTACAAGTTAAACTCGTAAAATTTGTATAAAGAAAATGAATTTCTTGAGACATATTTGTATCTAATTTTCTTTAAGAATCTATGAATAATTTCCCTCCTATATATTCTTTTTTTTTTTTATTGCCAGAATGTATTCTGTTACTTTTAATTCCTTGTTTAGTTATGAAATAGAATATTATTAGTAGTTTTTCTTTTAAAACAAGTGTAGTATATTGTTAAAGCATTGTTGGCAACAAAAAAAAAAAGTATTCCTTCTGTCCTCAATATAAAACATATTTAATTAATTTGATTAGATTAAAAAAGTTAAGTAAATTAGCTAATTATAAGAAATATGACATATTTTTTTCTAAAATATCATAATCATCTTTCTTAATATTATCTCTCCCTCTCGTACTTGATAATGGTTGAGGGAGTATCAATAGAGATAATTTAAAAATACTGATAAATATAAAAAATAGCCAATCAGCTTAACAATTGCATCATATATTAAGCATCCGAGGAGTATATTGTTATAGCATCGAAGAGGCATTCTTTTGGTGGAATTGCAGGGGCAATGTTTAGTACAGCGCAGGGCCATAAATAATTTAACCCCTCTCACGCTAAGTACTTGAAATAATAAAGTATTATTCTTGATCATTGACCAACCAAATTGCAATGGAAATGAGAAGGCATAGTATTCAGGATTTGGATGGCGTAACATGCTGATCTTTTTCTAATATTTTGAACTGTTTATTTTTCTGAAAGAGATACAAAATATAAAATAATTCTAAAAGTTCAAAAGTGTCATTATCTTATTATATACAACTATTTGTCTTCAAGAAGGAAAAAAAAGGACTCCTACACCATTTGAATTGCTCCCAAAAAAAAAATGCATGCAAATTCCAAGCATGCCCATGGCGTTGAAAAACTTTTGTTGGCAATAGTTCAAAGAACCACGATGGTTGGTGAGGGACGTGGCAGTGATTCCTTGCAGCCAACTCATCCGATGATGCTATTAATATTGAGGCAAGTCAACGTTTGATTATACTAGTCCTAATTATAAGATCTCGTTTGTAAATGAGCTCTTATAATTAGTACCGGAGGTAGTACTATATTATTTTTTCTGTACAATTAGGGAGCGACCTGCGTCGTGGAGTATGATAAACAAAAGTTCAAAGCAAAAAGTGAATCAGACTCATCGCTACACAGATCTCGATTCTGCAGACGAAACTGCCCTCCTTTACAATACAGTTCATGAACACTTGAAAAGAATGCCAACTTCTTTCTGGTCTCTGTAAGTCGCCTGCATCAACTGTGCATGCCACACTCAAAAAAAAAAAAAACTCCTCATTCTGCGTTGACTTCTCTCTTTCTTTCCTTCTCTTAGAGTTCCTAATTGGTAATGCTCCTGAACAACTGGATCGTCTATCATGTAAACTGTTTCATTCTCACTCATATGAAATACCCAGAAATTTCAAACTTCTATACGTTTGTTCTCTTTAATGACTTGTTATTAACGCTAGGTTCTGAGGATTTTGGCTCATATCCTAACCCCATGAATCTATTCAACTATTGTATATTTGCTGGGTTGACAGAACTTATACTGTGCTAACCTGAAATGGTTTTATCCTCAGGAGAGTGGTTCTAAATACACTTTTTTTTTATTATTATTATTTTTTTTTTGCATTACTCAGTTTTTTCCTCTTGCTCTTTTAATTCTCTAGCTGATCACATGAGATAGATTTAATAGTTTCGAACTTATGTAACGAAATAGTAACGCATCAGTGATGGGCTCAGTTGTATTAATGCTATTATTCAAGTGGAATTACACCATTGATGTATCAAGATTTCGCATGGATCTCTGATCTCCACGTTCGCTTCCTCCCTGTCTGACAGAGTAATGGACAGGAATATACTACCTAGGAAAGATTCTATTTTATATTGTTTTCTTTTGTAAATACTGTCCAAGAACGGATTAAGCATAATTCTTGATGATCTGAAAAGGGAGAGATCTGTGAAAGATCAAATTTCTCTCACGAAGATCATATCAGGCTCATCTGTGTGTGAAAATCCACAAGTGTTTCACTTAGTCTCCTTTACTAGAGTCCGGTGCATAAAAAACTTTTAACTGGATCATATTTCTCCGGTGCTGCAGGACCTATATTTAGCAGTTAGATCGAGAATTCAGTTCAAGTAGTGTTTGCACTGACATTATTATGTCCATTTCCATGATCTGTTTTTGCTTGAAGAAGATTAGACAAAAGGCAAAGCTTGAAAATTACATCATTCTTTCTTCAGAGACATGGTGTGAGTAGAAATACCGCTTATCCTGTCACTGTTTTGGACTTCATTTGACATATATGCTTGTTCCTGGAAATTTCACATACTGTACCTGTCTCTGACTTACCTTTGACTGGTCTTTCTATGCTGTTGTTTTCTTGGACTGATCACTGTAACTAGTTTATAAAGTGTCATTTTTATACCACTGTCATTTTCTAGCTACATGATATTAGAACAGGATCCCACTAACATGTTTGTGCAATTTGTCAACTTTTCTTACAGTAGAAAAAGGACATCACATTTCATGTTGCTGTAAGACAATGACGTTATATATGGCCGATGTGTTGTATGCATTTATTGTTGCCTGATGTTATATGTGATTACAACCCAGCTTTAAGGATATACCTTTAAGATTTTCTCTGATTTTTTTTTTTGTCTGTGTCCTTGGAATGTTCCTTATCATTTGACAGTCACAGTGAATGAAGTGGAGGCTTTGCTTGACTTGTATAAAAGACTAAGCAGTTCAATTTTTGATGATGGCCTTATTCACAAGGTATTCCCACTTAAGAAAATAGAAACTACTTTAACCTAGAATGGGACAAAAACAGGAAACAGGTTCTGGAATATGCAAATGGTGGCTCTTCCTTTATCTTAATAATCCCTTGGCATTGGAATTGTTATATCATCACAACACTATGAATACTTATCTTTCACCGCACTATTAGCTATTCATTATGCTGATTGGGTTTGAGTTGTACACAATGAATTCTAAGTTCTTCAAATTTCCATCTCCAGGAGGAGTTCCGGCTTGCACTTTTCCGAAACAGCAGGGAAGAGAATCTATTTGCAGACAGGGTGTGTACTGTACTAAATTATTTTTTTCTAGTCTTAAAGTGGATCAAGGGATATTTATGATTTTGTCATACCAGTTGAAAAACTTAAACTTGACTAAGACCTACTGAAGGAACATGATAATGGATCTCGTTTCCTCTTTGATTTAACCGCAGATTTCTGTTTTAAATATGCATAGTAATAACAATGCATCATCTTCTTATGAAACCTGAACCAGGTGTTTGATATGTTTGATACTAAGCGTAATGGAACAATTGACTTTGAGGAATTTGTCCGGTCACTGAGCATCTTTCATCCGAATGCTCCTGCAGAGATGAAGATTTCATGTATGATATTGTTAATATTCAGCAGAAAAATCAATTTCCCGTTTGATTATCTCATTCTTACTTTCATATGAGATTATAGTTTCAAGCTACTGATTACAACATCAATTTCTTACAGTTGCATTTAAGTTGTATGATCTTCGGAAGACCGGATACATTGAGCGTGATGAGGTACATACCACTCAAGCTTCACCTGTTCTTAGTATTCTTCAGAATATAGTAGGATATCCTGTTTGACGGGGACAACTGAATTTGTAAGAATGCTTCCACAAGGAGCAAAGCTTCATTATCACTTCGTTGCACTGCAAAAGTAAATTCCAATAATTGAAAAGATATAAATCAAGAAAGCATCTCATCAATATGCTGTTCTGTCTATACATTTTTTTAATCCAACTTCACAAGTTGTTCTGGGTGATAGCCCTTAAGGCAAATTGGATCTCAAGTATAAATACGCTACCGTTTTGCATCAAGAAGAAAATGGCTTCAACATAAGATTTCCAATTATAATGTGCCCAGATTGTGGACTCATGTTCTCTAATTGACAAGAGGAGAGAATCATTATAAGAAGTTCCAAAGAGGGAGGGTAGTTGCTACAGCTGAACAAATCTTTGAGGGGATAAATTCTGAGAACATTGCACTTGTATGACAGAAGAATTTTGAAAATTGAGGAACATGTTTGGTATTTGTTGCTGCTTAATGTAAAAGTCATACCTACTATAGGTTCTGCTTAATTTACACAACATCTAAATAATCAAACATCATTTGACTGATTCAATTCTGTGTCCTCTTTATGAATATAACATAATTCTCAAAGTTGAAGGAGATGGTCTTGGCTATTCTGGCTGAATCAGATCTAACAGTTTCAGATGAAGTTGTGGAAGCAATAGTGGACAAGGTGTTTTAACCGTGCGACACTTAAAATACAAAGTTTTCTTCTGTTCATCTTTCCTCTTTGCATGGTTTTTGAACCAAGTCTAATTGTTTTGATTTGATAATTTATTTCAGACCTTAAACGAAGCAGACTCAAATGGTGATGGAAAGATTGATGAAGAGGAGTGGAAAGGATTTGTGGCAAAGTATCCGTCTCTTCTAAAGATGATGACTCTTCCATGTCTTAGGTAAAGTTTCGTCTTAATCATTAGTTCTTAGTCTTAAATGTTAGTTAATACTATGCCACCATGTAATGTAAAGTCAATTGATATGTATCCAAGTGGGATGGGTTCCCCATCCCAAAAGCTAAACGTTGAGATGGTCCAATTAAATATCTCATTGAGCATCCTATTCTACTCAATGTGGGACTTGGTGTCCCATATCACCAAGTCTCTATCATCAATCCTTTTCTTTGACTACCATGCCCATATCAGTTATTAGCATTTCAATATTTGAGAGATTGTTCTTCTTGGCAGGGATATAACCACGAGCTTCACCAGTTTCATATTGAACACACAGGTGGAAGAAGAAGAGCAAGAATAACAAGCAATGAACGTCTCTGATAGATTGCTGATGTAGAACCCGATATCTTATATTTAAAGTTGAAACCAAAACTAACTGGAACCGAAATTCATATCCTTTGCAATTATGAAAAAAATGACTGCATAGAATATATACTCAACAATCTTTCTCCCTCTTCCTATGAATGCATGGCTGTGTATTCGTGAAGTTCTAGATTATAAAATTCTCAAGATATAGTTATTGGTTTTCAACCTTCCCCTCCTTACTAACAATCAATTATTGGCAGTGACCTTACATTGTTCAAATTTCGATCATGAAACCTTGCATGGATAATATGAAAGGTTCAAGAATTTTCAAGCAGCAACTCAGTAGACTAATTAAAATTTAGCAGAACATTTCTTCGTACATACACTTTCTATTCTTATACATAAATGTGTCATTTTGCTCCCTCTTTGATTCTATTTATGAGATACACTTTTTGGGATGATTTATCCTATTTATGAGATACACTTAAAGGATATGTGAACCTTTTTTTTTTTTTTTTCCATTTTTACCTTCATTAATTACATGTTATATTACTGCATTAATTATCTCATATCCTTATTTTTCTTGCTCATTTACTCTCATTCGCTACATAAGTAAGAGTACTTTTAGAAAATAAAATATATATTTTTACATATTTATTGCTTTTAACTAATTTCAACTATTTTTTCCTACATAATTTGATTATTTATATTTTATATATGAAATCAAATGGAGTAATATTTATGGTAGTTTTTTATGGTGTAAATATGATACTAGGATACCCTTATCATATGAGTTAGCCTCACCTAGCTAAAGCCCATAAGTAATTCTTTTTTTTTTTTTAAGTTAGAGTGATAGATACCAACAGGTCGGATGTAACAGAAAAAAGTAGTCCATTATAATACAGTGAACTAATATTTGAATTTCCGTTAGAAGAAGCGCTTATAAGTAATTTTTTTTTTTATTAAATTAGACAGATAGGTACTAACAACATGAAATTACTTAGAGAATTGAATCTATAAGTATTCATGCCACTAAACTATAAGCCTGTTAGCCGATAAGTAATTCTCGAGCATAATTTTGTGTCAAATAAAACTCTTTCATAAACTGAATCAGGCTTGGCACCTGAAGGTACAATGAGGAACGAGGAATTTATGAAAGATATTTGGCGACTTCTCATCTAAGTGTTTTTCTGTACTACACACGTTACATTTACGGCAGGCAAAGAATGTTAAGGGTGTGATGGGTGGCTTCCAACATGAAACCAAACGCATACTAACAAGTGTTGAAAGATTAGCTTGTTAAAATAATGATTGAATCAGATTCCCCGCTGAAATTGAACACAAGTTTGACCAATACGATGTAATTTAAAATCATGAACTTCTCAAACGTATCTAGAACTCCTAAAATAATCTTAACCACCGCACATGTTTCCACTTTGAATAAATTCCAGAGTAGTGGAAGCAGAGCAAGGGTTTCCATTATCCACCAGCCTCGTATCTTCCAGTTCCAACCGTCATATTATGGCTTTGTCCCTGTTTGGACAACAAGTACACACGTTGCGCACAGTTAGATTCTAAGTCATGTGGGAATGTTCTAAAAAAAAGAAAGAAGAGAGAGTTAATAATGCAAACATTAAATTTTAATAAATTCCATTAAAAATCTAGAATTCCTTTTCTGGCCTATTGGCATGGCATGCAGGCACTCAAAATTACAACGATGTTTCATGAATTATAAATAATGTTGTAAATATGATACATGTCTTACGAAGTGGCTCCTTAGAGCCTCGTATGAAAATAATGGGATGCGCTTGCTCTAAACAACGTCTTGAGCATGAAGATCCAGCAGTTCTTGCTACCCAAACCTGCTGTGAGAGGCTTCTTGCTTCCTCTTGTTCTTATTATTTTTTTTAGCCAAAATTGAAGCTTTTTCAAGTTTTGCTTTATTTAGCTTATCGTGTTTCCTTTTCGCAGTTACCGTATCTGAAATTGAAGGACTGTACGAGTTGTTCAAGGAGCTGAGTAGTTCTATGGTTGATGACGGGCTTATCAGCAAAGTAAGTTTAAATACATGTTCATTCTCACTCTATCAGGATAAGATCATAAAAACTATTACGAGGAGAATAAAAGTTGTATACTTGCTTCAACTATAACATGGTGAATGTAATCCAAGTTTTCATTTCCGACCCTCTAAAAACTTATGCAAACCTCATATTCAACTCAACCTTCTTCATTACTGGATTCTGTATATATAGGAAGAGTTTCAGCTGTGCTTATTTGGAAGTAGCAAGATACAGAGCCTATGTGCAGACCGGGTTAGTTTTCTAGTGAAGGAAAATAAGCTATTTTACATTTTACAAAACAAAATTTTTCTCACATACTTACCTCACTACAGCTCAAAATTATTTAAAATAAGCTAATCTGACATTCCATCCAGCAGGTTTTTCATTTATTTGACTCAAAAAATGATGGGGTAATAGAATTTGGAGAGTTTGTTCGAGCTCTGAGTGTCTTCCATCCAGCTGCGCCACAGGCACAAAAAGCAGCTTGTACTGTATTTCCTCTCAACACTCATTTCGTGAGCTTGCCATTCCATTTTTCGTATTCTGAAGTCTTGGTACTTAATGTAACAGTTGCATTTCGAATTTATGATCTAAGGCAAACTGGTTTCATTGAACGTGACGAGGTAAACAACGAGATTCCTGATAATAATCTCACCACTTTAAGTTGCAAGCATGAGCACTGAACTTGATTCATCTCTCATAATTATTCTATTTACAAACATGTTAAGTAATTATTCTTGGGACATGGAAGTTAAGAGAGTTGATATTGGCACTTTTAAGGGAGTCAGATTTGATTCTTTCTGAAGACTTAATTGAGGCCATAATTGATCAGGTTTGCTTTCTTTTTCCCTTCTCCGTGGCATTCAAGTTATGTTCCAACATGAAGCATCAAGCAAAATGTTCTATACTAATTTTCCTGATTACTGAGTCACCCCTCTGATGCTGCATAGGCATTTAAAGAAGCAGATTTAAAAGGAGATGAGAAGATCGATCTAGAGGAGTGGAATGAATTTGCAGCTCAAAACCCATCCATACTGAGGAACATGACAATTCCATATTTACAGTAATAACATGCGTTTCTCATGTCTTAAACATGGTCTCATAACGTGCCTATGTTAGATCTAATTGCATATCAACAGAATTATTTACCTAAAGCTTGCACTTTATCACATGGGATTCAACTATATATTACTCCTAAAAGATACATGAACTTTGCAGGGATCTTAATGCTCAGTTTCCCAGGAGATGATACAACCAGAGCAACATGCGAAAAGATAACACTAGCTCAAGACTAAGAGTATCTGGATTGATGTTATCCTATATATTCTAGGGGAGAAAATCAACTGAACAATGTAAACCATATATACATTATACATAACTTGGTCAATGCTATTCGTCCTTGTCGATTACCATGTCTTTCAAATTCATAGGATGACACATTCTAGTGTGCAGGCCATTCCATACATTGTCTGCCAGAATTTCATTCACTGCATCAGTTGGATGGAACTGGTCCCACCATATATAGGTGGAAGCATTACTGCACGCCATTTCTGGCGATAAACACATGATCCACCCCTTGTACTTCCCAAATCCACAGCATGCGTCCTTAGTCTCATTAAAGCCTGATCAGAATGCATATAGCCGGGTCAGTCGTGAAGTTCATGTGATTTATGAAGGATCTTAAGAATTAAAACAAACTAGTACTTAATAATATTACCGTAACGTTCATGGTTCTTTAGAATATCCATGGAACCTTGCAAAACATCACAGAAGATGATATTGAGATCAGCTAACTCCTTAGTAAGCTTCTCTATCATGTATCTCATGAGAAAATTAAACTCCATCACCATGTCATTTATCTGCTCGATGCACTCTCCATCTTTACTACCATACTGCCACAAGTAGTGCGGAGCACAGCCAATTGGTGCAAGTCCCATAACCACCACTTTCCTAACCTTTGCGTTGTATAAATTCTGTGTCATCAAGGTTAAATATATCAAGAATCAATGAAGGAACATTACCGAAGTGTCAAAAAACCCCAAGAGGAGCGTTCACCATAAAAAAAAAAGACCCCAAGAGGAGTAGAATACACACACACACCTTTATCCCTTGTGTCACTGAAGATGCTAAAAACTGGTTGAACCTCCATGGGAGGTACATATTATCCACGTTAGATACATTGAGCAGGTAGTAATGTATATAGTCGTTGATTCCAATTGAAATGTAAAACACAGACTTGGATATGAGACTGGTTGTAGCATCCTCGCCCATACTTAGAATGAACTGCTGAATGGTGTCACTGAACTGCTGAATTTGCTGATTGAAGGAGATATGCTGACCCTGCACTGAGTGATTGCATCATTACAAGATGAACTTTGGACATGTAACTTTGTTTGAAGATTGCGGAATAGCCCATACAGATCATCAACTAATGCTGAAAAATAGGAGAGAGTATACCAATTCTGAGCCGCTTGAGAGAATAATGCCAGCGCCAGCAGAAGCGTAATTTACGCCGTGAATCATATCCCCCACATCCCCAGTCTGCCCAAGGTAACTTGGGACAAAAGGAAGGCCGAGACGCAGAGCTATACACCAAAGTGAACAAAAAAGATTTAATGTAATGGCAACTACAAAATTCCGGGTCTCGCCCAGCTTAACGACAGAAATAAGAAACGACATAAATTCGGTATACACAATTTGGATTTCCACTTATTCAATAATACCCATCTCAGAAATTACCCCAAAGATAGAGTTGATTTATTCGTTGAAGGAATGTATGGACCGCTTGCTAATGAAGTGCTGATAGAGAAAATGGAAACCCTTTTTTTTTTTGGGTCTTTCACCATTTTAGGTTTCGACGCTTTATTGGACTAGATCATTATAATCTTGACAATCAAGGCAAGTATTACAGAGCCAACAAGTGAAAATCTAAAGAAAGATAAAGAAGTGAAGTGGAAGAATAAAGAAAGAAGAGAAAAATGACCAAGATAGTCGACGGGAATCCTGCCATTGCAGAAGCGTCCAGTGGGTTGGCGGGAATCGAAGTCTCGGCCATAAGGAAGGTGATTGGCGCGGGCAAATGTGCCGAGAAAGTTGTTGGTACCGGAATCAACAGAGGAATCTCCGATGACGAACAAGGCGGGGGCTAAAGGACTAGAAGACGGAGAATTCGAAGAATCGTGAGAAGGTGACATTGAGGGAATGTAGGCTTGTGACGGAGCGACGTACAGTTCCTCAGGGTATTGATAATGCAGACCTCTGGCATGAAAAACTAGAGATGTGATCAACGTACAGATAAAGGAAACAATAACCGTGATGTTCATTGTCTTGCAGTTCCAGATTGAGTGACTGAAAGTGAGACGGAGAAATAGAGAGGCAGAGCAAGGCGAGGACGCGAGGAGTTTGGCGGGAAATGTCGTTATACTGCGGATATAGCAGGATGAACCACTTGAAAAATTTCTGGCAAAAAACTGTTTTTTTAAATTAGAAATAAATTATTATTTCCAATAATTTTTCAAAACCCTCCTTAAAATTATAATTAAGTATTTTTAATACTATAAAAAATTACTGCAAATAATAATCAACATATAAATACACACATAATTTATAAGAATGTTGTTTATGATATGAAGTTTCACGTTGAATTTTATATCTTTTAGCCATTAAATGTATTAGAAATACCAACTTTATGCACGTTTTATGATGTGTGTGTGACGTTTATTATCTATTTTTTTGGTCAGAAATCACATGCTCATTGGGCTTGAACTTAGAGAAAGTTGGAGATAAATCTTTGTTAAAAAATTAATTGGCGCATATAGAAAAGATAATTTGTACGAAATGTTATTTAAATATAAGGGACTAATTTGCATATAAGAAAAAATAGATTACATACAAAAAAAATCAAGTTATACAAAAAAAAAAAGATATGACACAAAAGAAGATGATTGTAAACAGGAAAAGATAAATTATGTATAAGAAAAGTTAAATTATGCACAAAGAATGTTAAATTGTGCAAAATCCTTATAAACCATTTATCAATTAATTTCTCAAGTAGAGATTTATCCTCAGTTTTCCATAAACTTACAATCTCATGCTTAAAAAAACTTAAAATACTAATGATAACAATAATTTACTTAGCAAAAAGTAATAACGGTTTACTTGAAGTTTTAATGATCAAGATATTTAACCTCTTCAAATACTTTAATTATCAATTTTATAAGTTGTATATTTTTAAAATATATTCTGGCAAAAAATATTTTTAAAATGTAATTATTTCTTATATTTTTATTAAATTTAAGAAGTGACGTGGACCCCGTTGTTAATTTCTTGGACTAGTCTCCATTAGACGAGCACGGGTTGGACGGGTAAGTTTCGACAACTTTCAATAGTCCGTAAACAAAAATTATGATTCTCTTTATTTACATACCTAGACATAACGGTTGACACTCTTATCACATTTTATGAGGATGACCACAGAGGAGAAAAAAATTCATGGCACCTATATATACTACGTCCGCTTTTAATATAAGATTTAATTTGACATTTAATTTAATTTTAAATATAATATCATCTCATATTTATCTAGTTTTTATTTTTTCAAAATAGTTCTTGTAGTAGTTACACGTGTTAAATATTTTATCAAATAGTAATTCTAGCTAATAAACATAATTAGTAAGGATATTCTATAGAAGATAACATCTATTTATTACAAATAACAAACTTAACAAACTTTCTTAATCTATTTACATTAATCAACTAGATCTTATATTAAGGGCTGAAAGTAGTGATGTTTATAATTTATAAATAATACTCCCTCCAATTCAAAATATAAACTAAACTTTATTGAAGAAGCTTAGTTTTTTTAAAATAAAGTAACATTCACTTTTGTCTAATAATTTAGTGAGTTCTTTTTCAATTCTACCCCTTATATTTTTTTTTTTTTGCTTTTTGATTCATTGATTGTGTTTTTTAACTTATTCTCTTCATTAATAGGGAGACATTTGAAAAGAAAAATACATACCGTATATATTTATTGTTTTAAACTGATTTTAATTGGTTTCTTGATAAATGTAAATAGATTAAGTTTAGCTTATTTTGAACAGGAGGGAGTGCTACATTCTATTCTTAATATAAGAGTTAATTAACTAATTTGAAAAGATTAAAAAAATAGTAAAATTAGTTGTTTATGATAAATAAATATTGTCTTTTTTAAAATACTTTTATTAATCATGTGTATTTAAATTACCTATTGACAGTAACTTTTAACATATACAACTACTACTCTTCCAATCCTTAATATAGGACCCAATTGTTGAATTAGTTTTGGTCCTAAATACAAGACCTGTTTTTCATATTTATCAATTTTCTCTAAATTACCCGTGTAGATATTCCCTTAACCATAATTAAGTAGAAAAGGAAGATGGGGTATTAAAAAAGATAATTATGACCTTTTAGGAAAAACGTGTCACATTTCTTATAATTAACTAACTTATCTAATTTTCTTAATCTAATCAAATGAGTTAAACGGGTCTTATATTAAATATCGGAAGAGTATATGGATTACTATAGGACAAGATAGATAAACATATTTAAGATAAAGTAAATTAGAATTTTATATTTAGAATCAAATTAAACAGTAAACTAGCTCTTATATTGGCTATTGAATGCAGTATAATTTATTTCTCACATTACATGCGATATGTTAGAGAAATAATTCTTGTCTGTGCAATGAATCAGGAGACAAAATTTTGGCCGGAAAAAAAAAAAAAAAGAATCGGGAGAGAAAAAGCACACAGACACATGGGCAACCGTCCCACCGACCATAACGGTCAGAAATAATGTACCGCTCACCCAACGATAGTTTTTAATCGATAAATTAAATCCAACGAGAAGAAATCGGTTGACGCGTTTGTTTCCATGATTTGATGTGGGGAGTCCATCGTACTCTTCTCAAAATCATGCCCAGTTGCGCAAATACTCCTCCGGTCCTTAATATAGGACTCAATTATTGAGTTGATTTTGATTCTAGATATAAGACTTATTTCTCATATTTATCAATTTTCTCTAAATTACCCCTATGGATACTCCCTCAACTATAATTAAGTAGAAGAAGGAGATGGGGTATTAAGAAAGATGATTATGGTGTTTTAGGAAAAACACATCACATTTCTCATAATTAACTAACTTACTAACTTCCTTAATTTAATCAAATTAGTTAAATGGGTCTTATATTAAGGATCGGAAGAGTATTTCATTTTGACCACGAATTTGTTGAATAATTATAAATTTGTAATTTTTTTTAATGTAAATCTAATAATTTTGCCAAGACAAGAATGCAAGACTCGATTTGAAGTCTCGATATGAATCAAAAGCTTTGATGCAATTCCCACACTGTCTCAAGCATATTCTATTTTGGGATTCTTCTCTTTACCCTCATTTATTGTTTTTATTTTTCTTACTCTTCCGATTTTAAATATAGGGTGATTTTAACCCTAACTGTAAGATTTTAATATATTTTATTTATTATATTTATTAATTTTTACTAAACTAATTTGTTTAGCTTGTAAGCTAATGTGTTTGAATAATTTATTTAACTTATTTGATTTATTCAAATCAATTAATTGTAGTTTGCATTAAAGATGAAAGGACTACTTTATATTTAATATGAATGAGACTTTTGAGGGATTAGACTATATTTATAAATAGAGAACTTTTATTGTAAGATCAAGTGAACTAAGAAGAATCCTTTTATTTACATCCCTACCGCTTTACTATTGCTTTATTTTCTTTATTTTTATATTTTTGCACTTGTTTTCATTTTTTTTTTCCGGTGAAATGTTTTCATTTATTTATTTTGATTTATTAGGAGTTGGTATGTGTGGCATTAAAAAAGGAGTTGGTATGATTGAGACAGATTCAATTATGCATAACTAACATAATTAAATATCCTTGATGCCAAAAAAAAAACATAATTAAATATCCTGTGCAAAGTTGGGTGTCTGCATTATATATCGGTCGCCATGTGATCCCATGATCATACTCATCACTCCTTCTTTTTTTCTTTTTTCTTTTTTGCTTTTTTGAATACAAACCATGCTCATCATTCTAGCCCACCTTCTATTTGTTTGCCTTTTCCAATAACTATTAGTATATGCTCATTTATTAAGCTAATCCCACTGTCTTGTTCCCTGAACCTCCTCAAATATTCTCCATTGAACCTTCCCACCACCTGCGAACCAATGGCCTCAACATTTTTGTTTTTAAAGAAAACATATATATATATATATATTAAAATTCTCTTTTTGGGGGGGGATCACTATAAAAAATCTCTAAAAGTATATATCTATTCAATACTTTTGTATATCTATAAATATTGTTTGAATGGTGATATAGACACATTCATTAAGCCGAAATTTATCAGTGCATGCTACTTATTTATTATTGTGATATATTTTTGATAATTATATCTAAATTCATATTCTTCTAATAAAAATAACAAAATTGAAAAATAAAAATATCTCATTAATACTTTTTACACTCTTGATGCTTGTTAAAGGAATCTTGCTATGTAGCTTATTTGCTTGTTTTGAATTCTTGATGAATAAATGAATTTCAGAGTATCATTCAAAAATAAAAATATCAACCAACAGGGTTGGTTCCAGCGGTAAGCGACTTGGTACCGTTTAAGCGAGGTCTCGTGTTCAAGCCTCAGCGTACGCAGAAATTTCCATTGAGAGACTCACCCACCAAAGTTAGGTGTGCGACGCAGGTTGGATCCAGATGTAGTTGAAGCAAAGTTCCGATAAATTGAGTGGGCAACCAAAAAAAATAAAATAAAAATATCAGTGATAGTTTTGGAGGCCTTTTATAATGATCCATGTGTTTTATGTAACGTTTATTATTGTAGACGTACAATGGGAGGAGCCATGCGCGTATGTATATAAATATACTTGGGAGTATATTTTATAATGGTGAGGAGAACCGGGGATGGCACTGAAGTATAGAAAGACGAGAACAAATATGAAGATGACGCGTAGTGGCGTACAGAGCCTGGTTTTGAAAAATGAGAGCAGAATCAGAAAATGTTGCCGTTAGATTACATGCAGGGGGGAGTGCCACAGGGGGCAGGGTGGTCAAAACAAAACTCGGTGAAAGGCTTAAAGCGACAATGCCGTTCTGTCACTGATTCCTCTTACAAAATCGGCGAAATCATCGCTTCCCTCTGAAATCCTTCTCTTTGCTGCAATTAAAGCTCCCTTCTCCTCCCACCTTCACCTTCGGTTCTTCCCTTTTGGTAAGAATCCTCTGTCTCTCGCATTCCTTCATGCTTCTTCTCGGGAGATTGCGCCTTACTTTCTTGTGATTGCCTCTACACCCAATAATTTATCATCAGTGTTTCCAGTCTAACCTTCACAGTGTACATCTTTCAGGACTACGTTTTAAATTCTCCGTCCAATTTTTGTTTTTCTTTCCCTTTTGTTTTTCTAGTGTTTGTTGGTTTTAATCTCTCATCCGGGGTCTTCGAATCGCTCGACGAAGGACCTTGGTGGTGTTAGATGGACTTATTTCGTTTATAACCTCGAAAGGTCTTCAGTTTGTTGAGACCCTTCCCGGAAAAATATTCCGAACATGTCACTTGCTGATGTTGCTCGGACTCCGATTCATCTAGAATCGGTCTACTTCCAAGGCCAACTCGTACCTTGTTCAGGTAAATCCATCTTGATTTACCTCGCGGCGGACGGAGCTCTGACCCCTATGCGTGTGTTGGAGTCCGATACCATAGCATCAGTGAAACTCAGGATTCAGAAATGCAAGGGATTCACGATGAGGCAGCAGACGCTTATTTTTGAAGGCAGGGAGCTGGCCCGCAACGGTACCCTTATCAAGGACTATGGTGTCACCGGTGGCAATGTTCTTCACCTGGTTCTCCGGCTCTCCGATCTCCTCTTCGTCATCGTTAGGACAACTTGTGGCAAGGAGTTTGAATTTCATATCGATCGCCATAGAAATGTTGGGTATCTCAAGCAACGCATCAAGAAGGGAAAATGTTTCGTTGATCTTGAGAATCAAGACCTTTTCTGCAACGGCGAGAGGCTCGATGACCAGAGAATGTTCCACGACGTATGCAAGAGTGAAGATGACGTGATTCACTTGTTGGTTCAAAAATCAGCCAAGGTTAGAGCTATACCAGTCGAGAAAGATCTAGAACTGTCCGTTGTGGCCTCCACTACCTCAGAGGAAAGTGTCCATGGTAACAAGAAGAAGCTTGAGGCAGCAACAGAAGCAAAAGGTGATTTCATATTAGAACCAATAATTGTGAACCCGAAGATCCGAACATTCCCTTTCCTGTGGGAGATGATGAATTCAACGTCTAATGGTTTGAAGAAAGGTTTTAAGCCAGTAAGGTCCTCTGAGGGCACAGGAGGGACATACTTTATGCCAGATGAAACAGGGAAAGAGTATGTTGCAGTGTTCAAGCCCATTGATGAGGAACCAATGGCAATGAACAACCCACGGGACCTTCAGAGATCAATAAATGGGGAAGGATTGAAAATAGGGACGAAGGTAGGAGAAGGAGCGGTGAGGGAAGTAGCTGCATACATATTAGACCATCCAAAAGGAGGAAGACGAGAGGTATCAGGTGAAGCATTTGGATTTGCAGGTGTTCCTCCCACAGTTATGGTTAGGTGCTTGCACGAAGGATTTAACCACCCAGAAGGGTTTGAGTATTCATCAAAACACTTGAAGATCGGATCTCTCCAGATGTTCATGGACAACGAAGGTAGCTGTGAGGACATTGGGCCAGGGGCTTTTCCCGTCGAAGAGGTGCATAAGATTACCGTGCTTGATATCAGAATGGCTAATGCAGACAGGCATTCTGGCAACATATTGTGCAGGAAAGAACCAGAAACAGATAAAACTATCCTCGTTCCAATTGATCATGGTTATTGTCTGCCAGAGAAAGTAAGCGAATCTAATATATTCTTTTTGTATTGAATTAAGTCATACTACTGTCATACTATATTAATTGAAAGTTTATTAACTCTGAATTATGTCTGCGCAGTTTGAAGATTGCACTTTTGATTGGCTTTACTGGCCACAAGCACGCAAACCTTACTCTCCTGATACAGTTGAATATATAAAATCAATGGATGCCCAGAAAGATATAGAACTATTGAAATATTATGGGTGGGATGTTCCAGTGGAATGTGCGAGAGTGCTTCGTATTTCAACAATGCTGCTCAAGAAAGGGGTTGAGAGGGGTCTGACCCCTTATGCCATCGGGAGCATAATGTGTAGGAAAAACATGAACGTGGAATCTGAACTAGAGGAGATGATTCAGGAGGCCCAGGATTCCTTGTTGCCAGGCATGAGTGAGTCTGCATTTCTTGAAGCAATTTCCCAGATCATGGATTCCCATCTCGAACAGAAGCAGCTTGCAAGTTAGGCTTTTTCGGATTTATTTATAGGCATGTCTTAACGTTTAAGTGAGTGGCTAGTCCAGTTTAGGATGGGCTTCACGTGGTATCAAAGTTCGACGGCTTTGTGTGTTTTAGGGACATATAAGCCTCAAGCTTTTTAACTCTCTCTCATGTTGGAGATATAAAGGAAATAATGACGCCTCATATCCCCAACATCTCACTTCAACTACTATATATTGGGCGCTTCAACAGAATGTCCGGATGAGAAGAAGTATACATATTCGTCTATGATTTTATGTGTTTTTTTTTTTTTTAGGTTTGTGACAAAACAGTTTGAAAACGATGTTGAAATTGTGGGCTTGTATAGTCTTGTAAATCTCAGTTTGTGTTGGATGTTCAAATTTGAAGGGGTGAAAAAATAATACCAAAGTACTATAAGATCATCCTAGTTAAGCATAATGTTTTACAGTAATGTGTATCGAGAAATTACTAAATGGGAAAAAAAATGACACTATATATTGTCTATATTTGTAAGTGTTCTGTTTTCTGGGTAGACATGAAATTGACCTCAGGTTTGGTAAGAGCTTCTAGTGATTATAGTGTCACACACTGCACCAGAAATCATACCCTAAGTCAAATATGCATGAGATGATATAATAATGAATCCAACTGCCTGAGAATTGAGATTAGTTTAGGTAAGTGTTGTTTTTGGAGACTGGCCTCCGAATTGATTTTGGAAACTGAGAAGAAAGGAGGCAATCTGGCACCCAATCATTTTGATTCCCAACGGATGACAGTGATGCCACGCCAGCACCGAAAGCTGCGACGCGTAATGTAACTCCACGTGTAAAGTTCAAACTTCAAATTGGGTTTTTGACCGATTTTTTCCAAGTAGACTTGCGCTGCTAGATGTGAGTTTGCACCCCCTCCCATCTATTTCTCAGGGAGAATGATACTGGGATTCAAAAAAAAAAAAATTATATAAGTGAGTAGTTGTTAGTAATTATATTTCTTAGTTAAAATTTCATAATAATTCTTCATATTTTTAATGACCCTACCTATTTCTAATGACACAACTAGAGGGCCGAATCTAGTGCCCATGGGTATACATTTTAGATTATTACTGTGTTTTTTCTTTCAGATTTAATCTAGATAATTAAAATTAAAATTAAAATTATTATTGTTATGTTTTTAGTTCAAATTTCATTATTTCTATCTTTTAAAAATAAAAAATAAAACCTCAGTTGTCTCAATTTAATCTGAAGAGCAATCAGCACGGAATCCAAACTTCGCATCTAGGAAAAACAAATGTGATATTAATCAAAAGCATGGAGGACTAATGAGGAAAATTCATCAGATACATCGAAGTGTCGTATCATTAATATTCCATCCATTTAAATTAAAAAATAATTACTTTATCTTTTCGGTGCAAGTATATTCTCTTTTCATTAATCCACTTTATTATCTTTCGAATGCATATGCATAATACATTCTTTTCTCATCATTTTTCTTTTTTCTTTTTCCAAAGAATGGGAGAATATAAATTAGGAAAAATTGCATTTAAAGACCGTAGGTGAGAATTTATATCAGTCAACCCCTAAAACATTCTAAAATATCAAAAATAAATATTAATAATCGTCGAAGTCCGGCCACCAGGGCTTAGGTAGCTCCGGTGGCTGCTACTGTAGTTTTGATGGCTGAAATTTGTTTTTAAAAAAACAAGGTGGCTAAGGGAATGTTTGAACCCATAACCCCTTAACACACCAAAAGTGATGTAAATATATAATCACCAAGCCAAGCAAGCCATTCAATCATATGATGCAAATAAAAATATATATAATAAAACAAACACAAGTGTCCAAGTATAAGTGAATAAATGAAATTCAATAGTTTACAAGTGAAATTTAGCAATTTACAACAAAAATTTGGTAATTTACAAATAACATAATGGAATTCATAACCTCAAATGCAAGTGTTTAAATGCAAATGAGTAAGTAAAATTTAAAGATTTACAATAAAAGTTTATAAATTTACAACCCAAATTTGGCTATTCACAAAAAACACAAGAGAATTCATAATCAAAAATGTAAATGTTTGAATGTAAGTGAACAAGAGAAATTTAAAAATTTATAAGTAAAATTCAGCAATTTACAACAAAAATTTGACAATTTACAAATAATAAAATGAAATTCACAGTCCCAAATGCAAGTGTTTAATTATAAATGAACAACTGAAATTTGAAGATTTACAACAAAAGTTTATAGATTTACACCTCAAATTTGGTTATTCACAAAAAACACAAGAGAATTCACAATCTAAAATGTTTGAGTGTAAGTAAACAAATAAAATTTGACAATTTACAAGTAAAATTCGACAATTTACAAATAACATGATGGAATTCACAACCTCAAATGCAAGTGTTTAAGTGTAAATGAGCAAATGAAATTTTCATTGTAAATACTCCTCCGGTCCTAATTATAAGACCCAATTGACTTATTTGAGGAGATTAAGGAAGTAAGTTAAGTTGGTTATTTATAATAAATAAGTATTATCATTCCTAAAATATCCTTGCTAATTAAGTATATTGGCTAAAACTATCATTATTAGAAGGATTATCTTGGAAAAAAATACATAAATATAAGAGACAAAATGGATTGGGGTCTTATAATTAGGACCAAATAAAAAGTCAAATGGGGTCTTACAATAAGGACCGGAGGAGTACTAAATTTCACTTGCAAATCTATAAACTTTTGTTGTAAATATTTAAATTTCAGTTACTCATTTACACTTAAACACTTGTATTTGGGACTGCGAATTCCGTCATGTTATTTATAAATTGCCAAATTTTTGTTATAGATTACTAAATTTTATTTGTTCACTTACAGTTAAACATTTACATTTTGGGTTATGAATTCTCTTGTGTTTCTCGTGAATAGCTAACTTTGAGTTGTAAATTCATAAACTTTTATTGTAAATCTTCAAATTTCACTTGCTCATTTGTACTTAAACACTTGCATTTGGGGTTGTGAATTCCATTATATTATTTGTAAATTGTCAAATTTTTATTGTAAATTACTGAATTTCACTTGTAAACTGTTACTTGGACACTTGTGTTTGTTTTGTTATATATATTTTTATTTGCATTATATGATTGAAGGGCTTGCTTGGCTTAATGGTTACATTACTTTTGGTGCGTGTTAAGGGGTCATGGATTCAAACCTTCCTTTGGCTACCATGTTTTTTAAAAAAAATTCTCACTACCAGAGCTACAGTAGATGCCATCAAAGGTCTAACCTCCAGCAGCGGCCACCTGAACGTCGGTGGTCGGACTCCGACAACCATTAATATTTATTTTTTTTAAAAAAATAAAAGTGATAAGTATTATTGTATTCTTACTTTTAATTTTAATTTCAATTTGGTCCCATAACTTTCAAGTGACATTTTAGAATGTTTTTGGAGCTGAGTGACATAAATTCTCACCTGTGGTATTTAAATGAAATTTTTCCTGACATCATCACTATGAACCCACAAGTGGGACCCAACGGCTTCTGAAAAAGGGTCCATTTGAACTTGAAGCACTCGGAAGTCAAGTGAGGGCAGCGAGGGCTGCAGAGTTAAAGGTAAACAAAGAAGAATGGGAGCACAAAATTAGCAAAAAAAATAATAAAAAAAGTCCAATCGTTCACACTGTCGGAGTGGGAGCTACCCAGTTTTCTCTCACTCTGTATTTGTCTTCTAATGCCGCATCCTTAGTTCCTTACACAGTCCACTAGATCCAGTGAGTGTTGTGCGCTTGTGCGAGGGCTGAGTGGAGGAGAAAAGCTGAGCCATGAGTAAGCCTCACCGGCCGTCCGGCCGCACCAACCTTGCTTCCTGTATAGTCGCCACCATCTTCTTGATCTTCCTGGTCATGGTCCTCCTCATTGTTTACTTCATGGTGTTTAAACCTCAGGATCCCAAGATTTCCGTCAGCGCCATCCAGCTTCCATCGTTCTCCGTCTCCAATGCCTCCGTTAACTTCACTTTCTCACAATACGCCTCCGTCCGAAATCCCAACCGAGCCTCCTTTTCCCACTACGATAGCTCCCTCCAGCTTCTCTACGCCGGGAACCAAATCGGCTTCATGTTCATTCCCGCCGGCAAGATCGAAGCGGGGAGAACCATCTTCATGGCCGCCTCGTTCGCCGTCCAGTCTTTTCCCCTCTCTACTCCGTCGAGCATGGGCTTCCCAACTATGCCGCCGGGGCTTAATGGGCCGAGGATCGGGCCCACCATGGAGATCGAATCCAGGATGGAGATATCCGGACGAGTCAGGGTGCTGCACTTCTTCAGCCATCACGTGGAAGCTAAAGCCGATTGCAGGGTCGCCGTCTCTCTCAGCGACGGATCTGTGTTAGGTTTTCACTGCTAATTCTTTCTCTAGTTCAGTTCTGGTAACTTTTAGCTAGCTCTTTTAATTCTTAGTCTTTGGGCAACAATTGCCGATTTGGTGTCTCTCAAGTGTATAATGCGAGGTAACGGCATGAAATTGTAAAAATCATAATATTTTTTTCTCATATATCGTCGTCGCTCTGAGCTCGCTTGAGTATTTGGTGAAATGTGGGTATACTGAGACTGTGATTTGAAGTGACCAAACTAAATTTGGGTAAATCTGAGAAATGTGGTAGGCTTTGAAGTTTGAAGGCAATAGTGGTGTCGTAGGTAAAGGTCATTTTCGGGTCTCGATGAAGGGAAAATGGGGGGAATTTCTTTTCTTTTCTTTTCTTTTTGGTTTTTGGGAGAAGAAAAGGGAGGCCACTTTATTGGAGTGATGGAAGCCTTTTGGGAAACGGAAGGAAAGGGAAGGCCAATCGGATTCCTCAAAATTGGAAATGGAGATCCAGGGGCAAGAGAGTGGAGTTGGTGGCAATGACTGGGGAGGAGGGAAATCAAAGAACGGGAATTGCGGCTTTTTCAAAGGGACATGATTTGGAAGTTGGATGATACTATCATTGTATCTTGCGGATTCCTTGTTTGGATGAGCTGGCATGGATTGTTGAACAAAGGACTTGAGCATTATACACTTGTGAGTTGTGAGGAGGGTGGAGTTCTGTACAGACATCCACAATCTCCACATGATCTTTTTTTTATGGTATGGCTTCGTTTGTTTTTTTTTTGGCCAACTGTTATAATATGGCTTTACCTGAACTTTATACTAGTATTACAGCAAAAATTAGAGTTTTCGTCAAGGTACGAAGTACTGCGCCTAGATAATGGAGATTGATCGCAATGCTTATTTTCCTGGAGAGGGGAGAGCGGAAAAGGATATTAGGGTTCAGCTAATATTCATATACTCCTCCGGCCCTAAATGTAAGACCCTTTAGTTAAAGGGTCTTACATTTAGCACCGGAGGAGTACATTTTAATATTGTACAGATAATACACACACAGATATATAAACACCGGGATGAGATGTTTCCGGTGTTGTCTGTAACCTGTCTCATCTAAGGACTTGTTTAAAATAGCTGATAAGTAATATTTTAATTGTGATTTACGAAAAATGAAATTTATGAATTGCAGGTTGGGTTCTCTCCATTTCGTCCCTACTTTTTCGGGCATGGCGGGATAGGGTAATAGGATTGGTCCGACGTGAGCACTTGAGCAGCTCGGACCCTCCCAAAAAAAAAACTTAATTTTTAAATGGATTTTACCAAAACATAGTAATTGACTAATTGTTAACTGATATAAGGGAAATTACTGGTAGATCTGGGTGAGAAAAAGGGAAAATTACTCATAGATCTAGGTAAGAAAATCAAAGGATTGAGATGCAAATATATTCAAGAATCATTCGACGATGAGCTACTAACATTCTTAACTAAAATATGGCGTAAAAGCACCTTCAGATCCCCCAAAAAAAGAAAAACAATGCAATCTTTTCTAATCCGTTAATTAGGCCTGTTGTCTTTTAGGGTGTGTTTGGTATGAGGATTTGGGAGGGAGGGAGGGGAGGGGAGGGATTTTAATAATTTCTCCTTGTTTGGCAACACATAAATTTTAGGAGGAGAGGAAAATTTTTTTAAAATTTCCCCTCCCCTCCCCTCCCCTCCCCTCTTCAACCTCCCCTCTAAAATTGGGAGGATTTGGAGGGAAAGGGTAATATTTTATTATATTATGACCATTATGCTCATATTTTGTCATGTTGTGACCATTATATCTATATTTTGTCATATTGTGACCATTATGCCCACGCCTTAAATAAAATAAGAGCAAAATTGTCCATATTAAAATATTTTTCCCTCCCCTCCCTTCTTTTTTTATAAATCCAAACAAAATAATATTAAAATCCCTCCCCTCCCCTCCCCTTCCCTCCATTAAAATCCCTCCCCTCCCCTTCCTCTCATTGAGCCAAACATACCCTTAAGAATCGAGTCTTACATGATGTGGCACTTGTAAATGAGACGTGAGCAAAAATTAATTTTGCTCATCAGTTCTAAAAAATGGTTTTTAATTTTTAAAAAAATGACACGCATTGACAAATGTTGCCCGTAAATACCCGAATATTAAAAATTTATTTAACTTGAAATACAAGTGAAAGAAAAATATAGATGTTTAAGTTTCTTCTAACTAATAAAAACTGTAAGCACACCATTTTATTTTTTTCATACTTCGCAATAGTCTAAAAAATATATTCTTCCGGTTTTAAATGAGACATATTTTAACTCATTTTCTCATCTCTAGACCACATAAAGGGTTAAAAGTTGAAGAGTTTTTATGTAAAACTAAAATATTAAAATAATGGCTTTAGCCATTGTAATTTATTGAGGATGTTTTATTTCTTTATCGTGATGTGGATGACAAGGAAATAGAGAAGTCGAAAAACGAATCGAAAGTTGTGACTTGTGGCCCATAACATTATCACGCGCCAATTTTTCTTACGATTATTTGTTTATAGTTAATTTTAGTTGGGACTAATCCTTCATAGCATAACAAATCAAAATTTAAATCTATATTTATTGTTAGGAGAAGGATTTACATTTAATATCTAACCATATTTTGACCAAATTTTTTTTTAATTGCCTATAGTATCCTTCCATCCGAATAATAAGAAACTAATTTCTTGAGGTACTGTCGGGCTGAGCAAAATTATTATTATTATTTTTTTTGGTTCCCCACCCGGTTCACCAGAGCTTTGCTCTGACTACGTCCGGATCCGACTTGCGTCGCGCACCTGGGTATGGTGGGTGAGTCTCCCAGCGGGGGTTTTCTGCATCCATGAGGAATCGAACTCGAGACCTCACTTAAGCGGAACCGAGCCGCTTACCACTCGGACCAACCCCCGTTGGTGAGCAAAATTATTTTTGATGAAAGGAAATCTGTGCATTTAAAAAAAAAATGAAACCTAAAGCCCAAAGTCAAAATTTTAGAAAATGCCCAATATAAAAAGGAAACTTGCATAATCACGCTAGGGTTATAAAAGGAAAACCTCAATTTGATTGATTTGGTTTGTGAAGCCATATCTCATCAAATATGCATTCCAATATTTTCCCAAAACAGAGTCCCTAAACTTATGGCCAAAACATAAAAACGTACAAATAAATTCCGATTTGTGTTTCACCAAAAAAAGAAAATTCCGGTTTGTGAGATCTTGGCTGCTGCCTATAAACCTAACAGAAGATCACACCATCTTAGAGCCAAGCAGAGCCTCTCAAGCTGAAGCTAAAATACACTCAACATTCTCCTTAGTCCCATGGAGCCCTGCCCCAATAAGGTTCATTCCCTAAAACAACTCTGTCATTTTCTTGTCTTCTCCTTCTTCTTCCTTCTCTTCTTTTTTGGATTAGATGTTTCTCCCCTTTCTTGTAAAGTAGTCACCACTTGAGCCACAGAAGGGACTTTTTGACTAATAGCTACATAAACACATATTACATTTTGTCCTTGTTGATTGAGAATGTCCTTCTTCTTCCTTCTCTTCTTTTTTGGATTAGATGTTTAAGATGGGGAAGCTTTCATGTTACTGAGTTATCAAATTATTGAATTTTTTTTTCTGGTTGTGTAATGCTCCTCGATCCTAGATATAAGACCCGTATAAATTATACTATAAGATGAGTTCTACATTTAAGATCAGAGGAATGTAAGTCTATCTGCTTTCTAAATTAGTTTTGTTTTCTTTTTGTATTTCTGGCTATGTAGAAGGCATCTCATTCGGATCAGAGAAAACGAGAGAAAGCGTCCAAGAAGAAAGCAGAGGCAAGAAAGAAAGAAGCTTTTTATGGCAACAGTGGTGGCGGTAGCGGTGGTTACGGGTACTACGGACCTTTTAATAACGGGTATGGATACGGGTATGAGTATGGGCAGCCGTACCAATTCCATAATGGCTATTACCCGTACCTGTACGGAAGGCCAGAGCGCTATCGCTACGATGAATATGTGGCGAGGGCTCCGTTAAGTTACAGAGATGGATTCAACCACCACGGAAACTTGCATTTTGGGGACACAGATCCTTATCGTTGCTACCAATCGTTCTATGAGACTCCGGTAATGTCTTTCCCTCAGGCGCCACCGCCACGTCAGCTCCATCCCTTTTACACGCCCGAGACCGTCTGCTCTATTATGTGACTTCTTTTGAAGGTCTCATCCTCAGGATCTTATGATTTCACTGTCCATACTTCAGTTTATAAGCCTGTTTGGGATGCCGATGTGGTTTTTTCAGTTTCTGGGATTTCGTTTTGTGATCCAAGTTACAATCTTGCCTGTAAATATTTTTATGAGAGACTATTCTTTGACCACTTTTGATGCTTATCCATGGTTAAACTGAAATGAGTATGAGCTTGTTTAAAACGCAGGTAAAATCCTTCAAAAGGAGTGAGTTTAAGTGCTTTTGGGAATCATCTGACCCAGGAAGAAAAAAGTGCTTTTGGGAATCCAATTATATAGTAACATACAAGCGCTACATGACAGCACATCTGATGAATCAGTATTACAATGAATAATAAAGTACAAGCAATAGACGGGAGAAAAGAACATAAATCTGGGAGAATTGACACCTAATGCAGCACTAGTACGGATTCAGATAAATGCATAGGACCAAAAAAAAAAAAAGGATGGAAAATGATTACTCATATCCTCCTAGACGCAGGAAGAAAATGTTTTTTTATCTTATTTATAAGTTATCTTATTTAATTTTTAGTATGAATATACTATTTTATTTTTATTTATTATATTATAGGTAGTTATTTTTTTAAAAAAATGTATATATTAAACATAGATAAGATTGGAAAGTTTTTATATTTTAAGGTAGAGTTAATAGAATTTAAGATTATAAATGTAGTTAGAGGAGTATTTGAGTACAAATAGGAACAAGAATAATAATAGTACTATGGCTTAATAACTAATACATTGTCTAGTACTGCCTTCGATTTTTAATATAAGAGCTAATTGACTAATTTGAGTAGATTAAGAAAATTTGTTAAATCAGTTATTTATAATGAATAAATATTATCTTTCCTAAAATATCATTGCTAATCATGTGTATTAACTAGAATTATCATTTGATAGAATTTTTAATATGTGCAACTACTATAAGTACTACTTTGAAAAAAAATAAATAAGATAAAATAGATTAGAGTTTTATATTTATAATCAAAATAAATATCAAATTAACTTTTATATTAAGAACTAAAAATATTTTTTTATAAAATAATTTTTTTATGTTTGGTAAAATGGGAATATGACAAGAATAAAAGGACATAAAGTTCAATTGGAAAATCATCGTTAAAAGAAAATAATGTAAATTTTTATTTTACTTTTTTTTTTTTGGCAGAGCAATAATGAATATTCTCATCTTAGCCATAAGCCATTTGTTCGGTCGGGACGCCAATAACAAATGTTATTTTAATATTTTCTCCTAATACTACCTCCGATCTTTATTCTCAAGTTAACTAATTTGAGAGCTTGTTTAGAACAGTTTATAAATAGTTTATAAGTAGTTTTGTAATAATGATTTGCAGAATACGAGACAAATATGTTAAAAGAGTTTTGTCTCAACTTACATGAAACGTGCTTATAAAAGATTTTTTAAACCCTCCCAAACCGGCTCTAAATAGATTAAGAAAGTTTGTTAAATTAGTTATTTATAATAAATAAATATTGTCTTTTCTAAATTATTTTTATTAATCAAATATATTAATTTTAATATTTGATAAAACATTTAAAATATGTAACAAATAAAAGACTAACTTAGAAAAAAATAAATAAATATAAAAACAAAGTGTTACAATTTTATATTTAAAATTAAATTAAAAGTCAAATTAGTCCGCTCCAGCACAATAAGAAGTAAAAATAAAACACCAGCTGACCAGCACACGTGTTGCCCATTTTCACATTGAATGCTAATGGATACTTCAAATGCAAGTTCGAAACTTCATCCATCGTCTTTGTTCGCAGATGCAGGTTCTCACTTCTCCAAACTCTTTACACCAAAATGTTCGGATCTACGCGGTTACATATCTACAAAGATTTTTTTTCCCCCCCCCCGATCTGCTTCATATTTTTCCTGTTCTCGCAACCATCATCTTTCTATCTCTTTCAATATCCAGATTTAAAATTTTGGAAATTTGACTTAATTTGAACTCACTCCATTTATTGGAATTAATGCATCGAACTGCTTTTTCTGTTGTTTAATTTGATTCTCCATTTGTGCCACTGTACGATGAAAACCGGAGACAACAGGCGCAAATAAGACATTTCACTGTTTATTCCTTGATCTACAGTACCATTCCTTCACCCCGCCTATGGAATGGTTTGGCCTCGCCCCATGGGAAAGGAATGGTAGAAGGAATAATTTTCAAGCATACCAGACGTAGGATTTGTGTCTCCATATGCCATCTCCTTCTCCTCCACTCCACTTCAAAGTCCACCAAACACGAGGAGAGCCTTACCAATCAGTAAAGATACATGAACCGCCAATGCTTCTATTTACAGAAGAAATGCAGTTCAATCATACATACATACACATTGCTCAAACTACACAGACATTCACATGGAAAACTAAAAGCGGCAGCGCCAAATAAACATTAAAAAAAAAGAAAAGGACAAATAACTAGAGCTACTTATATTTGTAGAGCTTGTGTTCGAGACTTAAACAAGGTTTCCACCACTGATGAATGCCATGAGCTGCTCTGAAATCCTGAACAGGAGTTACATTTACTGTCAAAGAAGCTGAAGGAATGAGGTGTGCGGCTTCTGATTCCTTCCCAAAAGCACTCATCAACAGATCGCCGATTGAATTTTGAGTCGCTAACCTTTCGATACCGCCTATACCAATCTCCTCCATCGTCTTCCTGTGTTCAAAATATCCAATGTACTCTGAACAGATATGATCAGATGGATTCACAAATAGACAGGGGACCCAGGAAGACAAAGCAGGAAATGGACCCAAGTGATCATCCAAGGACACTTCCTTTTTCTGCCTAGCCTTCATGGCAAGGGTGAGTCCGGCTGTTATCACACTGCTGGCGACTCGAATCCCAAGTTTCAAGTTTTTATTTTTGATTCTCTCAATTGGAGCAGAAACAAAAGGTGGGTTGAAAAGAAAAGATTGAATAAACATGCCACTCTTGGCCATTCTTTTCCCAGTAAGCATTGCCAGGGCAGATCCCAATGAGTGACCAGCTAACCAGATATTTGAATCACCTACAGCGGCTACCATGTTTCGAGCAGCTTGGACAGCAATGTCAGATCGAGATGTCTGATGGAGTCCATTACGGACAAAGTGCATATCCAATTGGATATCACGGTAAACTGAATCTCCCCTTGGTATAGTGCCTCGAAATGCAATCACATATCGTGGACTAATATTTACAGTGTCATTACCCTTAGAAGAGGGAGGAGGCTTGAATTCATAAATGGCTCCAAAGATGGACTTATCAACGTCATCTATCAATGGACGAAACAACTGAAAGTGGAAGAAAGTCCACCAAGGAGGCGCAAGGGCATTAGGTCCTACACGATTTTCTTGCCGGTCCCTTTCTAGTATGTAAACACCTTGGACTAAACTCGCAGCTACTGACATTCGATGATATGCATTACCCCTGCGAAAGATATCCTTTTATTTTGTATCATAAATATATTCTATCACAAAATACAGAAAAAAAAAATGTTAAACATTCATCAAGATTCAAAGCTATCAGTCAGCAAGTTTCGTTACTCAGCTGAAGCACCACGTCCAAGAACAATCTAATTATATTCCTGAATACCTCAAGATAAAAAATGTTCTTGGGAAAAAAAAATTCAATAAAGTTGCAGATATTTGGACGTGGCTTTATGCTAGGTTGCGTTCATAGTCCTGCTTAATCAATAACTTATATTCACATGCTATACACGACGAGGAAACAAGATAATCCAAGCGCACACAGAAATATATATTTACAGTTGGGGGTGAGGGGGTGAAAATCTAATAGGCTTTACTCGGCCCCAAAAATAAACAAGGCTTTACCAGTCAACAAAAGTAAGATGTAAGGGCCCCGAGAGGTCAAAACGCTCCCTCTCAGAGACCATTACACCCTATACTTTTTCTCTGGCTGTCTTCCCCTTCGCTATCTTTACAACTCCTGTCACAGAAGTCAAAAAGGAAAGAAATGGATCAACGCGGAAATCATCAGGAGTCAATCAATTGTCAGCGTATCTATGCAGGGCGGACAAATCATGAAATTTCTAACAAAAATTGAAAGGCAAAAAAAAAAAAAAAAAAAGATTTGGCATCACCGCCGATCAAACATTTCATATAGTAAAATTTTTCATATTTTTTGTGTTGTGAACAGAAAGAGTCATAACCCCGGATTATTTATGCTCTAGTCTATGGCATGGAAACATGTTTGAGAATGATTGGATTACCTTCCATGATCATCGACACCCTTTTGAAGCTTAAAAACGTTGGTATGGAGTCACAAGCATAATTAACAAAGGAACCAAAGTACTTTTGCTGATGATAAAAAGACAAAGAACAGCTTATCAGCTGTATGTCACAAGCATAATGATAAGTCCAACCTGCATGGCTATTTCGTCTCGCAGCGCCGAGTAGGTTGGTAAGACAGATTTGTTGTCAAACTTAATAAAACGGGGAAAACAATCAGGAACTACGATTTTAATACATTAAAGAGCTTAAACTAATAGTTTGCATCATATTCTGTTCTTAAGCACGATATATTACAATATTAATTTTCTCCTTCTCTTCAAAACATATGGCATATTTAACTCAAACGCATGTATTGTTCAATAGTCCGTTACGAGGTTCCTCAGATGCGGAAAAGCAACTGTCACATAAATCGTCAACGCATCAACGAAAATAAACAGCGAACCAAAACAAGTTTGAGAAAAGAAAGCTCATTTCCGGATTCGAACTAAGAGAACAACATGAAAAAGCAAACGCAAAAAAATATTCTCGCTCCATCTGGATGCGCCGAAATCATACCCAAAAACAAATTCAAAATTTCGCACAATGAAAGACCCCTTAGATTCGATCAATCTCTGGATAAACATACAAAGCTTATTGGATGAATGCTGCTAACAGAAATTCAAATCACAGAAGGAAATGAAAGACATGGGATGAGATCTGTAAAGCGTTTGGAATCAGAGCGAAGAATATACCTCAAGGGAAATGGTGATGATGGAAACGAAGATCACAGGTGACAGATAGGAAGCAGAACACCAAAGCGCAAATAATGAGGATCCAAGAGAAACATTAAAATGGGGAGTAAGTGAATGGCTCCAGCAAACGCCGAGAACGTCACCGGGGCTGACCTCCACCGACCCCCCACTCAGGTTGCTTTCAGAACCAGGGAGCCAACTTGGCGTGATCAATGCAATTTATGGAGAGTAGAGATAAGCGTGACGATGTCGTATGCTAAAGTTGGGGTGATTCCGCAACCGCGCATCAGTTTTGTTGGTTACTTTGTTTCAAGGTAAAAACAAGAGAGTTTTGTTTGTTACTGTAGAACGGAAATACGCCGTCGTTTACCCGAACCGTTGACTCAATGAGTTGGTAAAACAAAATTCTCTGAGTTGATTCAATAATTCGACATGCTTATATTATATTAAAAAACTATTTATAAACTATTACAGGCCTCTACGTGAGAAAAAGATCGGATTTGAATTCTCTCTACTATCCTCCTTTTTTTTCACAACTATTAGATCAAAATTCCAATAGTCTAGATTTAACATCTTATAAAAATAATATCATTAGAAAAATAAATAAATTTAAACTGTTAAAATCTAGTATGAACAGTTCACAACTATAATAAAAAAATTAAAAAAAATTTGCTCTATAATAAAAGTCTGTAACTATGAACTACTCAGATTAGATTTTAACAGTTTAAATTTAGAGAAAATTCTAAAAAGATCCTTGGAATATAGGAAATTCTAGATTTGGTCCTGGAATTTCGAAAATGACAAAAAGGGTCAGTGACCCAATTTGTCATTTGTAAAATCAAGAGGAATTAACAACTTTGCCCTTATTTGTATTCATTCACTACAATGATTTAAGGAATCACTATAAGGTTTTAGGTGTTATCTAGATTCGTGTAGCGAATAACTACTCACTTTTTCATAGTCAGGTGTCTTGTTATTAACTACAACTAATTTTGTAATCACTAAAACAATGTAAGCATTACCTAGATTTGTGTAGAGAATAACTACTCACTTTTTCAAAGTCAGGTACCTTATTATTAACTACAACTAATCTTGTAATCACTAGAACAGTGTAAGCGTTATCTAGATTTTTTTAGAAAATAACTACTCACTTTTGCTTAGTCAAGGATAAAATTGTCAATTCGTCTTAATTTCACAAATGACAGATTGGGTCACTGACCCTTTCTGTCATTTTCGAAATTCCATGACCCAATTTGGAATTTCCTATATTCCAAGGATTTTTTTTGGAATTTTTCCTTAAATTTATTTATCCATTTTTTTTATAATAATATTTATTTTTATGAAATGTTATAAAATATTAAATTTGAACTATTAGAGTTTTGATTCAATAGTTGTGAAGGGAAAAAAAGGATAGTGGAGGGAAAGAGGATAAAAAGGTTAGCGGAGAGAATCTAAGTCCAGAGAGATCCACGTTCCAAAAAAGAAAATGCTCATGCCCCCGTTGGACCACGAAACCTGGGCTGGGGAATTGGAACTGGAACTATTAATTTGGTCCATTAGATAGCTGGAATCCAATTCTCAGCGGAACCCACTTCCATCAAATTCGATGGACTTGGGTTCCATGCTCCTAACCAGAGGAGTCATAATCATGTTCCATTTCATCTTCCCCACTGGCGATGCCTCTTTGTCTTCTCTGTCAAGCCAGTTTCATCGACCCCTATCGTCCCATTCTTCTCCTTCTCATTGTTCCATTTTAAGATAGAATTCTATATTTAATCTAATCATCTTCTTGGATTTACTCTTTGATTTTAATTTTTTCATTGTGCTGCTGTGAGATTCGGATTGTGCCTCTAATTTCCAATCGCTTGAAAATGTTCAGCAGCAAGGGGTAAAGGAATTTGCGTCAAACCCGATGCCGGCATTAGATTTTGATCAGGGGGGAAAAAATCCAAGTTTAGTTTAATATCATTTATTTTAACCTCAGAATTCGAAAGAAAATTACCACGTCACAATTCATTTTGATGTAATCTCGTCACTTTAGGAAGTTTGTGAATTGTAACATCAATAAATTCCTTCCTATCCAAAAGGGCTCTCTCTTGGACTTTACGCGCACATAAAATGCTTGCGCCAATCATACATTGACAAAAGAAAGGTGGTTGAAAAGAATTTTGTCGACGAAGTGAAGACACGCAGTAAAAGAAAATGATGTACATATATAAGCCTTAAAATAAAACGTCAGTTCTATAGTGAGAATAAGAGACGAAAGTACATCTTTAATAAGTAGAAGATGCACTCTAAATACAACAAAAAATTACACGCTCAACAAACGTGTTATATGGTAGAGTCTCTCCATGTATAAACGCAATGCACACAATTCCCATCTACTTAGACCAAGCAACCGCATCTATTTCAGCTTGTGCACTTCTGTATAGCTCCAACCTCTTTCCAAGGGCACTACGCCGTTCCATAATTGCAGGATCCTCATTTAGCAAAGACGACAAACGCTTTTGCTGCCAAGTTCATTAAAGCAGGTATGAACATTTTTGTTTTTGGCAAATATAAAAGAAACCGAATGAAAAACATGAAACCAACTGCCCGACAGGGGTAAAAAGGGAAAGGAAAAGATAAACCCTATTTTGAATAACACCCGCCGTAAAATTCGAGAGACGGATTTATTCTCACCTCCATTTTGCCTAGCTCAGTGAAGAAATGATCAAGTAGGCTTCGCTTTGCCTCTCGCACCTGGCAATAGACAACGGACTTGGGAATTGAATGTCGCAGACTAGCACAGACCATGTTGACGTAAGACAAAACTGTTGTACCTGTTTATGCGAGGAGAGAATAAATGATAAATAATTTAGCGCATTTTACTGAGAGGAAGGAGATACTAGATCAAGCTAGGTGATTAAAATCAAAATGTTCCGAGTCTAACAAGACTTACCAATTCGCCTAAGATATGAATCATTATATCTATCAAAAATTGAATGTGTAGGATTGCCACCCTTGTCAACATCTTGAGGGAGTTTCCTAAAGAAATCAACCGTCAGATAGCCACACTCCATATCAACTAGCTGCAGTGTTGCTTTTTTGCTCTCCTCCCTCATTCTTTCTAGCGATTCAATTGCTGCATTTCCCACCTCAACCCGAAGACCAGGATATTGCTTCAAATCCTGAAATTCAAATAAATCAACACCTTGTAAGCAGAAACGAATCATTTCGATTGAACAAGTTGGAGGGGAAAAGTTTATACACGATTTGACTCTAAAAACAAATTAAAAAAAATATTATACAGCATTATTTCATAATAAATAATTTCAAACTCCTCTGAGGAAGCTGAAGGCAAATGAAATGGAAAGGCAGGATTTTGGTAGGTTATGCTCAAATGCATAATGTGAGGTATTGAGTTCTGGAACAAATTTTTCTGAAATAATAATAGCAAATATCAATAGGCTCAAGCAAATCTTGACAACAATTCTTAGAAACCCACAAAGACATTGAAATAGATCTTAATGTATATTTTAGCATCCATCACTTAACCTCAGGCACAAAGAAGTCCTGAAAATCTGCATTTTTATACTTAAAATAGTACAAGCCATTTATTTTTCGTGGTAGTGCAGAATAAACCCTTACTCAGATTAAATAAGACAAACCCGAAAACCAAGAAGCATACAAGTAAAGTCACAGCACGAATTACAGAGGAAACAATGAACCTTAGTATAGACAGAAAACATACCACAGTCTCGTTAATAGATTTGTGAACCAGGTCCTTCAGTAGGGAATGAACCTGAAGGTAAACAATGCAAAGTGATAAATCAATTGAGCATGTATAATAAGCAAACTAGAAAAGTCAAGGCTTTAAGTAGTGAGTGAAAACATATCAACTACTAAATACTCCTCCGGTCCTTATTATAAGACCCAATTTGACTTTTTATTTGGTCCTAATTATAAGACCCCAATCCATTTTATCTCTTATATTTATGCATTTTTTCCAAGATAATCCTTCTAATAATGATAGTTTTAGCCAATATACTTAATTAACAAGGATATTTTAGGAATGACAACATTTATTTATTATAAATAACTAACTTAACTTACTTCCTTAATCTCCTCAAATAAGTCAATTGGGTCTTATAATTAGGACCGGAGGAGTACATAATAGGCTTTTAACATCAAGGTTGAACTTCTGTTTTTGGTTTACAAAAGAGACACAAGCTCCTAGAAACTCTGACACTTCAGAAAAGGATAGGGTAGGAATTAAACCTACAAGTATTAGGATCCCCTAGCTCTCATATCCCCAAGAAGGGTCACCTAAGGCGGGCCTCCTTTGCCAAGGCTTTTTATCAATAAAGAGGCCATGCTCTATAACAAAGAAGTTTCAATACCGGCCTCTTTTTTTTTTTTTGGGGGGGGGGGGGGGGGATGGACTAGCGACAGGGTCATTGACTAATAAGTCTGTTAACCAATAGTGCAGCCTTTCCTTGATTCAAACATACCGCATCAACAGCTGCCTCAGCAGGGCCCCTGATAGTAATTAGAGAAGACTCAATTAGACGACGGTATCCTTGCTCAGGGGCTATTAAATGTGGCTGGTACCCATCAGCTTCAGTAATAAGTTTCCGTATGTTTTCCATTGAAAGCTGCTTGTCAAACTGCAACCTCTTTAAAGCAGCAGGGAGCTGATTATCAAAGACATGATAGATTTTATCACCTCCGGGTCGCCTGTAGGAGGGGATTCACAAAATTATTAATAAAACAAATACAGCACAAAGGTTAGAGTGAAAGGTACGGTAAAGGGCACTAAACCATAAAAGATGAAAAAATGTAGGACATACACGCCATCAAGGTGTTCTTTGAATATCTGATCAAATGAACGGCATATTTCCATGATTGCATACAACTTACCCTGCATTCATTGACATTAGTCATTAGAAAATGATGGCGGGAGAAGTGGGGGGGGGGGGGGGACCAACAACAACAACAACAAATGATTGCACACGCAGATGAACTCAGACAGTAGTAACATAACAGAAGTTTGTTTTCTTGGCATGAAATACAGAAACAGAAGTTGGACAGAGAAGCAATCTCTTTTTTCAGCACTACAGTCTTATAAAATGCACGTGTCTGGGGATAGATGAATTTACAACATTAGATTAATTGAGCATTCCCCAACTAGCGGGATAACACTTGTCCTACACTAACTGAACATTAAAGAGAAGAACTTACCCCGGCATCAGCAGCTATAGGTTTCCCTAAACGACTCAATTCAGCTTCAAGTTCAGCAACTGTTTTGTTAATCAGAGATTGAATGCCTGGAATTTTGGACTTGATGACAGTCTCCAAATGCTGAAGCATTCAGAATTATGAATTAATTATTAGAAATCAGTACTGTAACAATTGCATGCAATGAACAAAAATAGATATTTAGCAAATATTAATTGGTGAAGGATTTTTTGGCTACCTTTGATAGCATCTTCGCTAGATGCTCAGAACCCATTCTGTGAGCAAGGTGCTTATACTCAGGGGAATTAGCAAAGTACTCACGTTCTCTGCGCCTAGCAGCAATCATGTCAACATTCTTGTTTATATCTGCTTGGGATCGATTCACAACACCAATCCAAGGATACTTCATCCTGTATGATTTCCCCTCCAATATCTGAAGCAATCAGAAAAAATATGTCTAAAGTAACCGGATTTTGCAACATCACTATGAGCCAAAGCTTTGTGTTTTGCCCTTCTGACTGTGCAGAAAGGAAATTAAGAAACTTTACACTCCCAGGAACAGCAGAACATTTATGACAAAAATATTTGTGCTTATATTTTCTAAAATATATATATTGTCAAACAAATAAACAATAGTTTTGTATTTACAAATCACTAAATTTCTGCCAGCATATCCATTAAATGATGGCTATTCTCAAAAGTGGGAAGTAGTAAAGCCAATAACAGAACTACGAGAATTTTTAGTCTCTTGCCATAGTTTCCAGCATACGTAACAGTAGAATGAAATATAACCAATTCAATAAGGCATTAAAAGTTGTTCAAGTAGATTTAATAAGTAGTATACTCACATCAACAGCATCAGTACCCTTATCCATAAGATCAATCTTAGTCAAAACACCAAATGTCCTCTCCCCTGGAAAATGTAATTAATAAACCGAGGATTAGAACACCACTAGAGTACTTACTTCAATTTATTCAATCAACTTGCTCTCACTTATAAGCCACTATAAGTGGGATGGCGGTTATAGCAAGGGGAAAAATTGCATAAAGATTAGACCAACCATGGTTCAGGCTTTGGGCCTAAATTTTGTAAATTATAAAGGACCAGCCCTCCATTTGGGGGGAAACTTATTTAAATGAAGCATGAGGCCTAGCGCATCATTGGGTACACTCAAGGTCTTAAGTTCAAATCTCAATGTCATCATTGTACCAGGCCAAAAAACAAAAAAAAACAGTTAGCAATTTAGAATCACGGTAGAATTCACATTCGTTTCTTAGAGAGCAGTGAACAAACTCATCAAATGAGCAAAATAAGAAGAGTAATAAAACCATATGGGGAAAAACCATTAAAATTACCTGTAGGGTCCACTTCACGGGAAATCTTAATTGCATCAGATGTAGCAAGATCTTGATTGGCTGGTGATATGGCCAAAATTAAACAATTTGGCTGCAAATTAACAATAGGAATTTAATTTAAAAAGTTAATTGCAGGATACTATCATATAAAAAACACATAATTCATGTTAAGAAAGTAAAGTGTTATATGGTTCCTTGCAAAGCTTGTTCTATGACCAAGATATTTCATATTAGAAACATTAGACTGCATAGCACCTTTTCAATGTAGGATCGAACCATATTCTCAATGTCCTGTACAATACTATCAGGTTGACCCTCTGCATAACAGACAACCCTGAGTGAGTATCACATTCTTCATTATAAAACTTGAACAATTCCCACGTAGTTGCAGGAAAACCATGGACGACAAATACATGTCAATCTGTTGCTTACCTACAGCTACCTTCGTAAGTCCAGGAAGATCAATAAGCGTCAAATTAACAACTGCAAAGGTCCAATACGTCACAAAATTTTAAAGCCAGTAAAGAAGTGCAACAACAAAAATCTCATGCAATATTATAGGTGTTCTGACTAGAAGATCATAGGGTATAAAGAATAATGAAATTCAAACGCACCATTTGGAGAATATATACTAAGATGAATTGGGACACTCGAAATTTGTTTGGTTCGTCCAGTCTCTCTATCAGTTTCATCTTGAATCTCCTTTCTCACAGCACCTACATAAATTAGATCATTAATAATATGGAGAAACGCACAAATTTGTGCAAATAAGTTTGTGGTGTTAACAATATCATTCTGAGCTCTAAATGCTGAAATGAGGTTTAATAATTCAAACTAGCAAACCTGAAGACAGACTTATCAAAAGCCAAAACAGTATAGCAAAGCACCATACTAAAGTAATGACAGAAAAATCAAACTTGAGACCGAGGACTTTACCAAAATCAGTGAACCTTTTCCTTGGGAGATGCAGAAACTCTGCATACTCTCTGCTGCCTTCCTCGGCCTTGTGAAGCTGCAAGACAAGAGGTCGCCGGGTAACAATCCCTGAAAGTGTCATTCATACATTAACTTTCTCATATTTACAAGGACTAGTTATAGTAAAAGGCATAGCCAAATGTTACTGCCATATTTACCTGATCCACGGGGTAAGAAATCCTTGCCAACAATGCTCTCCAATACTGAAGACTTTCCAGAACTCTAAGAGAAGATATGATGAACATGATTAACCAAGGCAGTATATATCCACATATAAGGAAAGCATAATTCCTTAACAACATAAAAGATACACAAACCAATATACGAAAAGAAAAAATGTATTTTTGGTCAACGAAAAAGGGAAAAATGTATGTCTTCCTACTAATAACATAACAGATGCACCTACTAACTGAAAATCATGTTGAACTCGTGAATTACTTCGATGAAGAATTCAATCAGACAAGAAAGATGGTCAATGCAAAGAAACAAATCTGTTAACGTGTCATGTCAAACAGCACTATATCACATGCCCGGCAGAATCCAAGGTCTTCTGGTTCCGCTAGTTAATAAAATACTAATATTCATTTAGCAACAGCAATGGTAAACTACAGGCACTATCTTGGGAAGTTCCTACCGGTATTTACTCTTTCAAGTTTATCAAGAAGCAAACCAACAGGAAGATCCTCCACTATAAATGGGAGTACCATGTCTCTCATTGAGCTAATGTGAAATCGATAATCCTATACCAGGAGATGCTCTTTATTAAAGTTTTGCCTGCCCTTTGGATATGCTTAGTTGGGTGAAAAACGGGTAGGCAGAAGAACGAGAAAGTGCGAAGGAAATGGCAAGTATTTGAACAAAACTAAGTATGGATACATTGCCATTTTGAACATGCTAGATGGTTAGAAATTGGGACTAGTATCTTTCATGCAATGGCTGATAGTGGTTTTCTTGCCGCATCCCCCCCCCCCCCCGGGGGGAGCCAAACAAAAAAGCCATAAGAGAACGAGAAATGAGCTAAGGGATGCCAGTGTAACTTCAATCTTACAAACACCGGCTTGCCGCTAACGAGGGAATAAGATTACCGCTCCCTCCCAATGTAAAGCTGGGATCCTTCTCTCACAAATTATGCGGCTACAGAAGAAATAAGATCGCCGCACTCAAATGATTGTCATAAATTTAACACTGATCTAAAATTCAAATTAAAATACCCAGGTATTCAATCAAGCTTGACCATCAGATAGGCCGTAACTTAACATCACGATCCTCACAAGATTTGGCCAAACAACGAAGAGCCAAACCAACAAGTGAATATACATGAATGACTAGCTATAGAACAATATATGTCACCAAAAAAGAAAAAGATATTCAATCCAAGAGGAACTTAATCTTGATTCAACGCCATCAGGACATAAGGTCAGATCAAACGAAAGATAACAAGAGCGGAACAAAAACAGTGGAATCAAGCCAACCTGACCGCCGACAACAGCAATAGCGGGGAGTGCATCCCATAGAGTAGGCAGAGCACTACCTTCGCCGTGATCACCTAAGGCAGTACAAGCTCTCTGGATTTTGTTAACCAAAGAAATTAGATTCTCCATTGGAATAGTCGGAGAGATGTGGAGCTCGGATCTGACGAAGTAATCACCAAACTGATAGAGATCTGCGGACGAGAGAGAGATACAGGGAGAGAGAAAGCTAAGGCTGTGTGGGTTTGAAGGAAGAGAGCGCGTATCACTATTGAAATGTTTTGAACCGACGGGACCCAACCACAGCCAGCCCGCTGTGCTGGGGAAGACTCGCTTAACCTTTTTAAACTTGAATTGAAGGACGGGTCATTATTACTTCTCTCCCGTTCTTCGAGTTTTCAACTCGCGAGATTTCCGTTGCCGTGTCTTTTTTTTTTTTTTTTTTTTGCGCCCTTGCCTGCCTAGCTTAAGCTGATTAGCCGGTGCGCTTAGAAGGGCTTTTTTCTCCCCTTTTTTGCCAACGGCTTAGAAGTTACATTAGGCCGTTGTAATTTTAGGTGATTAGTGCTTATCTGTTAATTAAAAAAATCAACAATTTAACACCAGCTCGATTTTTAATGTTTTATCTACAAATTGCAAATACAGGTTAGATCAACACCACCACAGGAAAGAACGAAATTACTGAAGGTACTGCAGTGCCGGCGCGCTTTTGCTGTCCAAACAAAGAACAGAGTCTTGTGACATGCTAAATTTTGATTCTCTTTTAGCTTGCTCCAACTTGGCTTCAATTTTTTTACTTTTGGTGAGACAAAGGGATTTTTGGATAAAAACCAAATTATAATTTTAGAAGTGATAATATAATATATGAAGTAAATATGTAAAGAAATTTATCTCAATTTATGAAAAAATACTTTTAAAAAGCATTTTTATTGATATCCAAACACTCCTCAAATCTTAAATCTTTTTTTTTTCTTCCGAATGTAAGGTTCAAATCTTAAATCTTTAACACTGTAATTTGACTATTTCACACTATTTTTTCTTAGATTCATTAAGTAATGCCTGCACCCTCTTTTTTTGTAACGGATAGTATTCCTGTTTGGATTTAAAATGAGTTTTTCTTTCAAGTGCGCCTTTACCTTTTTAATTTCATGCAAGAAATATCATTTAAGGTTAGCGTCTTAAAACTTTAAAAGGACACTTTACTAAAAACACAAGGCATATGACTTGTTCACAGAAGATTAGGAAGTCAGAGGACCTTGGATGGTGCTCCGCGGCCCAATGAAGCGAATTGCAATTCCTAAACCCTCCAAATCCAAGAAACTTCTTAAGATTTGTTTGGAATAATTTATAAGTAATTTTTTTAATCGTGATTTATGAAATACAAAATAAATAAATAAAAAAAGTTTTATCTCGATTTATATAAAATGTGCTTATAAGTGATTTTAATCATAATTCTAAACAGGATCTTAGTGGTTCAAACTTGTGTTTTTCAGTCTAAAAATTTTTTTATCCTCACAATTTTACTCAAGATATTGTCGGAAACTAAATATTGACATGTCTCTCAAATATGAATTTAAACATTGATTCGCTGTATTAGGAAAAACTAACCCTTTCTGTTAAATCCAAACCCATTGGTTCAGTCCAAGAGCATCAATCACTCTCAGAGATTGATATGTAAACTTTCTAGTATACCTACCTCTGGAGAATTGGTTCTCGCAGCCTTTGCTTTAAAAATCAGAAGATTTTATTTTTATGGCATACAATATAAAAAGGGGGGGTCACGCGATGGGGATGAAGGAAACCAAAAGCTTGTGCTTGTAGGATTTCCTTTTGGGCTTTTCAGACTGATCACATTTGTGGGTTGGAATGTCCATTGGAAAACAAATCTTGTGTTTTTTGCTGCAAATTGGAAAACAAATCTTGGTTTTGCGATTGAGCTGCTCGCATTGACATCGAACTTTTATAAATGTTGGGTTCAATTGCCCCCAAAGTTGGGCTAAGTATTAAGTTTGGGCTCCGTGTTAATATAACTATTGAATTATTTTGACCAGGGCAATAATACGTACGGCTTTCCAAGCATTGGAATTTGCTGAATATTAGAGCCTCACAAGTATCGGAATCGATGCTCTAATCTCTTGTCCTTGATTTTGCATCATCGTATATCCAGACGATGTTGAAGAACAATTTACATGAGATGCTCATATTGTTGCTGGGGGAGGGAATCGTCAGTGGAAGAAACAACAAAAAGAAAAGTGAAGGTAAAGTAAAAGGCGAGTACAGAGTTCTAACTTGAACATTGGTCATGGCAATGTAACAGTATGAAGTTGTTAGTCATATTCTATATATAAAGTTGTATAGTTTAGATACACAGGACAGGATATGCTGTCATGTTTCTATAATATGACTACCTCACTATGACGCCTGTAAAAAGGAACCTAGAGAAGCCTTAATTACAGTGAGCTACTACTTTATTTTTCATGTAACTAGAAACAATATGAATATGCTGACTTTAAATTAAAAATAAAAGAACTAAGGGATTCCTAAATTCATATCGCCTATGATGTGACTGGATTCACAAAAGAGAAAACAAATAATATGTATGCAACTAAGTTAATTGGCGGACTCCTGAGGTTCATAACCAAAAGGATTTTTGCTGGCCCAATTCCATTGATCACGACACATCTCTTCAATGCCATATTTTGCCCTGCAAGGAAATCAACGCTGTAAGAATTTGAATAAATGAAGCAAATCTTAATGATCAGTTCTATATAAGGAAAGGGAAACATCCAAAAAATACTAGTATTTATTTAATATGTAATCAAAACTTACTTCCATTTTAGTTCCCTTTCTGCTTTCTCTGTAGAAGCGTAAACAATTTCAGCATCACCAGGTCTTCGGCCAGCCATGACAAGAGGAATTTTCTGGATAACAAAATAATTACACAGATTAATGATATAGAATAAGAAGGTTTGAGATGCTTTAAGTTTCAGAGATGGAGCAAAAAACTTTTCCTGGTCATACTTAAAAACATGAAATTGAATTGGCCAAAAGAGCATGAAGAGACTAAGGATTATTTTGTATACATAAACTATTTTGGGACATAAAATGCAAAAAGAATTCAGAAAAGAATTCAGAAACTGAGAAAGCAGCTATGCTGAGCCTGTGGCATGCAGCATTAATTTCTCAGCAAGATAAAAAATAGACCATGAATACAGGAAAAAAATGGTTTTAAAAATAAAAAAAATTGACAGCAAGGGTTACAGTGACTTCAAAAACAAAATATAAGTAACATAACTATTAGTATACTACCTTTCCAGAGGCTTTTTCGAAAGCTCTAACCATCTCCAAAACTGAAGTTCCCTTTCCTGTTCCCAAGTTATACACCTCACAGCCTGTATGAAGCACAGAAATTTAATTATTAATTAGGGTACTTGCTGGAAAAAAAAAATTAGGGTACTGAAATTCTGTGGCTGATGATATTTTATAGCCCCAAACCGTAAAAGATAAAGAGAGGGCAATATAATATACCATTCGCCTACAGAATTTAACATTATTGCTGCCGCAAGAGAAATGACAATCTGAATAGAACCAATTATAAGAAGACATAATTTTGGAGTAATACCTATATCAGGATCCTTTAGTTTACGCAGGGCAGCAATATGCCCATCAGCTAAATCAACAACATGAATGTAATCACGAACCTGAGAAGTAAGAAAACATTCATTCTCTTAGATACTCTATGAAGACGTGAAGAATCAGATCCATTATCAGAAAAGGAAAACAATAAGTGCCATCAGTGACTAGACAACAGAGTCAGAACATACACCAGTGCCGTCAACAGTATTATAATCATTCCCAAAAACAGTCAGTGCAGGGCGTCTGCCAACAGCTACTTGCTGAACAAATGGCATGAGATTATTTGGAATTCCACGAGGATCCTCACCAATATTGCCGCTCTGATGTGCACCAACAGGGTTGAAGTATCTCAACAATATCAATTTCCATTCAGGATCTGCACCGTAAATGTCCCGGCAAATATCCTCGATGATAAGCTGAAAACAGAAACTTTATCAGATCTCATTACTAGTTTACAACACAAGCGTCTATGATTTAGTCACCAAAACACTAAAAAAAACATTGTGAAAGACATGAAGTCTTTATTCCCAGTTTCAATTCCCAAAAAAATATAAAAATAACAGTTTCTTACTCATACCTTGGTTCTCCCATATGGGTTCATTGCAGAGAGAGGGAACTCTTCTGTACATGGAACCACCTTTGGCCAACCGTATACAGTAGCTGAAGATGAGAATACAAGCTGCAATATATTCAGAAATAGGTGTTCAGTACTTTAGTCTAATCATCAGACTGCACAATATATAAGCAATCTCACACGAGCGCAAGACAATAAGGTTGCAAGACAAGCAGGCGATTAAAAGAAGTGCAATCAAAACTTCATCCCAGAATAGCTTGGTGACACTCTCTTCTGCTTGACCTATGCATCAGTGAGTAGTAACTGAATGACTTGATAGTTTAACACTATTTTTTCAGATTCACGTATTCAACCTATTCAATGACCAGTAGAACAACTTCATTTCAGATTTACCTCTTTCCATAGCGAGAAGAAGCGACATCCACACACAATTCAATATGGTTGCAGCAAACTGGAGATATCATGACATGGCATCGAAATTTAAATATTCATACATAATCAAGTATTTGTACTGCATACCAATACGACCAATCGGAGGGAGCATGCAGTAGAAACAAGATAAAAATTAGCAGTTGCAACTAAGTCAACAGCTTTTATATTTAGCAATAAGATAGAATTTTGTAAAGAAAAACAATTGAAAAACACCACAAAGTCAACCAATAAAAATGGACGTAAAATTACCTTCTTGCAATTATGGGCAGCCATTACTTCTAGAAGAGTAATTGTACCAATCAAGTTGTTGTCATAGTAGAGTAATGGTTTCTGCACACTTTCTCCAACAGCTTTCAGGCCAGCAAAATGTATAACAGCATCAAATCTAAAAAGAAAGTTAGAGATCATAAACAACTAGTGGCGATGGAGTGAAAGTATAAACAAACATTACCAAAATAATCATTTTGAACAAAATCTTATGTCACAATCACTAATACTTACTGTGTGGAAGAAAAAATTTTCTCAAGAGCAGTTCTGTCCCGGAGGTCTACCTACAATGGGCAAAAAATAAGCAACAGTAGCAATAGGTCAAAAATTCACATTGAAATATAAGACATGCAAGACGTCGTTTGGACAATAAGATATGAAATTAAGCAATTTAACTGCATGTTGTTCATGTTTAACACTGTCAGACTATTTTATGCAACTGCAATTGACAGTAGACTCATTTGAGCTGACGTTTTTATAGGGAAAAATTACTATTAGCATTCATTAATTCACAACCACTTAAGTATAATAAGTTATTGAACAGACCAAATGTGGCCTAAATGTAAAAGCAAGGTTTGTTTTGTCAAAAAAGAGGAAAAGGAAAAGGAAAAGAGAAAAGAGAAAAGGTTAGCGCCAGTCAGTTTAAAACTCGGCCAAACTTCAGATAATTGCATAGTTGACGAAGTCAACAAATTGGGTCCGAGAGAAGAAAATTATCAAAAGTGTGCCTATTTAAATTAGTTTAGTCGCAATAAAAAACGCCATAAAACAAGCTTGGATCCAGAACCGGAAGGAGCGATTCCCCCTCCAGACTCGCAACAGATCAAAAAGCACTACGAACTGATAAAGCCAGAAACCGTAGGGAAAATATAATATCGAACAGCCGACATCTCTGAATCAGTAATGGAAAGAACTAAAGCACAAAACTTTTGGCTTTTGGACTAGCGGCAATCACAACGCAACACCCAATTGAGCCAATTTAATCAAATTCAATCCCAACATTCAAATTACAGCAAGAAGCGTGAACCGGAAGACCTAAATCAAGCATTAAGCCTGAAAGAATCAGCCTTAGTGCATAAGTAAAAAGCACAGGATGTAAAGAAGCCCATGCAAGGAAATCAAGCAAAAGCGCGTAAGTAAACAAGAAAGATAGAAACCTTGTGAAAGGAGAGATTATCCTCGAATTCAGCGGCGAGTTCCCTGACTCTATGGATGGCAATTTCAGAAGAATTGTCAAGATTGTCGACTACAACGACCTTATAGCCGCCGAGCAAGAGCTGAAGAACAGTATGGCTGCCGATGTAACCGGCACCGCCGGTGACGAGAACATTCTGGGTCGCCATAATAGAAGGTGAACTGCGACAGAAAGAAGAAAGGGCCAATGCAGAGAGGAAAAGAATGAATGAAGGCTTTGAAATCACAAGAGGAGCCGGGAAGAGAGGGGAAGTTATATATAGGTGGCGAAGCTGAAGACGCGCGAGCACATCTTCATTCGGAGAAGGCGAGAATTATGTGACACGTTCATAAAGGTGAAAGATAAATAAAATTATAAAAAAAGAAATAACTTTAATTGAAATTGAAATTTAACGCTTTCGGGAATATTTAATGGGGGAGGGCAACAGATCAGCCACGTGGATTTCCAGTGTGTCCGCTTCGCATATGGCGCTGGAACTCTCTTTCTCTCTTTTCCCGAAATTGCTTAGACCCCAATCACTGTCATTACGCTAATTCGGTTTTAATTGCCCATTCCCTGGTCTCTCTCATAAGGACCAGACCTTTAGGACGCTATGTGACCATTTAGTATTAGGATTTATTTATTCATTCTGCATCGTTCCGTCACATTTGTTTATTGTTTATATTCTGTTAATAATTTCTTCGTAGATAAGCATTATTTATTCCGCAAAAGGCACATAATAATTTTCTTCGAGAGTAAGTTCCGGAGAAATTAGTACTTTCTGATATTTCAATGATAGATTACTTGAATTTAAGATTACGTCCAAGTATATTGTTTTATCTGATACAAAAAATATGTTATTTTATCAACAAAGAGACTCTTTTGATATTGCATAAATACTAAAACACACAAACATTTTTTTGGGGTGCCAAAGAAACATAAAAAAGACATATTTGATTGGAAAAATCCTAATTAAATCCTGCTGAAATACTTAAAATTAAATTGAGACCTACACTTTTAACAAATTCTTAATTAGGACATAAGACCTAATTAGGAATTGCTGAATATTATTAAGTAACTATAATGCCCCTCTTTAGTTAAAAATGAAAATTGATTATTTTATCCCTCTAAAGTGTTTCATCATCTCTTATTATTAATATTTAGACAAAAAAATATAATTAATTTTTTAGTGTTTGAAATTTTGTAATATAACTAAAATCTTCAAAATATTTTCATAAAACATTTCAAATTATAATATATGTAATCTTTAAATAAATATTTTCAATATTTTTCTTTTCAGGTTGTAAATATTTATTTTAAAATTTTAAAATATTTTAATCATAATAAAAATTTAATATTAAATCGTAATCATTTACATTTTCAGTTGGATCCAATATTGTTTAAATAAATAAAACTAACGTAAATTACAAGAACTGAAAATAAAAATATTTATAATTTTACTTATATTTGTAATTTAACATGTTTTATTAAAATATTTTTAATAGTATAAGTTATATATACAAATTTCAAACATTGTAAAATTACTTATATGTTTTTTGTCTAAAAAAAATCATAAGAAATGAGAAATTATTCGGGAGAGGTATATTAATCAGTTTTCTTTTTAATTGAAGAAGGGCATTTTGGTGATCTAACAACATTCAAAAATCCCTAATTAGGTCTCATGGCCTAATTAGGAATTTGCTAAAAGTGTAGGCCTAAATCTAAATTTAGGTATTCGTCTGGATTTAATTGGGATTCTCTCTATTTGATTTTAACCATCACCTTTTTTTTGTAACTGAATTAGAATTTAGTAAAATATTAACAGTATGATCAATTCCAAGAAAAAAGGGAACTATTTCCGGGTCCTGAAAATTAAGTCATAACGAAAATTTCAAAAACGCTATTTATATATGCTTCAATTTTTTAAAAGAAATTTATGCATTTAACCATCTCCCGCTATGATACTTAAATTGCATTTGCAAATTCTTTTTATTTTTACACAAATTATTATATTAATGTAAGCATCATTTTTATATTTATTTGCTTTTATTAAAATTACGAGTATAATTATTATATTTTTAAGCATTTTTCATTTTTCACTTCGAAAATGTAATTTTTAAATCTTAATTTATTCGCCTTTATTATATATTAGCAGCCTAAACCTCCCGCATTTTTTGTTTCAGTCAAAAGAAAGATGAACTTTTGGCTATATCAAAAAAGAAAAGAAAAAATGAAAAACGAACCATTTTTGCCATTGCACGGTGGCGTAAAATAATAGCCAATCAGTTACTGTCATAGTACTTACTAGTCGACTCTCGAATTCTCCACTGCGAAACCGTTACTCCATTTGTGGTTTGGTAGAGTGCCACGAGTCGAGGAGTAGGGTAATAGCATGGACTTGAGATCACCAGAGCACAACTTCGTGAATTATGTGATGCAAATCCCAATTTAATGATTGGGTTATTAGAAACAAGAAAACAAATATCGGGTGTAAGTTTTGTTTGTTAGCTCTGCGGTTATTATAAAATGCGAATAACGAACGGTGTCTATTGGGCATTGGCCACCCTTTCATTAATTAAATTAATCTTTAATTACAAATACTTTCAGCATGGAATCATTCTTGATTCTTTCCATTTATACTTATTTAAAAATTTTAAAATAATACAGTTCCTGATTATTTGATTCTTTTTTTTTTTAAATGATATGTTATTGAACGATGCGTCAGGATTGTTATTATCAAGCGTTACTGATTTATCAAATTTATTCCACAATCTTTCTGTTTTAAGATTAAAGTAACGTGACTCATCATAATTATAGAATATATTAATTAATAATCCCCGATTCGACGTATTTAATTTTAGACGCATGTGCTCTCTCATAAAAGACTAAGAAATATAATACTAGCCTTGGAATCTTAACATGATTTTTTCACACTGTAAAGTCAATTATTTTCGGATCGGTAATCATGCCGAAGATTTTTTTTTTCCCAGTGTTAGTAAGGTCAAGTAAGGCAATTTAATCTTTGATTAATATAAAATATAGAATTTATGTAATGCACCGATTTTGAGATTTGCCTAAGAAATTACAAGTGTTTTTATGAGGATGTTATAAGCTATTCTCGAGTCTCTTTTCTTAAAATAAAAAATAATTTTACTTTAATGCTTTGTTTGGATATGAAGAAAAGTTGAGAGAGAAAAAAATGAGAGGAGAAAAAATAGAGAAAAGGAAAAAATGAAAGAAAGTTATGATCATCCATCTTGTTTGGATAGATGAGAGAAAATTAGCATATATCTAAATGACTAAAATGTCTATTATCAAAATATATCGTATTTACAATTAAATTAAATTAAGTATTACAATAAAAAAATTATACTAACATTAGCATCATCAAATAATTTAAAATCAAGTTATTTGGTTTGTATATATCTTCATATTATTATATTTTAAAACCAAATTATTTAATAAAAATATTGTTTTAAGATGAAAAAAAGTGAATAACTTTTTAAATATAATAAAAGAAAATAAATATGGAGAGAAAGAGAGATGAGGGGCAATCATGAAAGTCTTGTTTTCCTTCCTAAATCTCTCCATATATGGAGAGAAAATGAGGCATGGGGCCCACCTTATTTTCTCTTCCATTTTTCTTTCCTCCTATATTTTCTCTCCTATCCATGCAAGAGAAAACTTATTTCTCCTCATTTTTCCCTCTCTAGTTTTCTCTCCTCCTAATTTTCTCTCAACCCAAACAAGGGGTAAAGGGGGAAAAAAAGGGATAACATCGCAGAGACTGATGTGGATAAGAATCATCAGAACAGAAGAAGATCACCGAAAAAAAAAATTAAATCGAATCAAATTACTTGGTTTGGCAATTTTTTACCTGCTAGTTCAAGGCAACGTTGGCTTCACTCGGTTTTGGAGTTAGCTTGGTTTGATGCTTGTTTAGCCGTGTGAAATCTGGATTGTTCGAGGAAAATATTGTACTTTTTAATACATTAGATTTAATTCTACATTCGATTTTTATTCAAATTCGTATTTATAAACTTGCGAATTTTAAGTTCATGTTAAAAATAGTTTTTTCAATCAACGCAGCAGCAATTATTTTTTAGGATCGATTTTCTTGAAATATAACAAAAAAAGTCTAAAATAATACTCTCTCGGTTCTAAATATATGGGTCTTATATTTAGGATCAGAAAAGTATATAGTATCCGATTGATATGCAACAATATGAAGTGAGATTCAAACACATTTACGCCTAAATTAGATTTTTTTTTTTCAAACGTGTTTTGCATTTGCACAAACTCAATGTTCATATTTAAATAAGAATAATTCTTTTTGGTTTGAGTAAGAATAATTTTACCAATAGGTATTGATCTAGTACCAAATCTTGAATTTAAATATGTGTGAATGTGTAAGAAAACTTTTAAGAAGAGAAAGTTTTTTTTATGAAACATCAGAGTATCCACTGGCGGACCTGGTGACTAATCCCTTCGCTGGCTTGAGGCATCTCGATGGGTGGGACTGGCCGGGTTTTAAAACTTTTCCATGCTCAAGACAAGGATCGAACCCTCGACACTTGTTAAGGGAGGATGAGCCCTCATCGCTCAACCAAAGAGAAATTATCTAAGCAGAAAACTGCTTAGGCATTTAAGACTAATAATTGTATATAATGCAAACACTAAACAGGTATACATAAAGAATTCGATAGCCGTGGGCGCACTCCTCTCAAAGATTGGATGGTAGAATGCGAAGACTCTTCCATAATTGTCTCCGTAACTTTGTGAGGGTGCTTTGGTCAGAAAAAAGTAATGACTTTTTAATATAATAAGCGTGCCGCGTCTGGAGAGATACATATCACGGCGTTTTTCGTGCCCTGTTCGGTCAAAAGCCGCCTGTCTCGTGTTGTCTTCTTCACCCAGCCTTCTATGCGTCATCAATCGCTTCCTGAATTTTCAGGAACTGCATTCCACCTTTTTTCCTCTCTCTCTCTCTCTCTCTATATATATTGATATATATATATAAATATCTAAAGTTTTATTGAAATAAAATATTAGTAATTATAGTTTGATCGATTTTAATTTGATCATTATAAATTTTAAATTGTTGGTTTTATTTGGTCTTGATAGTTTTATATTTTTTTTCCGTATGAATTTAACAAACGACTTCTTTATTTTGAATGATTTTGATTTTTCTATACTTGACTTGGAATAAGTATGTATGAATGCAGGGACTAAAACCAAATTTATCCA